TTATATTGTCTTTTAAACCGTTGTCAATATAGTACACTACCCCAACACCCGCCAAAAGGTATTAATAACAATAATACTAATAAATAACGAACATCCCAATAATATCGCTAAAACTACTAATATAAGTATAAGGAGTACGTAGAAATATAAACGTACTCTATCGGATATTGGCAAGGCATTTTTACTATTGCGAACTTCCTAGAATACTAGAAAGCTTCCTATATAGGCGCTTGAAGTACAATATATACTATATTACTCCTTATATTTTATTGACTATAATTAATATTGTGAAGGAAGTTATAAATCTCCTCGTTTTAAAACCCGATTTATACCTTAATAAAATCTATACCTTTCTAGCCAACGAATATAACGTATATATTTCGACCGAGACCGTACAGCGGCACTTTTAATAAAATAAATAGAAGAAGAAGCGACTCTATATAAAGGTATTACAATAATCCCCTATATTAGTAATTAAATAGATATTAAAGATCTCTTTATTTATTACCGAAATATTCATATTCTATAACGAATCTAGTATAAACCGAAGGGACGGTATTTATTATACTAGTTGGGCACCCCGCAGCGTTATCGCAATAGTATTAAGTAAATTCGTATGCGGTACGCAATATTACTTCCTCTTAACTATTATAATAAATAGACTACTTAATATACTAGTATTTAGAAGTATAATAGATTTAACTAGAGTTTAGGACTAAATAATAAAATGCTTATTCCTTAAAATAAATCTATTTTCCGATTATAATAGTATTTTAATAATAAATAATATTAATTAATACCCCTATACCGAATTCCAACACATATATAATTAGAAAGGGGTTTTATTATAGTATTTACTATTATACTCTCCCGAATTCAATCCTATTGAAGTATATTTTAACGATTTTAAATAGTAATTTAAAAGGGTATATTATAACGAGGGCGGTAATAAGATGTCAAACGACGATTTTACTACGTTTCTTAAGCGATTAGCGTAGGATGTAGGGTATAGAGTGCAATAGATCCGTAGTTATTTTAAAAATATAAAGCTAATAATAAATTAATTTAATAATATTAATAAAGAATATAGTGAGTTGTATATTGACGAGCTAGTCGAATATAGAGAGACGGGTATTATATTTAGGTAGCGGTAGAAAGTATAGAAGGGAGAGATAGATTTATATATATTAAATTAAATTATATACTAAAAATACCAGAAATACTAGAAGTGCTAAAAATACTAGAAGTACTAGAAGTACCAGAAGTACCAGAAATCGTATTTATTTATATAATAATACTAAAATATTAGAAACCCCCCTCTTTTACTATAAATCGATTTATAATATTATTATTATTTACTAGGACCGTTAGTAATAGTATTGCCCGCTATAGAAGCGAGAGCTCTAATAACGCCGTATTCGAGTATAATATTAAATCGCAAGTCTAGAATATATACTAATTAATTAAATTATAGTAATAGGGGTTAGAGGGCATACTTACTATAACTTAACTATATTACCAATACTACGTACTCAATCTTAAGGAAGTTTTTAATACTATCTTTAAATACTATATAGAGGTCGTAATTAAACCCTAGCCTCGTAAACCACTCTATTGGCTACTTTCTAAATACGAATATATCGGGCGGCGCCTCCTTATTCTAGAGCTTATTCTTTAAAGCGATTAAAGTTCTATATATTAGTACTACTTTAGTTAATAATCCAATATAGTAACGTTTATAGAACGCTTTAAAGAATTTAATAATAATTTCTTTAACCGGCCGACTAGGCGGGACGGGGGGTGGTAGTAATAAACGAAGACTGAAAGTCGAAGGTATAGGCGGATGTAGTATAGATAATTCTCCGGCCTCTATTAGGGAGTCTCTAATTTCCTCGCCCTTATCCTCCTTACCTACTATTAACGGCAGTATAATTAACGGTAGTACCGGTAGCTAAATAAATATTATAATCGCTATAGAGATAGAAGGAGGGTTAGTATTAATATACCTAATAGTAAGAATCTCGCAATTAATCGGGTGCCTATAGAACACAATAGTAAAATACTCTAACGGCGTATACAAATTGATAATTACCGCTTTGCCTAGTAGGGGGAAAGTGCCTACTATATTATAATTATAACTGCTAGCGATTACCGAATTGGCGATAGAGCCGCTAGTAGTATAAGGTGGCTAGATTTAGGGATATTAAAAGTAGGGAAGGAAATACTAGTATAGTAGCGGGTATAATAGATATAGGGGGGGAAGGTATAGTTAGTATAGACCTCTAAAATTGTCCCTCCTTAGCGTAGCTTACAATAGACTATTTATAGTCTTTATATTAGTACTACTATTACTACTATTAATATTATTAATAATATTAATATTAACCGGTAGATTATTACCTCCTCCCCTACGTTTATTACTACTATCGCTAATACTAAAAGTAGTTACTACCTTATTGCTTAATATATTTCGCACTAGCTTAAATAGCGGGTTAGCTACCGTAGCCTTCCCCAGTAATATAGCGCGTACCTACTTACCCACATCTTTAATATTAAGGTTATAATAGGTCATACTCCCATCTATAACGTAGCACATCTAGTATTTAATAGCCTTATTATAATTCTTATACTTATAGCTAAGACCGTACGCCCATACCTATACTAGTTCTTAATATACGGTACCGCGTAGTTTTACCCCCGTACGCTCCTCTCGCTACCGGTCCTCCTCTAAATTCTTCTCAATTTTTATTAGTATAGTATTTATTATAATACGTTTAAACTTCTCGGTACCGGCTAGAATCTATAACCCTTGTAACGATAGTATATCGACCGTTCGTAGGGTTAGGGTAATAAAAGGATTAACTAAATTATAAAAAGGGGTAGGAATAGAGGGTATACTACTACGGGAGGATAGGGTAATAGGGATTTTATTAGTAGGCGGGTCGGTCAACCGAAACTTAAACAATATAGTGAAATAATAGTATTAGCTAATATAGTAAAAGTACGATTTTATAACGGTCTCATACTTAATATTATTATACTCATTATAAAAATCCTTCCTAGGAACAATCTTATTATATATAATAACCTGGGCGCGGCGGTTATTATAAGTAGCGGTAGTATATATAATATTATATAAAGAGACTAACTACTTTATCCCTATAGTTACATTATCGCTGATAATATCTTCTATATAACCTCGCTATATATATAGGATTTCGCTAAATAGTATCGTCCCAAACCGCTACTTACAGAGCTCGCCGTTATCTTACTCAACCTCAACCTCTCTAGATAAATTACGTTCTTCAATAGCGGGTAATTTAGTACGGCTAGTGGTAATATATAAACCAATTATATTAAATTAGACTTATATTAAATAGGGGTATTTAAAACGTAGCGGCGGCGGTACTATAGCGACCGGCTTACAGGTGGCGTAGGGTTAGGCCGGTAGCGCTAAAGTAATTAGTTTAGTTAGGGAGGCTACTTTACTGTCGTTATTACCCAATAAATAAAATAAAATATTAAAAGTTCGCTTCTTAAGGGTAAAGTAGACGGGGAGTTATTATTCGACCTTATTATTATTACTAAAATCCTCTTCGTTATTAGAAATTTCAATAGGTATTACGGGTTTAGAAGGGGACGATAACGGCTCTAGGACTGGGACTAGGATTAACTCTAACTCTAGCGTAGTAACCTTCCCCTTTTTAATAGCGGTTTTAATGGCGGTCTTTTTAATAGTAGTTTTAACGGCAATTTTAATAAGAGCAGCCTTCTTTTTAAATAGAATAGTTTTAAGGATAACTTTAATAGATTGCTCGGTTTTATAATTCTTTTTTCTAGGGCGGGATGAGGCGCGTTATAGAATTGTTAGGCTAGGATCTTCCTAGTCTTAATCTTTGTCGAAGTAGATTATTAGCGCGCTACTTCGAATATGGGATCGCTTTACGCCAGCGGGCTTTAAATTAAAGATTATCTTAGGAGGTATTATTGTGATGGATTTGATTGATTACTGGTGTTGTGATTACTTTGTACGTTGAAATGGCTTTAAATTGATGTAGAAATTATTGTGAAATGATGAATTTTAATGAAGTTGTGCAATACAGAAGTGCGGTGTGTGTGTGTGTGTGCACGCACACACACCTCTTGCCAAGACTGCACAGGCGATTGAGTGTGGGAACACCATTATACCAACGGCAGTGATGTTTGGTCGCGCCTGTGGTAGTAGTGGTTACAATTTAGGTGTTTGCTCAGCTACCTCATCTCATGTCTATGCTTAGTTGGTGACTTCCAATTAAGGCTCCGGTTACGGCTTCTACTTACCACTTACACGCACATCATTGTGTTGCTCTCATCGCGGACACCAGGCAAGCATCGCAGAGGTACATCTTACATCCACACGGCTTCACAGACGAGACACATTTCAGACTATTATTCAACTCCCGATATCCAATTGATTGTATTGGTTGAGGAGGGTGGCAATCCGCCATTAGCTTTATATGGTATACCGCATCTCCAAAAGGAGGGTGATGGGCAACTTGGTTGGTACAGTACCTACACCTGTTCCAAGCAACGAAAAAGGAATGGTTCCCTTGTATACATTCAGCAGCCCTGTGACCTCCATCTTCATCACAGCTGTAATCATGGGTGAGTACTTGGCTATACAACTTCCACAAAGCCGGTTGACCAATACCGTGTAATTCAGGGGTGAACTTGATACACCCTTGACTCCTACCTGGTTCTCTTGACCCTCTTCCTTGGAGAGATATATCGTATACACCGCAAAGAAAGTTCACACTTTTCAGATATCGAGACAATCCAGTCATCAACAGAAGTGTGAACCTAGTGGTTCGCCTTACAACAATTCATCTCCGTCTGCAAAGTTCAGTTGTTTGTTCGAGTTGATATCTGCCCATACTGTGCGTGGAATGGCTCGCTTGTTGGAGGGCGAGATATGTAGGAAGTCCCTACCCAACATGATGATGTAGGACCACCGGGCCGTCAGCCTATAGGGGACTTCCCCGCCTTGCTTGTTGACATATCAAGTCTATCCCAGGATTACCGGGCATCGGGAGATGCACGGGGGAAAACTGTCGGGGTATGACGGCACCTCGGTACCTACCTACCTACCCTAGTTTGTCTTCTTCTAGGACGGGGAGATCTTCTTGTGTCTCTCAACCCATGTCTCGCGTTATAAGAGCCGCTTACATATGCCCTCCATATGGGTTTCTTGGTCGAGCAGCAGTCACATATAAGCTCATTCGAGACAGCTTTCTTGTTGCTTTGTCTATTACTTGTTTGTTCCACTTAATATCTTGTCAGCTTCTTTGCTTTCTTATCCTCCACTTGCCGAATCTCAGGTTTCAACAACCATAACACGATCAGACCACATTACGCTTGGTCACAGAGAAACAAAGATACAGGCTCGACGCCTCAGGGCACCACTACATACGCCCTCCTCTTCCCGTCACAATAGTTATCCGTTTGAGTCAAGATGATTACAGATTTGATAATAAAAGTACTGGCACAGCACTGGCCAGCAATACTTTGCTTAGTCCTTGTGGGATGGCTGGTTAGGAACAGATATCACAATGGTCTGAACAAATACCCAGGCCCGTTCCTGGCATCGTTGACGGACTGGTGGAGGTTCATTGATGTGTATAAGCGGAGACCAGAAGTTACACACATTGCGCTTCACAAGAAACATGGCCCTATCGTACGCCTTGGACCCAACACTTTGTCCTTTTCGGATCCAGAGGCGATCAAGACGATATACGGTCTTAACAAGGGGTTTGTCAAGGTGAGTTTTCATCCATGAAACGGCCTCAACCCAAAAGGGAATCTGGAATGTTCACTGACTCTCAATAAACAGTCCGACTTCTACGTTGTCCAGCAATCCACCGTCAAAGGCCACAACCTCCCCTCCCTCTTCAGCACAACCGACAATGAATTCCACATGCAATTCCGCCGCTGCGTCAACTCTGCCTTTGCCATGTCAGCCCTTGTCCAGTATGAGCCGTTTGTCGATAACACCACCAAGCTCTTCCTGAAGCAGACCGAGAAGCTGTACGTCGAAGGAGGGGCAAAGGCGTGCGACTTTACCCGCTGGTTGCAGTTCTATGCGTTCGACGTGATTGGTGAGATAACATACAGCAAGAGACACGGGTTCATCGAGCACAACAAGGATATCGATGGGATTGTTTCGTATCTGACCAAGCTGTTCAACTACGTCGCTCCCGTAAGTCTTTCAACTAACCCTCTCCTCTTTCTTTCCTGCCAAGTTCAACCTAACTCCGTGAGCTAGATCGGCCAAATCCCCCTCCTCGACCGGCTCTTCCTCAAAAACCCTCTTTACCTCAAACTATCCCAATGGGGCCTCATCGACGGCACCATGCCCGTCGCCGCCTTTGCGCGCGCCCGCATGGCCGAGCGTCTTCCCGAACTGCAAACCGAAAAGACAGCCATCTTGCCCACCTCGGAGAAACAAGCCCAGCTAAAGATCCAAACCCCCGACCTCCTCTCCAAGTTCCTCGCCGCCCGCTCCGCCCGCCCCAACTTCATGACCGACACCCTCGTGCAAACCATGGCCGTCTCCATGGCCTTTGCCGGCTCCGAGACCACCGCCATTTCGCTTTCGGCCGTGTTTTACTATCTGCTCCGCACCCCGCGCGCGCTGGCCCGTTTGCGGGAGGAGATTGACGAAACGGCGCGCCAGGGCAAGTTTAGCGATTACGAGACGGGCCTGGTTACTTGGGCGGAAGCCCAGACTTTGCCGTACCTGGATGCGTGTGTGAAGGAAGCGTTTCGATTGCATCCGGCTCCGGGGTTGCCGATGGAACGCGTGGTCCCCCCCCAAGGGATGGAGATTGTGCCGGGACAGTTTGTCAAAGGGGGTACAATTGTCGGGGTTAGTGCGTGGGTTTTGCATCGAGATGAGAGCATTTTTGGAGAAAGGGTGGAGGAGTTCAGGCCCGAGAGGTGGTTTGTGGATGAGACGGTGTCGTCGAAGGAGGAGGAGGAGGGGAAGACGAGAGAAGAAGAGGAGAAGAGGATCAAGACGATGAATGGGCATATGTTGCAGTTTGGTATGGGGAGCAGGACGTGCATTGGCAAGAACATTAGTTTGTTGGAGATTTATAAGTTGGTGCCTACTTTGTTGAGGAGGTTTGAGGTCAGTTTACCCCCGTCTTTTTTATTTATTTTTTTCACCCTTTTTTAGGTATTGGATTTGGGGAGAAACGATTGACTGACAGATGGCGTGATACAGATCGAATTCGATGATCCGAGCAGGGAGTGGGAAATTGTGAATGCTTGGTTTGTGAAGCAGAATAACTTCATCACCAGGTTCAAGGTGAGGGACATCGTGATGCCCGAGAACAAGGAATAGTAGGTTTGGGTTTTGGGTATGGGGGAGGTGTTTGGCGTCATGATGGTTTACTGTTTGTTATTGGAGCAAGTTCGATGGGAGAGGTGTGAACTGAATGGACGTTCTGTTGAATGTCTACATCCATGTAGATGGTGGCTCCAAATCAGTGTGGAAGTGCAGCATACGAACTCAAAATACTTGCATGTAGATGAGCTACAAATTGAAAAATCCTTACAGTAGGTTGCTTTCTATATTGTGCTGGTGAAGGGGTATCAACAAAAAAACGAACGACGTATCCAACTGAAGCGGCTCAAGTACGTCCAAATCCATCAAGTAGGATGTCCAAATGAAAGTAGACAGGCCCCCCCCATGGCCGTGCTTAATTCCACCTTTTTCTTCACAACAATCTTCCATCAAACACCTCCAACACCCCCATCCTCCAAACTCTCATCCCAGCCACCCGTCTCCAACAACCATCCCCCAACCCTTTCCTTAACCCCCCCAATCGTCTCCCCTAACGCTTCATTCCACTGATCCTGCACCACCCTCACCTTCTCCTTCAAATCCTCCGTCAACCTCTGGCCCTCCTCCACCCTCATCTGCTCCACCCTACTCGCATCCCGGCCATCACTCTCCATCACCTTCGCCTTCGCACTCACACACGCCTCCTTAACCTCATGCAACAAACACAACAGATTTGTCTGACTTTCAATAAACTGATACGTGCTCTTCTCCGCATGCAACAACAGACTGAACAGGTACTGCAGCGGATGCTCCACATAGCTCGGATTCTCTTCAAACTCCGACTGTGGGATCTGGATCTGGAACCCTTCCATGCTCGCCGGGATGTTATCCAGCAGTCTCTTCAGCGGGGGCGCAATGTCCCAAAAGGCCGATAACTGCGCCTCGACGCCGCGGATGACGGTCTCTTCGACTACGTCCCGGAATTGCTGCGTGCGATGCAGGACTTCCTCGTGGTGAGCCAGGGCGCGCTTGGCCGCGTCTTCGGCGAAAAAGGCCGTGGCGCTGGCGATTTTGTCTTGTTGTCCTTGTACGAGGCGGTAGGGCGTCAGGACGACTTCGCGGTAGCGGTCATTACGGTCAGACAATAGATCGTAGAGGGCGCGGTGGAGCGTTTCGCGCGCTTCAAAGATCCATTTGAGCAAGGTGAGTTTTTCGAGCAGTTCGGGTTGCTCGTCGCCTTCTTCTTGCGGGAGGTTCGGGTTGGAGTCGTGGGTTTCGTCAAAGAGGCGAGACCGGAGCGAGTCGAAGAGCTCGGTGGCCTTGGTGATGCGGGTCTGCAGGATCTCGTTGACGGGCACGACGACGGCGGTTTGGAATTCGTCAAAGTCGGACTTTTCAAAGTCTTGGACTCGGCTGTTTTCGGATGTGTTGGCGTCCGTTTCGATGGCGGCTGCCTCGGCGTACCCGATGGAACCGGAGGCAATTTCGGACTGGAGGTTCTGCCGGAGGGTGGCACGGCGCTGTTTGGCGGCTTCGGCGGCGTCGGTGCGCGCTTTGGTGCTGGCGAGCCTGAATTTCTCTTTGATGGCGTCGATCTCGGTCATGTCGCTGATGACTCGGACCGTACTACGGGTCTGGGTGAGCTCCGGGTGGTTGTTGTTGACGGCCGGATGATGGCGTGGGTAGGGGGGTGGAAGGGTCACCAGGCGAGAGACGTCCAGGTGCGCAGGGTTGGGTGTGCTTGGGCTTGAGTAGTTGGATAACACAGAGTTGCGGGCTGATTGTTGTTGCGGTGCGGGTGTTGTTTGGTCTGGTTCATGCCATCCAACCTTCTCAGGAGGATATTCAGAGTCAGAGTAGCGCTGGTTGTTGCTCGGGCCGGCTGATCCGTCGTCGATCCATTGGAGAGCTTCTCGGGCCTCCTTGGGGACGCCCATGTATTTGGATTCCCTTTTGGAGCGTTCCATTTTCATTGACGGTGCACCGCTCGAGTCCGCTTCCCACCATCGACTTGCCGGACGTCCTCGAGAGTCCTGCTCATCCACCGCATCGCTCACACTCATGCTAAGGATGGGCGATAACGAGGGCATGTAGTTCGAAGTCGGCCAGTTGTTTGCATTCGGTGTGTTTCCGCTGCTTCCTGGCGTCATCGGCTGACTAGCGCTCGACGGCGTGATGGGCGTTTGTCCATGGCTATTGGGATTTCCGCTGAAAACAGAACCGATGGAGCCACGATGTGACCTGGGCTCTGAGGACTGCGGTGTGGTCAGTTCAATCACCCCACTTGTAGCAGAGTTCGAGGACTCTCGTCTGTTGTGTGTATCCATCGGTCGGAACAGGTCGCGAGTGAGGTCAAGGATTTCGGAGCCCATGGCCCCTATAGCCGCCCCGTATCTTTCCCTCCGTATTCTGGATTCACTGACAAAGAACTCGGCAAACAGGCGGACTCGCTCGGCATCACTCGATGCCGTCATTTCTTTTTGAGCAAAGGCTGTGAAGCGCTCGATGGTGGCTTGTGTGAACTGCTCATTACTTTGGCTGATGACCGAGTGTCGTGTCAGATGAGTAGCAGGCACATGACAAGCCGAAGACGATCGGCTTCCGGTGGGTGGTGTCGGAAGAGCCTTGGGTGAAAGAGTCTGGTTGTCCTCGGTATACCGATGGGTTTCCGATGACACCCCTGTCGGTGTTAGCTGGCCAGAATGAGCCTGATTCAAGCCCATGGCTCGCGGCGTGGTGCCCCTAGATTCATGCATGTTGTCCATCGACTCTCCCGTCCTGAGACCGTCGCTCGTTCGACTGGACCTCGGTGTTCCCCGGGTGATTGTCAACCGTCTCTGCAATCCACCTGAGCCCGGAATGACGATATCCGAAAGATCCTGCGACCCATCCATGGAGTTACTAGCGCTCCCTCTTGTCCGACTTTCCGTCCTTCGCTCACGGATGGTCTTGTCGGTTCTCTGAGCATAACTCCTCGCCAGCGAGCCCATTGAGGCTTCTGAAGACGCTGCTGATTGAGGATGTGCACTCAGACTTGCGACACTCGCAGTTTCCGTTGTAACAGGTACCCTATTGTTGGGAGATGGTGTTCGGGCTTGGGCTTGAGCGTTCGACATGACCTCGGTATCTTGCCAATTTGCTGGGGTGGGCGGAACAGGCCCCAAAGCAGTGACTCCGCTGGGAGGGGCCCTGCGAGTGGGAAGCGAGACGACGACGGGGTCGTTTCCACAAGGAAATCGTTGAACACTTTGGGTACTTTGGGATCGCGCTGACGACGGCGGAGGGCCCGGTGGAGGAGGCGGTACGGGCATTGCAGAATCCCATCTAACCTGTGATGAAGACCGGGACCTGGCTGATGTCGGCGTAGCAATGGCAGGCGTTGATACTGCTCTTCGTGCCGCCGGGGCTTGGCTCGCCGTTTGTTCAGGCTGTGGTATTTGCAACGTCAAAGGCCTCGGCGAGTTCGCGTTCCCATTCATAACGCGAGACATGAGCCCTTGGTGTCGGACCGGTGGATGAATGTCTACAGGAGTGTTTGCCTGTTGTTCTCGTCGCCTGCTCAATGACGGAAACCCAAACCGCCTTTCTCTTGACGATTCTCTCGTGCCAGGGGGTGGTGGAAACGACGCGGTTGCAAGTGGCGGCTCAGTGGGAGGCCGTTGAGCTGGGGGTGCCGGCGGTGGTGGAGCTCGGGCTGCGGATATGTTCGCCCCGTGAGACGGCTCTAGCACCAGACTCATCGGCCTTGCGCTGCGTGGAGGTGAATATGGGGGTGGAGGTGGAGGGGTTGCTAACATCGTCAGCATGGCCTTTGGATCAACCCTCCTGTTGACTTGACTTACCTTGTGGCTCAAGATAAGGGTGGCCCTGTGGTGGTGGGAACTGCTGCATAGTACGATCAGAACCCGGGCCTATGGCCGGAGACGCAACCCATTCCTGCGGATTGTATGGCTGAATTGCGCTTAGGGGTGTCTGGTTCGATGAGAAGGCGTGAGAAGTCATCGACACGGCCGAGAGCGGTGTATTGGCGTGATGGCCATGATATCCCCCCAGTGAAGCCGTCAAGAGAGGATTGAGGCCGGCACGGAGGCGCGCCGTGGGATCTCTTGAGGAACTCATGGCTGGAGATTGTCGAGAATGTTCCTGATTTAGCCCGTATGGTACCACAGCATCCACACAAGGACCTGCGGGCTGACTGTAAACCCTTTTAGACCAAAAAATAAAAACTGAACAATGGGATACCGGTGATGCCAGATGAGATGTCGACGACGTGCCGAATGCCTATTGATCCCCAAAACCGTGCCTCGAACCCGCACCAAGCATAATTCTCAAAATTGTCGTCGCAACTCCATTCACAGTCGGAGATGGTCGGAACGTGGGGTTGTTGTTCAAGGCCAGGTCCTCACAAGACGGTGCCAGGACAAGGTGGACAAAGGCCCCAATGAGAGTTTCCGGTCAACCGGTGGGTTGAAGGCGCGGCTGAGGAACAGCTGGAGGTTGCATCTACCGCTTGCGCAAGTGTGGTAGATAAAGTGAAATTCGTTGGATTGGGCTGTATAAGCGATGTTTGTGAGGAGGTGAAAGAAAGGGAGAGGTTGCCCCAGGCCGCGCCCTAGTGCGGCAACGCTCACACTACACTACATGGGTGTACTGCGTAGATTCATACTCGATAAAAGCTAACCAACACACAAGAACCCCGGTCTTATAGGTCTCACGGGCGGCGAGCTAGTTGTGTAGCATTGCCAATGCATAAAACGCGGGAACCGGCCTCCTGTCTAAACAGGCCTAGACGACTGGTCCATCTTGGCAGCTCGGAGGCCAGGCCTTCTCCAAGAGGAGGTGGTTTTCCGACGGAAATACTGCTGGTCCCTCTAGGTCCCGTCGTCTGTTATCACCGCTCCAGGAGATGAAACGGTGGTGTGTACGAGGGATGCCTCATCCATACCATGGTACCGACCACATGCTTGATTGCGGATACAGTGAGGTTGCAGACGGACGGGAACATGTGCACGAAAACGGTTGCAAGTCTCGCCCTGGCCTCGCCTGCTGTGTTAATAAGTCAATAAGGTGGCCTCATCTATCCTCCATCTCCTGACAGTTTGACACCGTCGAGGCTGCCTCTGTGTGTTTCCTCGCCCGCATGGTAACTAGATGGGCAAGAGTTTTATCTGTGAGCAGCCCAACTTACGATAGGCACTAGCAAGCCCAGGCACAAAGGAGATAGATAGATCCGGAGGTGGCCCCTGATTTGCAGGAGAAGATGGTGTGCCCGTGTGACTGTTGGCTAGGCACTAGGTCGTGCTACAGTCCACCCCGCGATGGACGTTGACGAGCTGATCAGAAAATGTTGTTTTCCCAAAGCGGTATGTCAAGAGAGGAAGCAAAAGCTTTTAACGAAGAAGAGGAGTTCACCCCACAGTATCGCCGCGATGTACGGTATCCCATGCAAATCATTGACTGACAGCTCCACTGAATACCGTTGCCTTTGACTGGGTTTGGAAATTCATCGCCGAACGGTTTTTTTTTTTTTTTTTTTCCTCTTTTTTTTCTTCTGTCTTTTCGGCCGAGATATGGATATTCTGGCATTACATCGCGGGCCCTCAAAGTCGAAGGCCCAGAAGGCAGCTCCGGGGCGATTGGTGAAATGAAGATGGCGTGTCCGAGCAATTTATTTTTGGAACAAGGGACCCAAAACTCCCAACTCCGTGCTTCATCCGTGATTCGTGGAATTCGTGATATAGTTGCTGGCGCTTATCCCCCTGGAGTTTTTGCAAAGTGTGATTCGACAGCTCCTTCAGAAGCTCGAAAAAGATGCATTAGCACGATGGACCCGTTGAAGTCCCCCCATTGACGACGACAACCAGGTATGTAGATTTTGTTACGCTTCGAAATGTTCCCTGGATCGCTGTTGTTCCCGATCATCCAAATCATCCACGTGAAAAGGGACCAATCCATGGAGAAAAGAGTCCAAAGACCAGGACGATGAGTATCATTGGCAGGTTGGCTCGGTGTCAAGACTTGGTGCCAAGTTACCATCACGCGATTCTTCATCGCTCCAAATACAAAGTGAACACACCACACTTGAAGACCCCAGCTAGCTCTTCAGGCCCCATCTGTGAGACATGCCTGGTCCATGTCTCTGTGATATTGATTTCAGCATCACGGACCTGAATCTGGAAAGCGCACCCGGCCGGCCCTTCGTCAGGCGTTGAGGCGTTGAAGTGCCGAGCTGCAAGATGTTCGTGTTGATCGTACGAAACCAGACATCTCTCAGGCTGTCCGCAATATCCTCAAGAACATGGTTTTTCTCCAAAGTCGTGGCGACTGAGGTTTCACATGTCTTCTTGTGCTCACAGTGGCCTTTGATGTCTGAAATGTTTGCCATTTATGTCTCCAGGAACAGCAAGATGCCTATAAATAGCAGTATCATCTGTGCATTGATAGTGCTATCAGTCAAGTCAGACTGTGATTGTGTGACATTTCTAGCACTTCAAGCTGACCGGGTTTGCAAACAGAGGGTCCGTTAGATGCTGGGTTAGGGCAGAAGCACACAGCAGAACAGTAATGTAATATGTGAAGGGAAAGAATGTCTGCATGCCGACATGGTGATACTAGCGAGTTTATCGGCGCCGTATCACAAGGTGAGCATGCCACCTGTTTCTTTATCTCCCAATTTTGATCGTTCCATTCATTGAGAAGGTTGAATGACCGAGTACCTTGTATGGGAGATATAGAAGGAACATCGATTGCCTCAATGCCTCAGACGTTACCTACCGTTTGTATGTTTTTGACGAATCTGAATGATTCAATTCTTGATGTTCATCGAGACATGGCTTTTGGAAAAAAGAGGCAACTGAAGATCCCGAGACGTGGGAGGCTGGTGTCCGTCTTCTCCGACTAAAAGTGAACAGTGAATGGAAAAATTGACATCAGTCTCAATCGGGGGTTTATATCTCTGAAGAGCGAGGTCGTTGACCATGTCCAAGTACAGTAGAAGCCCCAGAAGCATCGAACATGTCCAGAATCCGAGAGAAGACAGAAGGCTGGCCAGTGCCCCTTTGATTGAATCGACTGATTGGCCAGACAGCTCAAGCTGCAGTGCCCGTGCTGCACAGCTCCACTGAAGCACCTCCATCCACTGCCAGAACATGGACCCGGACCCCAGAATGACGGTGCCCCTCAGTCACCTAGTCAGTCAGGCCCGACCATTACCCCGCCGCATGGTGGTCACAGCTCGGACAGGGCAGCCAGCCTTACTGCCCCTGCTGTCCGCCCAAATGGAGCCGAGTCAGTTTTCTAGAGCTTTCCAAACAAAACTCCCCGACTTGCGACTCTTCCTTATTTTTGTTTTTCTTCTCCGGCGAACCTCGCCCATTTTATCTTGACACTTTCAGTTCTTGTTCTCCCCGATTGACGACAGCAACGACCATTGATACCCCAACTATCATTTGCTTGTGTTTTCCAAGGTAAGACCGCAATCCCTCTCTTTTTCCGTCTTCCCTCCGCTCTCCTTCACATCTCAAGCATTGCACTGAATGGCACGCAATTGCGCCGACACCGCGACACACTACGGCTTCTATGATGATTGTTCAGCTGGCACCAGTCATAGGGTGACTTGTACTCCCTCCCTTGATGACAAACGCTGCGGTCTACCAGGACCATCTCTGATGTAGCCTTTTCTACACCACTCTTGCGCACATTAATGACGTTGTTTGCCAAAGCATCGCGCTAATCAGTGGTTCACAGATTCCTTCCATCTAATTCTTAGTACTTTGTTTTCTCTAAACAAACGCACAACCGTCAAAATGGTTCTGCACAACCCCAACAACTGGCACTGGGTCAACAAGGATGCCACCTCGTGGGCCAAGCAGTGGTTTGAGGACAACCTCACCAAGCTTGAGGCCAAGGAGGGAGATGTGACTGCCAAGATTAGCAAGGTTATTAGCATGGATGGAGATGTCGATGTTGCGCAGCGCAAGGGCAAGGTGATCACCATTTTTGATGTCAAGTTAACCCTGGAGTACACAGGTACGTTGTTCCGTAATAGAATAGAGCCATCATTGCACTTGAATCCTCCTTTATTTTTGCCTAAATAGACCTGCCACTGCACCCATTGCTTGGATGTGAAAAACAAGGACCGCGGGCTAAAACTCCGTTTCGCATGTAGGCTCCACTGCCACCGACGACAATGTTTCGGGCACCATTACCGTTCCCGAGGTGTCTCATGAGCTGGACGAGGACGAGTTCGTTTTCGATATTGATATCTACTCGGATGCCAACGAGAAGAGGCCCGTCAAGGACCTTGTGCGCAACAAGCTTGTTCCCCAGCTCCGTAAGGAATTTCTGAAGCTCTCTCCGGCGCTCATCGCTGAGCACGGCAAGGACATCCAGCATGCTCCCGGTTCCAACCCCTCGAGCGGCTTCTCCACTCCCAAGTTCGTCCCTCAGCCTGCCTCCTCGAGCGCCCCCGCTGTCACCACCACTTCCTCCTCCTCCTCCTCGGCGATCAACACGACGACAGTTGTAGACTCGGCTGAGTTCCGCACAAGCGCAGACGAGCTGTACGCTACATTCACTGACCCCGGCCGTCTGGCCGCTTTCACTCGCGCCCCTCCCAAGGTGTTTGAGGGCGCCAAGCCGGGCGGCAAGTTCGTGCTCTTTGATGGAAATGTTTCGGGCGAGTACGTCGAGCTCCAGGAGCCCACCAAGATTGTCCAGAAGTGGCGTCTTGAGCAGTGGCCCCAGGGTCACTACTCGACCCTGAAGATTGAGTTCGACCAGAACGACGTTGACAAGGTTACTGTTATGCGCGTCGAGTGGACTGGCGTCCCCGTCGGCCAGGAGGAGATTGTCAAGAACAACTGGAATGAGTACTACGTCCGCAGCATCAAGAGGACTTTTGGGTAAGTTTAGGGTTTCGTTACTAGTCTTTTTACAATGTACGGCGCACTAACATGGAATCTCTCACAGCTTCGGAACTATCCTCTAAACCGGGAGTACAGCATCATAACAACACACATTTCGAACGAATGGGATCAAATGAATGACACGGCGTTTGTGGCGAAGCGAGTGGTTTGTGGGCAGGTTGATCGAACGGTTGGTTGGAACTGGCATCAGTGGCATTCTAGAGCAACTTTTGTGAACAAATGCAAAAATAATTCAGCATTCCCCCAATGGGCATATCCGCCAGCGACGACGACGAACGAAGCCGATTAGAACAGGCAGAGTGGCTCAGCGATCGGCGGCAACGACAGCGAACACACGTGTCGTCACGGTATAACGAGACAAGTAGCGACAATCGAACTTGCATTTGCGAGTTGAACTTTTGTTTTTCTTGTTCAAGGACAGTGGTGATAACTTTGTGTGAAAAAGGCAAGGCAAGGTTAGGTTGCCAGCGATGCGCTTCGGCGTGTCATTTGACATTCATGATCATTTTTCCCCTGTTGACATGGATGCAAGCTCTGGCATAGATTGATATTCTGTTTGACCCATCGCTGGGCATCCACGTTGAGAGATCGTTCCGATCTCAAAGATAGGTGGGAATCAGTGGAGGTTACAGTTCGTTGGCAATACCTGTTTTGTTATGAAGAGGATGGGGTCTCCGGCATGTGAGGCTTGTGAAGTTTCATAACCTCGAAAGTTTGCCCTGAATGGACTTGTACAGTACGTGTACCTCTACCGCAAGTGCTCAGTCGTAAGAAACTTACCTACCAAAGGCGCTAGCTAGGAAAACGGGAAAATCCCATTGGACTCATCTCTCGTCTGGTTGTGCATATTGCTCTATGGTATTCTCCAAAAAGTACCATACATGTTTAGTATATTTGGGTACAAGCGCTAGGTAGCCGAGTGAATAGGCTACTACTTCTAGCAGTAAAGACCATTTCCGCGCCTATGCAGTAGATTTCTTTCTAGGTAGTCACATCACGCCCTTTGGCGGACACGCCTATGGGCTAATACGCCCTTTAACCAACATGGACGCCCTTTGGCCAACACGACCTTATATCCGTTGCTTCGGGCAGTGTTCTAGTTTCGGTACAGTGAAAGCGGCAGTCATTTTCATTGCTTGATGTCAACATCCAAGAAGCTTCGATCCACAGGTTGACCTGACTCGCCAACTTGCGCATGAACAACATAGCAACCGAGAGACTCACTGTCTACTAACACCAACAACACCAAGATGGCGCCCAACTACAAGATTGCTCTGATTCAGTTTCAACCAAAGGTATGTAGCGATGTAGGAGTCTATTCGACAGCTGAAGTCTCGAGTGGTAATATCAATGATATTATTAAGCCACTTTCCGTTGTCTTTGCTCAACCCAACCTTTTCCTTATCACCATGCGTGAATTATATCACCAACCACATACTCCAAGACTACAGATCTACAGCTATGCAACCTACACACAACATGGCCACTAACTCGTTGGAAACAATTCTAGGACGTCGCCGTCGAGGAAAACTTCCAAAAGGCAGAGTCCTACATCCGCAAGGCGGCCTTGGGAGGTGCCCAACTTGCCGTCCTGCCCGAGTACCACCTGACATCCTGGTGTCCCGAGCACCCGTCCTTCGTGGCCGCGTGCGCCGAATCCTCGGCCGACAACAGCTACCTGGCTCGGTACCAAGCCCTAGCGTGTGAGCTTAACATCAACATCGTGCCGGGGACCATTTGCGAGGTTCACCCTGCTTCTTCTTTTTCTTCTTCTTCTTCTTCTTCTTCTTCTTTTCAGGGCAAGGAACCGCCAAGCGACGATGGCGACAGCGGCAAGCAAGAACCCGCCACCTGGAAGGGGCAGCCCATCGAAATCCGCAACATGGCCTACTGGATCTCCGCCTCCACCGGCGACCTGGCCGGTTCCTACCAAAAGATGAACCTCTGGCATCCCGAACGGCCGCACCTCACGGCGGGGGACATCAAGCGACACCGGCCCCACCGGGCCTTTGACACCCCCTTTTTGAAGCCCGGCCCCAACGGGACCCAAGTTCCTATCCGGGCGGGCCTCCTCATCTGCTGGGACCTTGCCTTTCCCGAAGGCTTCCGCGCCCTGGTTGCCGACGGCGCTGACATGATTATTGTCCCGTCGTACTGGTGGGTGACGGCGGTGGATGAGAATTCGGCCAAGATCAGCCGCGATGCGGAAAAGATCTTTTTGGGGAGCGTGTGTGTGACGAGGGCGTGTGAGAACACGGCGGCGATTGTGTTTTGTAACGCGGGCGGGATGAGCCAGGTTGCGTTACCGCTCAAGGGGGTGTTGCCGCCGGTCGGGGAAGAGTGGGATGGAAAGAAGGGCGTGATGGGCGCGGAGACGGAGGAGATGCAGATTGTGGATGTCGACTTTGAGGTGTTGAGGGTGGCGGAGGAGGATTACAAGGTTCGGATGGATATGGGTGGGAAGGGCTGGCATTATGATTATACGCTTTGGAGGGATGGCCCCAAGGAGTAGGAGAAGGGCGGGTAGTAGTGATAGCTGAAGGGAAGGGTGTTTGTGTGCAATCCGCGTGATGATGATGGGATGTCGCCTGCTCCCATATTTTGGTGTCTCGAGTGAGTCGCCGTGAAGGACCATCCGAAGCATCTGCGTTTGCACTTTGCAGTCTTGATGACCCTACGTCATTCAAGCTCATTCATCCCATTCGTGTACGTCCACATCTCAGCCTCGTCAAATTCCCACTGTCGACGTTCATATTTTGTGTCCAACATGGGTTGGGATGCCTTATCATGCAGTACGGTCACAATGGCGGTTAAGTTGGAAGGCGGGCGAGTATCACACACTCATCTCAAGCCGTTTGAAACGTCGGGGTTGCACAACTGGAAGGGTTCACCATGGTGATGTGGAAGATACTAACTGAAGGACAAGCACGTGCTTAGCAAGAGTCGGAAGTTACGACTGTACGTGTAATCGGGTGAATGGTATGGGACGGGTCGGTGTGGAAGGAGGTACGGGGCAGTCACGAGCCTCAACAGCTTCGTTTCCTCTTCCCGCTTCCGTCTTTCTCCTCGCACCACAACGAAGCGAACCCAGGAGATTCCTATCCGAGGTCCGGTGCTTCTTTACAACCACCAAGCCAGGACACGCGCGAGACCAACAAGTCAGGTGCTCGTCGAAACTGACTGTCGGCCTTTCGTCCAAACTGAACCCTCCCCGCCACTCTAAGTACAGTATCTCGTCGTATTTCCGGCGCAAGTCGAGTCAACGTCCGTTTTGCGGAGGAGATACGTATCACCGAGGGACCGAAAACTCCGGTTCGTTCATTCTACTTGCCGCTGCCTCCTAAAACATCTGACAAGCAAAAGGTGTGTCCAAACCCCAACGCACAACCAACGCGGAAGTCCCTTGCAATATCCAGCTTCCATCATCGCTATTGCATTACACCCTGGCAATCAAAGTCGGGCCTTTACTGAAAGAAGCGTCAAACAGTCGTAGAAAGAAAAGGGTCGTATCTCTCATTGTCGGGCTACTATCTCCTTCCTCTTGTTTGCGCCCATCAAACCACACATCTGCCAGCAACAGTGTCACAGCTCTGATCTGCCAACGACGTGCCAGCGCAGCGTGTCAGCAGCCGAGTTACAAACTCTCGTGGACATCAAGCGTGAGCCCCATTGCTCCGACCGCAATCAAGAAGCGACATAAACCTGATTTCTCCGACGTTTAAAGTCCTACTCCGCGACACAACCCACCTCTACCCTTCCACCTTCTTTGCGACTGGATCGCGACTAGTTTAAACTCACCGCTCCGTCACTTCCCTTTCCAAATACAACCATGGTCAGAGAAGAGGTTTTCAACGTCGAGGATAACCCGTACAGTCGGGTTACTCCTGAGCACCTGCCCGAGTGTCTCAACTCCAAGACGAAGCAGCTTGAGCTAGCCAAGGCTATGGCCAACGTCTTCAGCGAGCAGGGCGCCAAAGCTACAGATGCCACCTTCTGCAAGCACCAGGGAGTTGACAGCAAGACTGTCTTTGTGTCCATGAACGAAGGATCCGACATCGTCATCCAGTTCCGCCTCCGCTCTCTCGACACCACCCCTTTTGAGCGCGCCAGAAGCTGCCCCGGGTTCGACCAATACGTTCCCAACATCCGGCTCGTAGCCGTCATCACTGACCCCAGGGACTTGGCCAAGAAATCCTGGATCTACGCATCAAACCGCATTGTCGGCAAAACCTGGACCCAGGTTGTCCAGGAGCAGGGCGTCCATATCCTTCCCAAACTCTGCAACTCGCTCGGCCGCGTGCTAGCCAAGGGCTACATCCAGGACAAAAGCCACGAAGCAGTCGTCAGAAAAGTCCTTCCCTTTCTGATCCCTTTCTTGTTCACCCTCGAGCCAGAGATGAAGCCCTACAGATCCCTTGCCATGGAGATATTGCGTCACCAGGACAAGATCAGCGAACTTCCTCTGTTCATGGCCCATGCCGACCTCTGGGCAGGTAATCTCATCGTCAACCCCGATACCCATGAGGTTATGGGCATCGTTGACTGGGAGGATTCGTTTCCTCTGCCTTTCGGCATCGGCCTGCACCGTATCCAGATGGTTGCCGGCGAGGACTTCAACTCGAACTGGCAGATCCCCAACAACTTTGAGGAGTCTGAGAGAGCATTCTGGGCTGGAATCATGGAGGGAAGTCCCGAGCACCGCCAAAAGGAGTTTCAGGAAAAAGCCCACATTATCGACCTTGCTGTCAAGATGGGCGCTCTGACGGCCGGGTTCGTCTACCAATACGACGACAAGGGACACCTGACTCTCAAGCGCGATAGCGAGACTGGCAGTCCTCTCGTCAACGGCACTCTGCCCTTCTTATTGAGTTATGAGATTCCTTTTCGCCGCGGAAGCGAGAAGGGGCCGTATCCCGAGGAATTCGAGTGGCCTTTTGAGGGAGACGAACAGCGCCAGTACAAGTGGATCTGCGAGTTGCACGAGGTAGGCCGTCCCCTTTCCGTCAAGCCTTCTGTGTAAGGCTATGGCACCTTCAACTTGTTGGGAGTCTGGATCAGTCATATTGCATCATCTGTGGACATGAATTGTAGGAGTTGGGCGCGGCAGGCAATCTGTTCGACTGGGATATCTCAGACATGGTGTTAGGTGAGATGGATCTCGGAGCATATTGGGGTTTGCTATTCCTGGCTTTCTATCTCATCGCATGTATTATCTTTTGGCTTGGTTCTCCTCGCTCGGGACACAGTCGAGGTTGCATTCAGACATACCTGTCATCCAGCAGACATATGGGACTCGGATGACTTATCTAGGGACCAGACTCGAGGATTTGCTGGTCAAGCCTCTTCATTTCGTGGTGCCCACGGTATTTGCCACAGGCACTTGACTTCTCAGTTATACTAATGCAGTGTCTTAGCCCATCATCATCTCCAATTTCTGAACTTTCCAAATCTTTCTCTTATTACGTGATGATGCAGCCCTGCAGGACTCCTGCCCTGCACATGCACCTCTGCCATCTTTCAACCCTCTCAACTCCTCCAACCCTCTTCCGCCCGCTTAAGTAGCCCTCAATCCCTACAGGTAGGTACATAAGGAAGGGAGAATGACCATATAAATAACAAAGTTCGATTAGCTCAGTTGGTAGAGCGTTGCAGGTATAGGAAAATGTACCTACAAAGGCCAGGAGTTCAACTCTCCTATCGGACACTGGCCGGGTACCTTTATCCGGCTGTAATCCGGCTTGGATGAAGTTATTCGGCCGATTTTTTTTTTTTTTTTTGGGGGGGGTTCTTTCTTTGTGTTTCCACTTTGACTTTGACTGATCACCTGCTGATTGTATTTTTGTTTGTTTGTTAGTTAATCTTCTGCTTGAGAATAAGGAACATGAAAATTGAGTTATCAGTGTAGACGACCTCATGAAGATGCACGCTCGTCTTCCAAGTTCTGCGCGTCTGGTGCCAACGAACGTCTTGGTCATCGCACACAAACCACCCACCGAGCTACCCTTTTGAATGATTAAAGGAGTAAGTTTGAAAGGAAACAAACTATCTTGTTAAGCAAATGCAAACTACTGGTAGTAGAAAAAGTATTCACCACTGTATCGTGGGCGGCAGAGCTCCGAGGTAGAAGTTGTCGAGGCATGACCGCCAGGTTTCCACCCGGTTGACCAGCTTCCCGAACTTTTTCACTCTTGCTCAAATATATGAAAGCACTTTGGATGATCCATATCCTTGTAATAACCGCATAAAATGAACAGATAAAGGGTTACTATCACAAGAGATCATAGTGTCGCCGGTGTTGTTCGGGCATTTCATTCAACCAACCCTAACCCGAACTTGAGAATGTTGACACCCCCTTTCCCAACCCCGTCAGGCGCTATTCATGATTGAGATCCCCGCTCGTACAGCGCTGGACTTTGCAGTGCCTTCAGGTGCTTCTTTTACTTAGTTTTTCATTCACCATGAACAACGCAAGCCTCGAAATTCATGATTGGCTACACCAATGTCCAATGCTAGGGTGTTCGACGCCAACAAATCAACCTGAAGCCCATGTCAGGATCATCTACAGCCACCTATATCCTTCATAAAACAGTTGTCCATTAGCGGTTTTTTAGAGCGTAACAGTGGGTTCGGCCTGCAGGCCAAGAACAGCGAGATGGATGCAGCGATGGTGGCATTCGCTCCTCTTCCTCACCTTGATCCCCTTCAGTTGAATAGGTAGCCTCAACGTGGAGCACTTCAAAAGGCAAACGACACCGACAAATCGTATTTTTGTATCTCCTGTAAGCCCACGTCGATGGAGTCACTCGCCCAGAACTTGGACCACCTAACCATCACCTCCCACCCCTCCTCATTCACATCATCATCCTCCTCTTCCTCGGTCCCAGCATGGATCCTGGCATGCTTCGCCGAGAGAGCAGCGGACGCCAAAGCCGCCGCGATCAACAACCATGCTTCTCAAGAAGAAAAAGAAGCAGAACATGACCAAATGGATCTCGACATCGTCGACCCAATCCTCCCCAGAAAAACAGTCCTCCAATCCTCCTCCTCCTCCACCCCTTCCGACCACTTCACCCAAGCAGTCTGGGGCCGCGTCTTCAACCACCGCCGCGATTACTCCCTCACCCCCCACGTGCACGCCGTCGTCCACCCGCGCACCACGGCCGAAGTCATCGCCGTAGTCGAGTACGCCAAGGCCACAGGTAAGCGCGTGAGTGTGCGTAGCGGGGGTCATAGTTGGGCGGCGTGGAGCGTGAGGGGGGATGCTATCTTGGTGGATTTGTGTGAGTTGGAACTGCCGGATACCCTTAAGATAGATTGGTTCGGGCATCATGGAAAGTACGGGTGCACGGAGCGAGTGATGGATGATTCGGCTGAGAGGGAGCCGGCAGAGGCGTGTGTTTGGTATGATGAAGAGTCACAGGTAGTGGCTTGTCCGCCGTCGATGACGGGGCAGGAACTGAATGACTTTTTGGTGTGGATGGGAGGAAGCGGGAAGGAGAGGATGTTTGCGGGCGGGCATTGTCCTGATGTTGGGTTGGGAGGGTTTTTGCTGCAAGGAGGGATGGGGTGGAATTGCAAGGTGAGTTCCAGTCTTTGAATCTGGGATGTAGGTGAATATCTCTACGATGCTGACATGAAGCTTGATAACACCACATATAGAACTGGGGATGGGCATGTGAATCCGTCATCAGCATGGAAGTCGTGACAGCCAATGGCCAACACCTTCTCATCAACAACGACTCCCACCCCGATCTCTTTTGGGCAGCGCGAGGAGCAGGCCCCGGATTCCCCGCCATCGTCACTCGTCTCTACCTCCGTACACGGCCACTTCTGGAGATGTACCAAAGCCTATACTTCTACCCTGTCTCGCTCTTCAAGAAAGTCCTGCAATGGGCAATCAACGTGTGTTCCCCCCAGTCATCTCTATCTACCACCTAGTTTCATCTACTCACCCACCCCTGCCCATTTCCAGATCGCACCAACCTGCGACCCAGGCATGGAAATCGTCTGCGTCTCCTCCCACCTCCGCACTTCCAAAAACCCATATGACCCGAACCCGGCAAAGGACTCAGACTACGACCCCGAACCCACCATCCTCGCCTCCTTCACCCTCCTCACCACCTCCCGCTCCGCCGCCCTCGCCGCCCTGCAACCCATCCACGACCTGCACCCGCCCGGCACCAAACACCTGGTCTTCTGCCAATCTACTTCCCTCGGGCAAGAGTACAAACAACAACTGTTAGCCAGCCCGTGGGGACATAGGTATTGCTGTGATAACGCTTATATTTCTAATGAATTGTCGTCTTCCGGTCCATCCTCCTCATCCGGCTTTGCAGCACACGAGACCGCGGAATCTATATCAGTCCCCGACGTCCTCGAAAAGGCTTTCACGACTTTACCAACGGTCAAATCTTCTGCTCTCTGGTTCTCCATGAGCCCCCGATCCCGCCGCCCGCTTCTAGATCCCCAGGGAGAACCAATGGCCCTGTCGATGCAGAGTGATCACTACTTTGCTGTTTATACAGTCTGGTCTGATGAAAAAGACGACGAGCGGTGTACGGGGTGGGTTAGGGATATCTTTAAGGGTGTGGAGAAGTATGCTGTGGGGAGTTACCTGGGGGACGCGGACTTTAGGGTGAGGAGGGCGAGGTTTTGGAGTGACGAGTGTGCGAGGAAACTGAGGGAGGTTAGGAAGAAGTGGGATCCGGAGGGAAGGATGGGGGGTTTTTGTGACGATAGGAAGGGGGATAAGGAGATTTTGAGGAATGGAGGTGGGTGGGTTTGAGTAAGGAAGAGTTGGGAAATCATCGATTCTGAAAATATCTAAGCTGGAGGTACCCAGATGGTAACTTCGTAAGCCTACCAAAAATGCATCAGCGAAATAATCTAAGGCGTCTGTGAAGCAGATGAAGGCATTTTCGCACAAGAGATACGCCCATCTGTAAATGAAAAGGGGTATCGACCAGCTCAGTCCAACGCCTCCCCCAACACCACCCATGCATTTCGCCCTCGAGTAAAGACATTGCAAGCCCACCTGAACTCCCTCAATTCCATCCTCGAACGCCTCATCAGAATGAGGTTAGGCCTAAACCGAATCCACCATCTCAACATCGCTATCATCCGCCCCTTCATACCCGCTGTCCCGACCCTCCATATCTTGATCCCCGTTCTCATCATCATCCTCATCAATCGTCATCAACTCCCCATTTCCACTTTCACTACTTCTCCCAAGCAAATTACCACTATGACCGTCATCCTCGCCATCCTCATCCACATTCGTCAAATCAACACTCTCCCTCTCGGACAGCCTCGGAGTCTGCCTAACGAATAGGTCTGATCCTGAACTCCCTGAACTCCCTGATGAAGATCTATACCGTAACCGTATTCTGTAAGTAGACGCCGACCCCGCTCGACTTCCATTCCCATTCCCATTGCCTCTCTCAATTACCAACGACCCAGACCTGGAAACCGATCTAGAAAGCGACCGAGAAAGCGACCTCGACATGGACAAAGACATAGAACCCCTCCTTAAAGCCACAACACTAGCAGATTCCAGAGCAGCTGCGTTGTTAGGAGGTAAGTACCTCGCCGCCGACGACGCTGGTTGGATGTTAAGCAACGAAGCGAAGCTTTGGGGACCTCCATGTCCTCTTGGTGTTGAATTACTCCTGGAACTAAGTCCTGAAGGAGTTTCTAGACGTCCAAGGTTGGCTGGGACGGAGAAGCCTCTGTCCAGAAGACTGGAAGTCATGGAACCCATGGGCGTGAGGGAATGGAGGCGGGCTGGGACGGATGCTGTGACGCTGGGGCCTCCTTCTGAGGAATGAGGGGTTGGACTAGGCTGGTGTTGTTGGGGTTGGTGGTTGCGCTGGCTAACAAAGAGGTTATCGTCGTCTGAGTCGGACTCTGAATCAGATGAGAGTTCGATCATCACACTGGCGGCCCTTCCGGTAGTACTTCTAGGTGGTAAGTCGGTTTCTGTATTGGGACCGGGGGTGGATTCCGAATTACCAAGATCAATGGCATCGGTAATGGAGCTTCCTGTGACACTCATAGCCGGGCCTCCACCCCCATAGTGCGGTCCACTGGAGGACGAAGAACTTGAGCTCGAATTCGAAGAGTGCCCCTGTCTTGGACTACTGCTCGCACTCATATGCGACGGAATATGAGGAAAGTCTTGTCTTAACTGGTCATACGACCATTTGTTGATATAAAAGCCTTTGACGAGATCCCAATCTGCCTGGCTGGGGTTCCAGTGGTTATTGTTACCGAAAAGAGGCTCCAGGTTCTCCAGTCTTGAGCTTTCCCGACGGCTGGGAACTTTCTGCATAGTAGAAGTATTTGTAACGTCCTCGACGAACGACCAGTCCGCTACTGACTCACGGGTAGCGGTCCTGGATGTAGATGTAATGGCCTTATACAAGTCATAAAAGCGAATCCATTCCAGACCACGGAGGGCATAGATGAAATCCATTCCTTGAATGCAGCGGAGGGCGCGATGCTTGCGCTGGTTAGGCTGGCCAGCGGTTTGGCGAACCATAATGTCCTGGATGATTGAATTTTCATATCGACGACGGGTATATCTCTTCTCACTTTCATTGACGAAAATAACCAGACTTTTGAGACGATGACAGTCCAGGAGAAAGCTGAGAGGGGAGGTGCGGCGCGAGACAGGGATACGACCATTTCGGTCCAAAGGAACGGTCAGGTATTGATTTCCCATCAGTGTAATCTCAAGGTGCTGTAAGCGGCTGATACGGGCCGGACCGATCCCTTGACAGAACCGTGAAAATTCGCCCAAGCTGGAGAAAGCGAATGTATTAAGGCCGTAAAAGCAGTGGATGCCAATGAAGAAGAATCGACGGCATACAAGAAGGATACGGAGTAGAGAATTAGGGTTTTGCCCGCTGTTAGTGATGTTACAGCGCCGCTCCCCCCAAAAAAAGACATTTTTGAGACCACTTCGGTTTCTGAGGGCCGCTTCTTCTGGAAAATCCTGGTTTGGGACGAAGGGGTCGAGTCGGGAAATAACGTGGATAAGCTTGTCCTTTTTGAATAGCCAGAGTTTGAAAATCCTAGCCTGGACTTCGGCCGGGAGGGCATTGAAGTTAAAGCGTCTGTCGTCGGCGGGTCTAGGACCAGATGGATCTGCTGCCTCTCCTTCCTCTGGCGTAACGAACTTGATATTGGGATGCACCCAGTTGGTTCGCACGCTCATATTCTCCTCCTTATTGCATTGTTTCCATACTGTTTTCCATGGCGGTTGTCTGGTTGCAATGTGTTGGCGTAGCATTTCTGGCCAGGTCTAGTTGATATCAGTATCTGTCCAGTGTCCAAACTTACTTTGCTATTACATACCACTTGTGTGTGCTTTGCTTTTTTCGCCTTCAACCTGTCAATCTCTCTCCTGAGGTCATCCGCTTCTTCTCGGGCTCGATCCCTCTCGTCTCGGAGAGTATCGTTAAGTCCAACTAGAATGACACGAGCATGGGCACATTGCGTGTTCGTACAGGGCCCTTCTTCATTTGGCTCGTCTCCATTGAGAGTGGGTGGTGGCGTAAGGTCGTCCATGGTCTGTGATCCCCTGGATGTCTCAATGTGAAAGAGAAACGGATACCTGAGATCAGATCCGATGGCCACGAAGTGTTCAAGTTTGGCACTCGCTGTAGTTAGTGAAGACGGATGGCGTATGAACAGTGAGTTGATGGAGATATGATGTTTTGAGGGAAATATAGATGTCCGGCGAAGGAAAGGATGATAGGAAGGGAAGGATATGAGAGAAGATATAAGCAGAGAATGAGGCCGCTGTCGAACCGGCTTACCCGAGGCTTGTTGAGGATATCGTTGAGAGTCAGGAGAAGAAGATGGTCACCGGAAGAAGAGAAGGAAAGGCCTTTTTATGGTGGGAGAACCCTGAGCCGCGATGGGGTACGAGTGTCGATGGAGAGTAGAGGGAGGGTAATCGGCTCCCGCCCCGGAGGTAGAGATGGAAGCCGAGGCGATGTATCGGATGAGTCTGTTGGTATCGAGAGGGATGGAAACACAAGGACACCAAGTGGATGAGTGGAGGTGAGGAAGTACTGAAGATTGGGATTTTTTCTGATGGTTCTGGTGGGAAAACAAGCAGGTAGTCTGCTGGGCACTAACTTGGCGGAGGAGAGACTGCGAGAAGATGGCGATAGTGTCAAACCGGCGGAAACAGGGTCTGTGGATGCAAATAGCAGTTCAGCCAGGATATCTCGAATCGGGCCCTCCTCCAACTGAGGCATCTTGGCTTGGAACCTCAAGTCATGGTCCTGTTCAGGCAAGGCAAATTCAGTCCTATATAGTAGACTGTTTGCTCGAGTGACCTCGGTACGACTAGATGGTCCCATCAGGAAGTCTCACTTGACCAGGATATGCAAAGGTCGGAGGAATGAGGTGTACTGAATTCAGACGAAAAGGATAAGGCAAGATATATCGTTGCCAGGGCGAAAGCGAAGCGTCTGTTTACTATGGCGAAGGCAAACACGGCCGGGGAGACGGTGATGGTCATAGGTGATATCCTCCTGATGTTGCGAGTGAGGTCATTGTTGACTCGGGTTTCCCGGCATGTGATGGCACAATACTGGAGGTGGGTCCTCAATTATAAGCAAGCACTCTTCCGTCTACTGATCAACACATTTGGAACCTCGGAGAACTCGTGATACCAATGACTATTGCAATAATCACATTGGTAATCCTCGTACGATCAATGTCGATGAAGATGAATTCGCATCTGTCGTCTGTCGTTGAAGGGTGCAAGCCAAACTCGGAAGTGGCCCGCCTGTTGCGTCGACGACCGATAGCAAACTCCGCGTACACTTTTTCGCAAGTCCCGGCAACGGCAAGCGGGCGAATGTCCAGACGGCAGACCTTGGACCATGTAAGCCGCAAGCCCAGATTCCCCAATAACTCTCGTACCCATTCCGCCTTGTGCGTGGCCAAGTGAGCGATATGGTGTGCGGGAGCCTGGAAACACTTCTGATGCGCGGTATATGGTAGGTTGTAAGTTCTCGAAGGTTGCAGCTGGTCTCCTCGAGTTCAACTCCAAACTTGGGCGACTGAGCTTTTTTTGACTTTTTGTGGTCTTTCGAATCCCCCCTTCCTTCCCAAACCGTGCTTCCATCGATTTCGGATCCTATCGGTCATCTGATCTGGGATCTCGCACATCATGCTTGGTCTTTGTCGATGCCATCGCCGTCATGGTATTAGTCGGACCCGATCTTATTCCATCCCAAACCCTTTCCCCCCTTCTCCTGCTCAACCAAAGCAATTGTCGCGGCTCCAAACCCCGTCTTCCTTGGCTTCCCAATCCCATGTCTAAACAGATCGAACTCCCATAACGCCTTTCTTCCATCCATATTCAACCCAGCAATAATACAGTCTGTCTTTCTTGTACACCCGCATACGGTGCGGTCATGGCGCGGTTGACCCTGCACAGTTTACTTGTCCTCCTCCCCTTCCTGAAACTCCTTGGGCAGGTCCATACCGACCCTCTTGGCCGTCAGTCTGACCCTCGTCTCCTCGTCCATGCCCATGCCGGGGTTGTAACGCTCCAGCAAAGTGACGTATTCCCGCTGCGCCTGGAGATAGGCAAGGAGCTGCTCGGCTTCGGCGACGGAGGGTTTGTGAACGGGGATGCTAGCGCCGGCGGAGGCGGGGGAGGCGGCGGAAGAGACGAAGTCGCGAAGGCGCTGGTGGAGGGGAGCGCGCGGGGTGGTGAGCAAGGGTCGGGGAGGGAGCTCGCGAAGGAGGGCGCGGTAGAGATGGAGGATGTTGGTCTTTGCGGCAGACATGTTGGCGTTCACTTAGTCTGGTTGGGTGATGATGTGGGAGTGGTGGATAGCGGTTGGGTTGAGAGGGAGGTCGGAAATGGGAGAGTTTGCGACGGCAGAACGCGGGCGGGTGTGGACTGGAAGAGGACGCGGCGAGATGCGATGGCGGATCGAAGATGAGGTCAGTTTGGACTTCCAGCTTGCGCTCCAGAAAAATGTCCCGAGCTTCCAAGAGAGCTCCATCCGATTTCACCTTTGACCCTAACCCCTGGTATTGAACAGCTTATCGGAAAGATGATTAGTCTCCGCGGCAGGCAAGATGGTGTTATCGGGACTTAGCATGGCATACCTTATCAATGACAGAAAGAAAGTCGAATTGAAATCTGCGACTCTCTCTCCCATCACTGCTGTCTTGTTGCGCCAGACAAGATCCCGATTACCTCAGTTGTCGGCAGCATACTCCGCCATGACATACCAAAGGACAATGGCCAGTATTTTGGCCATGCCTCCCAACCTGAGGTCCGTAGTCCTCCGACAACTCGCAGCCTCCCGACCCGTCACAGTTGCTGCCCCGATCTCTTCCATCCGTCTCTTCAGCTCCACGACAGCGAACCCAGCACGACAACGCCCGGCGGCACGATCTACGTCGCGATCTCAACCCACACAACCAGGGAAAACCCAGGGAAAACCAGCGGAGAAACTCAAAGCGAAGCAACACGAAAAACCCAAAGACAAACAGCCAGAGAAGCCCAAAGCCAAGCAACCAGAGAAACTTAAAGCGAAACAACCGGAGACATCCAAAGACAAACAAGCAGAGAAACCCAAAGACACGCCCAAGAAGATCAAAAAGACCGGGCCAGTCGAAAAAGCGCCATCATCCTTCTCCTTCCTCCCACCCCCCTCCAACGACCCCAACCAGCGCGCCCTTCCCGCCCCGGCCCCGACCGCCAACTCCCTCTTCGCCGCCACCCACATCTTCACCTGCCAGAAACCCTACTTCATGTACGCCGCCCCTCGCTTCCTCAACTTCCCCGTCAACACGCACGTGCCCGAAGTGTGCATCCTGGGCCGCTCCAACGTGGGCAAGTCCACCTTGATCAACGCTTTATCGGGCGCCGCTGGCGCCGCCGCCGGTCGCGCTCACGGTCTCGAAGCGCGCCGGGCCGGACGGGCCATTACGTCCGCGCACGCGGGTAGCACCAAGACGATGAACGCATACGGGTTTGGCCCGCCACCGAAAGTGGCGCCGCCCAAGAAGGAGGCGGAGCCCGAGGCTGGGGAGTCACACGCGATCAAGTCGCGGTCGGAGAAGAGGGAGGAGAAGAACAAGTTCAACAAGGAAAGGAAACCGACGAATCAGCTGATATTGGTGGACATGCCCGGTTATGGGTTCAACTCGCAGGCGGAGTGGGGCAAGGAGATTACCAAGTATTTGGAGAAGAGGAAGATGCTCAAGGGCGCCGTGGTGCTGATCGATTCGGTGGCGGGGGTCAAGAAGGATGATAGGACAGTGTTGGGTATGTTGAGGGATGCCGGTGTCAGGACGACGGTGATCTTGACCAAGGCGGATAAGATTGACTCGATGGAGGAGTATCGCCAGGGGACAGGAAAGGAGAGGAAGGAGGGGTCGATTGGGGATATGTGTGTGAAGGTGTGGGAGGAGTTGAGGAAGATTGAGGAGGAGAGTTTGACGTGGGTGGAGGGTAAGGGGTGGGAGAGGGAGCTGTGGGTGACAGGCGCGGGTGACCCGAGGAATGCTGGGTTGGGTATTGCAGGCGCACGGTTGGCGATTGCAAAGATGGCTGGTCTGGTTAGGGACGAGCGGGCGCTGGCAGATGAGGAGGCACCGGAGCTGGGAAGTGTGGTGATGAAGCCAGCGCCGACGGTGAGCAAGATTATACCATTTGACCAGATCGTATGGGCAACGCCGCATCAGGGGACAGCAGGGTCTAAGGGAAGCCGGGAGAAAGCGTCGTTCTAGGTGGATGATCTGATGTCCGCTTGGAAGTCACTGTAATATTTATGTACGATTCGAAGCAATGCCAATAGACTTGATACCCCTTGGAACATGTAAGTATGAAAATCATCACCAAACTCATTCCTCATTTTGCCCGTAGACAAAGTGAAAAACACGTTTTGGTCTCTAGTTGCTAGCATCTATCTGCTCTCAACACGTCTAATGGGTATCCCAAATCTCAAAACACCACTCAAGAACTCCGTCTCCTACTTCTCCCTCTCTCCCTTCCAAACTCGCGCTCGTCAACAGGACTCCTACCCTTTGACTCCTTGAACATGAAATACGGCAAGAAGACATCGACAAGATTATCCCAAAACCCGATATCATAGAGATTCTCCACATCCTTCAACCTCCAAACGGCCTCCCACTCTCCCTCACCCGGCAACCGATGACTCGACCTGGGGGGCTTTCCATCCTCCGTCCTCACCATAATCTGCTCCGCCTCAACGGGCCACCTCGTCCACGCCGGCTCGACCTTGAGGTCTTTCTCCCTGCTTCCATCCGCCGCCATCCGCCGCTTATACACCCCGCCCTCATCCATCTCCGCCTGCCAATCCTGCCACTTCATACTCTCATTCGTCGTCGTCCCACAATAAACCAGCCACAAATGGTATCCCAGCAACCCCCAAACCAACGGCGTCGTCAGCAGCGCCAACAAGGTAACGCCCCCCATGGCCACTCCCGACTGTAGGCCCCAGCTCCAGAGGAGCAACCACCGATGAAAATCCAGGTCGCCGCTGTTCCATGCTTGAGTGGAAGTCCACCACGGCATCAACGTCCAGTAGGGGAACCTCGCCTGGATCTTGGCCCGGATAATCACCAGCCCCAGAACCCCGCCGTAGAGGGTGAGGATGGCCGTGCTGAGCAGCAACAAGATGAACCACCGCTGGTTGTTGGCCCCGACGCAGTTGTTGATGAAGATACAGTGGTGGTCCATCCTCCCGACGCACTTCTTGCAAATACTGCAGTGTTTCGACCTCGCGGGTTTCAGGAGGCGGCACGTCTCGCAGCTCGTGCCGGGGTGGAAGAGGGTGAAGTCGTAAGGGTAGCGGGCCATTTCGCGGACATGAGTCTTGGCGTTGATGACACCCGGGTCGGTGAAGGCGGAGAGGTAGAGGAAGATATAGGGACATAGGATGGCGATGGTACCGAAGAATTTGTGGGTGAAGGAGAAGTGAGGCCAGGCGACGGGTAGGTAGAGGTATTCGCCAACGGAAAGCAAGAGGAAGAAGAAGATGAGGATGGTCGGGTGTTGGTCGTACCAGAGGTGGCGGCCGAGGCGGGTGAGAGAGGTGGTCAGGCGCCCGTTGGTCAAGGTGCGGTCGACGGTGAGGACGCCATTGGGGAGGTGAATCCAGATGAGGCGGTGGAGAAAGGAGATGGGAGTGTTTCTTTTTATCACAGTTAGCAATCAAGATCAAGTATTTGGGTGGGAGAATGGTTGATGTACCGTAGTGCAGGTAGTCTGCCGAAAAAGGCCACAAAGGTCATGAATGAGATGCCAAGGATGACGGCGGCGATGATTGCGATGGTGCCCATGGTGTCGAGTCCCCGTTTTTTCCTTCACTTGTTGTCCGGGAGGTGAGAATCATAATACGAGTTGGTAATTATGGATGAGTCTTGCCCAAATCGATCAGGTCTAAAGGTGGAGGGTAATGTTTCCAGTTCAGTTGGTAAAGGTGAAGTTGGGTCTCCTCTCTTTGTGAGGCCGCGGGTGTCTCGGCCAGCGAACACCCCTGTCAACATACAGCTGTTCTCAGGAGGGGCAAACCGAGAGGAATGAAATGGAAAACACCAAGGAAAGACTTTATGAACAGAATAAAAAAGATGGCAAGAATCAGAAGTAAGAAGAGGAGGATATGGGGGGAATCAGCTCTGTGACTTGGCAGCTCGGACCACCTCAGTCGTCGTCGATGCCAAGACCGACATTCTGTTTTTGGATGCCTCTAGCCTGTAGGGTTAGGGTCAGAGCCCTGTTCGTCCCCGTGAGAGCGCGACGAAGGGTCGAATCTCCACGCCAAACACGCGCGAACAAAGAGAGGGAAGGCACGGCGCTTCACACATAACTCGGTGGAAGGTTCCATGTTGATGCTGACATCGATCGATTGCTTTCATCAAACATCCATCTTGAGGTACAGCTTCTCCCTCGTCATCTGCTTTTCACTTCCATTCTGCTCCGGGTTGGCTGGCCCACCGTGATTCGCCCGCCCGCCAACGCACGCTTCACTTTGACTGTGCCCAACGGACGCCACGCTCACAACAACAAAGTGAGGCCATTGCCAAATTCGCCAAACACCTATAATAAATCAACAAACTAACCACGCTCTACACTCAAGCCCTCCGCCGTTCACAACCATGAATTAAAGTGTACAGTTGAAGCCTTTCTTTCTTGCGCTGCCAAGTGACTGAAAGAGCTCAGACCCAGGGTTAGGGCAATAGCCCATCAGTCACACTTCAAGATGCCGTCAGCCGGAATCGTGTACGAAGGGGCCTTGGCCAATCAGACTCCGGATGGGAACAACAACCAAACTCCATCCGAGGGCACTCTCTTCAAGGGACTCAAGTTTTGGATCTCCCTAAAAGTGCCAGCTCGCCAGTCCTTAGTTGAGTCAGTCAAGGTATGTTGCGCAATTGTTTTGTCTGCGCCTGACCACATCACTGACACCTCACATAGGCCCATGGAGGGAAAAAGGTAGAACTGGAAAAGAATGCAGATATTCTCATTGCAGACCATGCCAAGAAAAATCTTGCCCCTGCTGGCTCTCTATCTTGGAAGTACATCACAGATTCCATCAATGAGGGTCAGCTGGCCGACAGAGACCTTTACACAATCGACCATGCCACTGCCAAGGGAGTGCGTCCTGGCGGCTCAGCCACGTCTACCAAGAGCACCCGGACCCCTTATACACCACAGGACGACAACCTCCTGATTCATTGGGTCTTGGAGAAGGAGAGGTCAGGCGCCTATATCCGCGGCAACCAGATCTATATCGACCTTGCCGAAAAGTACCCCCGACACACATGGCAGTCATGGAAAGATCGCTTCAAGAAGCAATACGATCATCAACACAGGCACGGTCTAGCTGAACTGCTTCCTCATAACTATCAGCCGCCACCACCACCAGATCAAGCCCCTGCACCCGTCCGCAAAGAGGAGAATGTCAGACCCGGCACGCCTCCCGCAACAACTAGCACAGTACACACACCAGCCCCAGACCGCTCACAGGCTGTGTCTGCACCCGCCACCGGCAGAGTCACCTTCACCCAAGACGATGACCAGGATTTCATCGGATACCTCAAGCAGATGAAACGGCAAGGAGAAAGCTTACAGGGGAACCTCATCTACAAAGTGTTCGCGGAGCAACACCCACGTCACAGTTGGCAGTCTTGGCGAAACAGATGGGTTGAAACCCTACAGGCTACAACGAACCTGGACGAAGATGATCTTGCCGCCCCGAATCCTCCTGAGCCCAGCCTTCCTAGGCCAACTCCAAGGGCTACCGTTCACCCCCAAGTAAAGGCGACGCCTCAGAGTGCTGATCAAGCCGCGCCTAAGAGGCGAATTTCAGCAGCTGTGCATAGAACGCGTCAGGATGTCCCCACAAAGAGCTGGAGCTCACCCATGGGCCCTGTAAAAGCTACAATAACAAGCTCTGCACACAAACACTCCCCGCCTCGCTCGACACCTTCGCGGCTCGAAGAAATAAACAAGCGAGCTCGCTTGGTTCATGGAGAAAAGAAGAAGATTAAGAGTGCTTCTATCATTCAACGAGCCTGGCGATCTTACCAGGCCCGGAAACAAGACCCCGAGCGGCAAAGTTTAATCATGTTCCAGGCTCTTGCACAGGGTGCTTTGGTCCGATGGGCTTGTGCACCTGCCTTTGAGTCCCAGTCTCAGCAGTATAGTGAGGATGAAGGGTCCGTTGATCTCGGACACCCACTTGAAGAGGGAGTTTCGGTGCCCACACAAACACCGAGAGAGCAGTTCTACGTATATCTCAACCGGTATAAAGAGGCCATTGAGGCCAATCCAGTCACTTGGGTAACAATTGGGGGTAAAGCTGTTGACATGTGGGATCTATGGACGGCGGTTACGGAACAGGACGTGCCTGCCAATGCACGGGACTGGCAAGAGATTGCTGAACTGCTGGACTTTGACTGGATCGCCGAGCCAGATGTTCCCAACCAGCTACAAACAGCATTCCAGGAACACCTTGCTGAATTCGAAAACTACTACAAGGAGTTTCAGGAAGCCCAATCATTTGAGCTCAATCAAGGGACAGACGAGGATAGCGAGGAAGAAGAAGAAGAAGAAGAAGAAGAAGAAGAAGAAGAAGAAGAAGAAGAAGAAGAAGAAGAAGAAGAGAGTGAAGAGGTGGACAATGACAAAATTGAGGCGGAAGAAGAGGAGGATGATGCTAATGAAGCAGAAGACACTACCCTACGTCAAGACCCCAATACCACCGAGTTTAGGTCCTCTCCACCCATTCCCATCATAGGGGCCCTCAAATCTTCAGGGGCTTTGAAGAGGAACTCTGATCAGATGATGACCTCCCCGCTGGACAGAATGACAAGTAAGCGACCACGATACGATGTGGAGGACGAGGTCCCAGAATCGCCGCCTAAGAGATGGCAATCTCCGCTCCCACCAATTCTGGAAGCAACCTCCAGGCCAGAACTGGCTGCCGATGTCGCTCTGATCAACAAAGACAACGAGGACGATGCTGCTGACGATATGCCCATCCTTGGAGATGATGGGGAAGACGATGGAGTGGATGAGTACAGGGAGGAGGATGAAGACCCGTTCATCACACAGCCACAACAACCCTGGCAGCCCACAGTGGAAGAGGCTTCGTCCCTACGATCTTCTTCAGCCTTTAGATCGCAAGAGCTTTCATCAGCGCAGAAAAAATCTGCTACTCAACCAAACTCAAAGACACAGGCCCAATATATCTCCTCTGACTCGGATTCCAATTCAAGCAGCGACGCCTTCGGCCCGCCTATCGACTCTCCTCGGCCTCCTCCCGAGCAAAGACGCTCTCCCATTCCTGTTTCTGTCCCTCGCCCCTCCATAGAAATCCCAACAGCTCGCAGACAACTTCCCCCAAGAGATACCGCACCTGCCTCTCGTAGCCCCCCACCTCGCTTCCGTATTCCCCCCGATCCCTACGCCGCAGACGACGAAGGCAGCAGCAACCTGCGCCGTACATCACCACGCCAAATCCAACACCAGGCACAACCACAAGCATCCTCTCATGCCCCTCCCCGACCCTCTGCTTCACGATCCTCCCTCGCAGCCCCCGCCGGCCATCAAGACCGCCACCAAAAACCACATCCGCAATCCACAGCCCCACCAAAACCATCACCTCACACCGGCCGGGACCTAGGTGACGGCATTGCCTCGGAAGATCCCTTAGCCATCATCAACCGCTACCTCGCCCGTGGCTACAAGCAGCGGCACTGCATCCGGGGCATGCGGGCGACAACGCACGATCCTCTTGTGGCCGGTAGGGCAATCGATGCGTTGGAGTCCGGAGGGGGGTTGCCGGATAATGTGCCGGGGATTTGGACAGAGATTGACGATGACGGGTTGCGATTGCTTGAGAGGTGGGAGAGGAGGATGAAGAAGGGGAAGAAGATGGATGAGGAGGCGAAAGAGGTGGAGAAGAGATTGTTGGAGAAGCATGGACGCAAGAGGATGAAGTTGCGAATGGATTTCTTCAAAGAGTTGGATGGGTTGGGTAAATCGAGAAGGAAAGATGATAGTCGGTACTTGATATGAGCTTATTTGATGGTGTTGTTGTTGTTGTTGGATTACCCAGGTTGCTAGGAGTTATGAGGGGACTAAAACTGTAAGTGAACTTTTATTGTGCAGGTACTAAAGGAACAAGAGACGTTGGGCAACTTGGAGATATTCCCAACCTGGAGGTATCTATTCACGCTCTTCCCATGATGTCTATCTCTATCAATTCACTTATATGAATGACAGACATCTGTACAATCGATTCTTTCCAAGGATACACTTAAATTGCTACCTTGGATCCCATACGTGTATTACTATCGCGTTTCCCTCTCCGTATCCAAATTACGTTCTCGAAATTATCCAAGTCTCTTCTCCGTCACTTTTCATTTTACGCTTGCTTCTTCATCACACGACCAGGACGAATATCAACAAACCCCTCATCAATATCAACGCTATTATCCTCCAAAAAGAAACCCGCCCATTCAGATGGCTGAGCGACACTAGACTTACTCCACGTGTGAGTACTGTCTTCTTACCTTCCTTCCTCCTATTCCTCCTCCCTCCTTCCAAACCCCCCATTCCTCACATATCCCCTTCCTCTCCCCATTAGGATTATGCATACCCCCTGTTTCTCCCCATCGGATGATCCACCCACTCCCACTCTTCTTTATCTTCTTCCTCCTCCTCCTCCTCCTTCATCTTCTTCTTCTTCGGCCCAAGCTTAGCTCCAACATCAAGTGAAAGATCCATCCATTCCTCCGCGCTATCTTGAATCAGGCGAGATACCCGATGAGAGGAGCGTCTGCTGCCGCTGCTACCGCTAAAAGCAGGATGGAACTTGGGCGTCGTAAGTCGCTTGAAGGACGCTTCAGACGAGGCGAGGAGGGCGACGTCGGAAGGGGAGAGGGTGAAGGGTCCTAGTTGGACGGAGGAGGGGGTGGGATTTTCGGTGGTGGAAGTTTCTGTGGGCGGTCTGGAGTAGTTGGGTTTTCTAGTAGTGGTAGTTGTGGTGAGTGGTTTGGAAGCTTGGGTTGGAAGAGGGCTTGCAGGGGGGTTGTAATAAGTACCTCTACCGTTGATATGATGCTGCTCGACGTCGTTCGTCTGCTGCTCGATGTCGTTCGTCTGCTGCTCGCCATCTATCAAGGATTCGATCCGACCCGAATGATCTAAAGAAGAGAGACGGTTGAGTCGTCGTGCCTGCAACCGGGCCACAGCACGTTTGACTATAAAGCGCGTCGAAAAATACGCGGGGTGGGCATCAGGATCAGGTTCGGTTCGAATTCCTAGCGGTAATTGCATCCCAGGACGAAATGAGGCAAGCAGCGTCTTGGGTCGGTGGTGGTGTATGTTCAGAGCATCTGCTTTTGTGTTCGAATTGGCCCAGTGGCCATGCTGGAACTCTTGTTGGTGTCTGTCAACCAGTTGTGCTGGACAACCGAGATCTGAACCATCGAATCTTTTGGCCCGGGTTTCTTCACGGCTGCTGTCGCCGAGGGTTTTATCTCTAGACGGCGTAAAGAGGGGAGCGCCACCATCACTGTCACTGTCACTGTCACTGTCACTGTGACTCTCATCTTTCCCATCCGGTTGTGTGGTCCCTAACATACTATATCTGCTTCGGGACATAGTACCAACCCGCAAGCTGGAGGCGTGGCTGCTGTTAGGGGTCGACCGCATGAAGAGAATCTCGTCATCTTCATCTTGATCTTCATCATTATCATCATCTCTGCGGTGTTCGTCGGTGATCATAAAGGTACCCGGCAACGCCTCACCAGGAGTCGTAGAGAGTACTCCTGCATGTTCGAATTCGGCTGAAAGTGGAAGCGAAAACAAAATTGGATCTGTCCCAGAGCAACTGGGGTTGGGGTTGGGTGCACCCTTGTCCTTATTGGTGTCGCTGATGTTGTTGATGGCGTTGGTCCCCCGAGGTCCAGGGGGTTCTGTAGGGGACGGCATCGTGGAGGTGAGACAGCTGAAGAGCTGGGAGAACTGGGAAGGGGTGTATGTAGGCTCGGTGACCTCTGAGTTAGATGACGAATACATCCTTTGTGATCAAGCTAGGAGGAAAGCAAAGTAAAGAGACAGCAAAGAGTTTAGAAGGGAGGAAAGAAGTTTAGAAGAGTTGTTCGTTCAAGATCATCTTTTGTATCGTCTAGATGTTGTCCATGATTTGAACTTGATCACGGGCAGTGCTGTCGAGGGGATGATGCGATGAAGACGAAGAGGAGGAGGAGGAGGAAGTGAAAAGAAGGCACAAATAAGGAAGTTGGCTCAGACAAGCGAGATCCCCCCTTTCTTCCCAACTCATCGTTGTTGCAGATATCCGCATCGATTCATGCAGTCTGCATCTACCAGCATACCTCTACCTAACAACCTAACCCCGATATATCAACCCAACCCAAACCATCCACCATTATCCATAGAGGTAGGCACCACCTCTGGCGCACCAGACACTCATAATTAATGTTCCAACGCATCCTCAAACAACCGTCCCAACTGCTCCCTCTCCGCCTGCAACTCCTTCGCCAGTCCTGGGGCCAACATCAAGACTCTTGCCTGGGGAATCGTTCCCTCGACCAACTGCTCGACATGTTCCCTTCCGAAGCCCAAAGCCTTCAGACCAGCGGGTTGATCTCCCAAGTCAGCCAGGAACTTGGCGATGGCTTCTGCCAAAACCTCGCCAGCGCTCTCGCGCTTGACGTTGGAGATATCCACCCCAAAGGCTTCGGCGGCAGCAAGATGTCTGTCCGGATTTGAAGCAGCTGTAAACTTGAAGACCGCGGGCGCTGTCACGGCCACGGAGACGCCGTGTGGGATGATGGGGTGTGGTACGTCGTAGCCGGCGTGTTTGTAGGAGGCAATGTTTTGGGAGGAGATGGGGTAGGACATGCCTTGCGAAAAGTGTCAGCGATGATGATGATGAGTCAAGGGAATGGTTACACAAGAAGCATGATGACTCAGGAGGATGAAGAGACAAGGAAAGAAAAACAAAAGAAAAAGACAGTGACGCACCGTGACACAAATGCACACCAGCATTACCAAATCCCACACCTGCCAACGTTGCCGCCAGCAACATCTCGGTCTGTGCCTCCACATCCTCCGGATCCTTTACGCTCCTAGGCAGATACTTGACCGTCTGCCTCAGCGCGTTTAGTGAGAAAATATCACTAATGGGATTAGCGCCCTGATACGCCGGTCTGAGAATCGGGTTCGTTGGTCTCGGCGTCCGCTCGTTGAATGGAATAGCCGTGTAACTTTCCAGCGCATGACAAAGTACATCCAACCCCGAACTAGCCTTCACGGCACTCGGCATCGTCCGCGTGTTTAGCGGGTCACAGATACCCAGGTAGGGCTTGAGGTTGCGGTGGGCGATACCCGTCTTGGATTTCTTGGCTACCAAGTCAAAAATGGCCGTGCCGGTAGTCTCACTGCCTGTGCCCGCCGTGGTCGGTACAGCGATGAGCGGGTGGAGTTTTCGGTCCACGGGACGTCCCTTACCCAGGGGGGCGTTGACAAAATCCATAAAGTCGGCGTCCTTGTAGACCGAGTATAGGTTCATAAGCTTGGCGGTATCAATGACGGAGCCGCCGCCGACGGCCAGGTAGACCGAGTAGTCGCCGGTGGTGCGGGCCCAGTCGATGGCTTCCTTGACGGAGTAGTCCTTGGGTTCGACCTTGACTTTATTAAAGATCTTGTACTTGATGCCTTCCCGGTCGAGAGACTCGCGGACTTGGCGCATAGCGTCGAGCTTCTCGACGGTTGAGTCGGTGATGACGGCGACGGTGCCGGAGGGGTTGAGGTTGGCAATGTCCATGCCGACTTCTTGCGTGACGCCAGGGCCGAAGCGGATGGAGGAGGCGGCCATTTCAAAGGCGTACTCCTTCAGTTGGGAGGTGTCTTGGGGTGTGGCATAGTTACGCCGGGAGGTCCTGTCATTGTATCGGGACACCGTTGACCGGGTCTGGTTTTGGTGATAGCCTGGGTTGGAGTGGCATGGACATGATGGAGGATGGGTGTATTGAACTGTCTTGAGCAAGTTGACTGCTCTGGCTGCCCTCTGTGAATCGTCAGTTACAGATCTACCTACGTCACTCTGTCTTGTCTTGGGGGATGTATCGTGGGTAAACTTACACTGGGCACAACACGAATAGCTGTGCTCATGTTTGTATACTGATTGAAACGTGGTTATTTCTGTATGTAATCGTTGAATAGAATCTGTAAAAGGCAAGAATAGCGGAGGTTTCTCCAAATGTCAACTGCGAGAAACAATGAACTGCGAAGAAGAAGAAGAAGAAGAAGTCGTCACCGACACTCGGAACCGGTGAACCATCTTGGGCTTCATCGACGGTTCGTCACCTCGGCTCCCCTCGGTTCCCCTCAGCTCCTTTACCCCAATCTTGCTACATGGCAGTAGACCGACGGCTAGTGGTTTCCGGGAATAAGTGGTTGTTGTGAGGGGAAGTGCAGCTGTCGTTAACAACTGTTCCCCGGATCTACGGAGCTACTCCATTGACAGTCCGGGGTGTGTGCAAAATGCGGGGTAGACACGGCCCTTCCCGGCTTTGTAGGGGCACCCCTTTGCCCCCAAACGAACAACCACATTCCGAGATTTCTCCAGTGACATTCACCATTCATCATTCACTACGATTCACTAGGTGGTTTCACCATAGGGAGGCATTCATGTTGGAGCCAATTAAATGAATTGCTTTTGTCCAGATATCATTGCCAAAATACCGCCCAACCCAGATTTTGTTGAACCAAGTCCCATACATACAAACACGCTCAAGAACACATGGCACGCAGATACTCTAAATAGAAAAGACACGCCTAGTACACCTCAAGGACATAGCGGCCATCCTCCTTGAGCCTCTCAATCTCCTTGCGGGGGTCGACCTTGCGGCTGCTCTCCTGAGCCTCAGCCGCGATGGCCTCCTCAAGCACGGCAGTGACATCAGGCACAGGCCAGGTAGGACCGCAGAGATAGAAGGAGCCCTCCTCCTTGATGTAGGCCTTGACGATGTCGGTGACGGTCTGGCGCATGCGATCCTGGATGTAGATCTTCTCGGGCTGATCACGCGAGAAGGCGGCGCCGAGCAGGGTGATGACGCCGGCGTCGAGGTAAGCCTCCCACTCCTCGCCGTAGAGGTACTCCTCGCGCTGGTGGCGGGAACCGAGGTAGAGGAGGATGGAGCCGATCTCCTTGCCCTGGGCCTTCTGCATGGCGCGGTACTGGACGAACGCGCGGAAGGGAGCGAGACCGGTACCGAGACCAGCCATGATGAGAGGGGCCGTGTCCTTGACGGGGAGCTTCATGACCGAAGGCTTGACCGAGGCGGTGATGGTGCTCCCGGGAGCAAGGCCCGAGAGGTAGCGGGTGGCATGGCCGTAGCGGGTGCGGCCCTTGGTATCGACCCAGTTGACAACGACGATCATGAGAGTGACCGAGTTGGGGGTGACAGCCTGGGCAGAGGCGATAGAGTACTCTCTGCGCTTGGTGGGGTCGACGATGCGGACGAGGTCGTTGAAGTCGGGGTGGGCCGACTTGAACATGTCGAGCACATCAACATAAGTGACAGTATCCTCCTCGGTAAGACGCTTGAACTCGTCGGCGCCCTCCTTGCTGCCAAGACGCTCGAGCTTCTTCTTCTCCTCCTCGTCGGTGGCGAACTGGGCGAGGGCCTCGAAGAAGCGCTTGGGAGGCTTGCCGAGAATGTCGACGTTTTGGACGAGGGACTGGTAGACAGTCCGCGTCTCCAGAACGGCGGGATCCTCGCGGGAAGGAACCTGGACAAGGTCATCCGCGTTGAGGCCATAAGCCTGGATGAACTGGAGGACCTGCTCAGGGTCGTTGTCGGCGTGGATACCAAGAGCCTCGCCAATGTTGTAAGTGAGACCAGAGTCACCGAGATCAAACTCAATGTGGAAGATGTTGCGGTCATAGTCGGTGGGGGTGAGACGGCGGTTCTCCTTGACCTTGATGGTGTAGGTCTTGACAGTGAGGTCAGGGCGGAGCTGGTTCTGGGTGCCGTAGGCCTCCTTGAAAGCGAAGCCCTTGGCGGCAGACTGCCAGTTCTCGAGGCTGGAAGTCTCCTCTTCCTCCTCCTTCTGGAAGGCGACAAAGCTGTTGGGCTTGACGCTGTCAACAAGAGGAGCAACAGTGTTCTCGACCTCGGCCCACTTGGCGGGCACCTCAACCTTGCGAACGGACTGATCAAGGGCGTTGACGGCCTCGGTCAGAGCGGTCTGGTCAGCGGAGAGCGAGTCGAACTTTGTGATATCAGCACGAGCAACGCGGAGGAAGGCAACGTCAACAAGGAGGCCGGCCTCCTTTTCAAGAGCAGGAGAAGAAGAGGAGTCGAGGACGTAGAGCTCGATGCCCTTCTCCTGAATCTCCTTTTGAGCAGCAGTAGGGATGCGCTTTTCAAGCTCGTCCTCCTTGAAGTTGGGAAGACGAACGATGAGCTTGCCGCCGGCCTTGACACCCTTGACGATAGCAATTTCCTTGAGGAGCTTCTCCTCACCAACAAAGACGACGTCAGCGCTCTCAACAGGGTAGGGAGCCTCGATGGACTTTTGGGAAACGCGGATGTCGGTGCGGACAACACCACCCTGGACAAGGTTGTCGTAGGTCTGGTGAACATAGACGTTGTTGGACTGCTCAGTCTCGAGGAGCTTGCCAACAGCAGAAGCAGAAGCAGCGGCAGAGGAGTTGTCAACATCCCAGAAAACGTACTGCTGGGCCTCCTCGACAGCGGTCAGGCTGAAAGCGACGGGCTCGGCCTCGCCCTTGCTGGTGAGCTTGTTGAAGATGGAGGCGATGGAGCTGGGGGTGTGGGCATCGGTAACCGCATAACGGACATCGACGACCTCGGGGGCCTGAGACAGCTTGTCGGTGAAGGAGACAGCAGTAAGGACATCGGAGTAGAGGGCAGACTGCACGTTGGCATCCTCGACGGCGGCAGCATCGGCGACCTGGCCAAGAACAGCAATCTGGCGAACAGAGGCGGGGAGAACCTCGAGGAAAGCCTCCTCAACGAAGGGGCGGTAGACACGGACGACAATGGTGCCGACCTTCTTGCCCTCGGCGGCCAAAGCGGAAGCGACCTGCTTGGCGAGCTGGGCCTCGGCGCTGCCGAAAACGACAAGGACAGTCTCGGGGGCCTCGTCGCCGTGGTACTCGAAAGGAGCGTAGGAAGTGCCGAGCTCGTTGTTGAAGGCCTTGAGAAGCTCAACAACCTTGCCAGCAGTATCCAGCCTCTTGTTCAGGGCAGCAGCCTCCTTGGAGATCTTGGCGTAGACATCGGCAATGTGAGCCTCGCCAAGGGCATCGACGACCCTCAGGGACTCGCGGGCGGTGCGGATACCGTCGTAGATGTGGAGGGTGGGGAGGACAGACGCCAGGAGAGTGGCGAGCAGAGACATGTGCTGGACCTCATAGGCAGAGGAGCTGGAGACGAGAGCGAGACCAAGATCCTCGGCGATCTGGAGGGCGGTGGCGTAGTCAGCACCGAGACCCTTCTCGGCGCTGTAGTCGGCAGCGGCAACATGGGCGACAAAGGGGCTGGAGACGCCGTAGAGAAGGGCGAGCTGGTCGAGGGAAGAGCGGAGGTGACGAAGGCTCAACGAGGGGGCCAGGAGGGTCTGGGGAACATGGCGCTTGGCCAAGTCGAAATCCTTGGAAAAGATGTAGCCAAGGGCAAAAGCACCGGCACCGGCCCTGGTCTGGAGAGGGACAACGGTGGTGGTCTCGCCATGGACGTTCTTCTCGTTGGCTTCGGCCCATTCCTTCACGGCGACATCGAGGTCGAAAGTCTCGGGAGAATAGGAGAAGATCTTGTCGGAGAGCTTGTAGGCAGTCTGCTGGACAAGCAGCTGGCTGTTGACATAGGTCGGCCCGGAGATGGAGGAGAGAGACGGCATCTTGACGTTGTGGTAATGGGGGTATCGATAAGGATATCACTAACAACAAAAAAGAGAAATAATGATGCCCTTTGAAGACAAACACTTCTTCAAAAGGTATTGCCCCGCGCAACGACGTATCAACGCAAGAAGCAAGAGAACACAATAACTGCTTCCTCAGCGCAGATATGGGGTTGACACAGAGAGAGAGAAAGAGAGAGACGATCTTTCAGAGAAAAAAAATGGAGGTGACTCAAGAAGGAAGAGAGATACTAGCAGCTTTATTACAAAGCGAACTTGACGCCTCGAGGCACTAACAATCGAGCCATCCAAGATCCGGTAATAGCTAAGTATCAGAAACACTGCCTCCGTTTCCGCAGCACCGGGACATCCCAACCCATCACATCTCCCCAGTTGTATCCCCCCCCCCCCCCCCCTTCCCTACGGACTAGCGTAAGGCGACAATAAAAAGATCCAATGCCGGCTCGTTGTGGTGGTATCAACTCTCTGAGACTGGGGAGAGGGCGTTCATCCCGCGACTAACAAAAAAAAAAGTTCACAAGTTTGGAGTTGCCGCTGCCCGAACTGCGTGCGATTGATGTCGATTGCGTGATTCAACCTAACCGTTTGTGGTTAGTCTCCGCACACGCCGCACACGCCGAGTTCCAGGCGAACCTGGGCCGGCCGGCTGTCGGTCGGATCACGTGCGAAAATTACAAATTCGCTTTCTTTGGGGGGTGGCAATGCAACTGAATGGCGGTTGTTCTTCGTGTGGCGCTTTTTCGCCAGCTCCGTTTTCGGCATCGGCCGCCTCCAGTCTTTGCCCAGCGGCCCCCCGCCTCCGTGGGAGCCCTCCGGTGTTATGGAGTCCCCGACACCGAACATTTTACTGCCGTGTCCGACAACAAGACAGTCGCAATCCGGAGCACAATGGTTCCACTATCCTCCGGTGCCATGCGGATCTACCGATTGCCGCGACCCGGAACACAAGCTTCAGCGGTTGTGGAACGGTGAAACTGCGGGAAGATCTCCATTCCATCGCATCGTTGACGGCCATCAAAGGTGTAGGTAACCGTTTGACTGTAACATGCATTGGAGAAAACAGGTCTTCTTTCGTCTTGCCATTCTTTTGTCCAGATAGGTAGCAGACTTCACGCAATGCCAAAACATGTTCAGGTTGGCGACATAATGCGCGCTGCTTGTCCAACACAGGCATTCAGCCATGCCCCCTCACCTTGGTTGCCCGCCTCGGACCTTCAATCCCGTGTGGTGGTCTGCCATTTTCGTCGGGCGCCATCACGGGTTTACGTTCGGATGCGAATATCAAGATTCAAGAACTGATATCATGTTTTGGGGCGGGTTTATCCGCAACTGCAGTCTTCTTCTTCTTTGTTCTAGCCTTCCAACATCATCGCCCTTGCTCCAGCATCACCAACTGCACTGCGCTCCCCATACTACCTACTTCTTGCAGAAAATCCAACATGGATGTTCTCGAGCCTCCTCTCAAACCAAAAAGTTCGTTGTTGCAGAATCGATGCCTGTTCCTGCATAAAGCAGCACCGTCCATTCGTCAGATGCCAACTTCATCCCATGTTGCATTGAGTTGTTTTAGCGGGCAAAGTGATGTCTGGCTTGGCGTTGCGTGAATTGTGCGTGAAAAGTAACCAGCTGAGTAAGTAACGATCTGATGGGAAGGCGATACTTTGAAGTAGGGACTTGGGTATAAGGAGTGCTTCATTCATCGAGAGAAGATGAGGAAGAAACAAATGGAAACCACGACATTCCTTGTGAATCATCCGTTCGCTGGCTTTTCAAATCACTTAATGCTTCCGAGTCGCATTTCAACCGACTTAATTTTCTGACCTTGTCGAACCCACCTTTATACGCTCCATTCTCTTCATTCATCAACCACAACAACAACACTCTTCGTTTGACACATTTAGACACCACAGCAAACTACAAACAGCCAAGTCTGAACCGACAAAAAAACACACATTGTCAAACATCAATCAGACACTTTTACCCTTCTGTCAAACCCTCTTCTCCAGCCTTCAATCATCTCGCCCAGAGCGACTCAGGCTATTTGAAAGGTACAAGCACCTCGCCATCCCCAAGTCCGAATTTCCTAATCGGGACACGGACAAATATACACACGCATACGCACAACCTCGCAACAGGGAAAGAACATCACATCCTCGCATCAACAGTTCTACTCATTCACACCCCGACTCGTCGTCCACCACGTACATTGGACGGGAATAGTGCGGACAGGAGAAAACCCCGATCATCAACTACTCAATTCTAATATAGTACCAAACATTCGTACATCAGCAGGCATGAAACCCACCAACAGCATGCCAACGCACCGGCGGCGGCAGCAGCAGCAGCAGCAGCAGCAATCCAGCAGCGCGACTGAGACTGAGACATCCCATATACCCGCCAAAACCATCACGACGTCGTTTCTCATTTCCAATCTTCACTGTCCCTCGTGTGTCTCGACTATCAAAGACGTTCTCCTTGGCGAGCCATCAACCCGCTCACATATCCGATGGGTTTCGCCCAACGTAGTCACTTCGGTCGTCACCGTGGAACACGACTCGGGCTCTTCAGACAACAACTCAGCCGCATCCGCAACATCCGTCATCAAAGACATGCACCGCGCCTTGGAAGACAGTGGCTTCGAGGTCAGCGGTGTAACAACGACGGCTACTGTTAGTGACCATGACAATGACAACGACGACAACGGCGGCTTCCTGGTTCGGGATCTCGGCATCCAAGCTGAAGGCGAATCTTCCACCTTCTCACGATGGGTCACCACCGCTTCACGACGTACTAATAGCCCCTTTGGGTCTCAGAAGCGGGCTGAAACACATTTTCAGAACTGCGCGCAGTGTCGTACATCGAAAGCGACAACGGGTCACAAAGTACAAGAAAAGACAAGTGAAAAGGAAAAGGAAACTCCGGTATCAGCAGTCAGGGGTATTCACGCACCTCCAGATTTGTTGACAGCTCGGCCAAAGAACATGGCATCAACCTCAACCAAAAAGTCCTTCTCAACCGACACCGTGGTGGATCTTGGAGGAAGAGTTCCATCCTCTCAACAACCACCATTGTACAGGGTAACAGTAGCCATCGGCGGCATGACCTGCGCAGCCTGCGTCAACACCATCACCAACGAACTGAACAAGAAAGACTGGATCGCCCACGTCTCCGTCAACCTGATCAACAACAGCGCTGCCATCGACATTCACGACGAAAGCAGGGCGACCGAGCTGATCGAAGCCATCGAGGACCTAGGCTATGACGTGAGATTCGACAAGGTCGTTGCCCTCTCCGACCCGTCAAAGCCACCACCAAAGCCAAAAGCCGGCCGCGAAATCTTATCAGATGCATGGCGGGCGACCGTGTCCATTGGCGGGATGACATGCGCGTCTTGTGCCAACTCCATCACCAACGAGATGAAGAAGCGGGACTGGGTGCAAGACATCACGGTCAACCTTCTCACCAACAGCGCGACTGTTGAGTTCGCTGGCAGAGAAAACGCCGACAAGCTGGTAGGAGAGATTGAGGATCTCGGGTTCGAAGCGACGCTCAACGAGGAGACCTTGGTCAACGTCGCCATCCACGAAGGGGGGCCGAACCCGGAGGAGGAACAGCAGCAAAGAAGAGAAGTCGAGATTCGCATCCAGGGCCTGTACTGCGAACACTGCCCCTCACGAGTCTCGGCCAGTCTGGCAGGCTTCCGCAGACAGCTGGACGTAATCAGCCAGCCAAGTCATAAGAGACCGATCGTCAAGATAGTGTATGTCCCTGACGCTCCCGAGTTCACGATCCGGCACATCCTCAAAGCGATTGAGGCGAGTGACCCGGCTTTCAAAGCATCCATCTACCACCCTCCTTCCCTCGAGGAACAGTCCAAGGCCATCCAGCGCCACCACCAACTACAAATCCTCTGGCGCGTCATTTTTTCTTTTGTTGTCGCGATCCCAACCTTCATCATCGGCATCGTCTACATGACCCTGGTGAAGGCCTCCTCCGGCAACAAGTCTCGCGAGTTCCTGATGAAACCATGGACGTCCGGCATCTCGCGCGCGCAGATCGCCCTATTCATCATGGCCACACCCGTCTACTTGTTTGCCGCCGACATCTTCCATAAGCGCGCCTACAAGGAGATCAGGACGCTGTGGCGACGATCCAGTCGCGTCCCTCTGCTCCAGCGCTTCTACCGCTTCGGCAGCATGAACACGCTCATGTCCCTGGGCACGACCATCGCTTACGTCTCGTCCGTTTGCCAGATGATCGCGGCGGGAGCGCAGAAGGTGCACATGGTTGATGATGCCAACTTTTACTTTGACTCGGTCGTGTTTCTCACTTTATTCTTGCTCGTGGGCCGATTGATTGAGTCGTACAGCAAGTCGCGTACGGGAGACGCGGTGGAGATGCTGGGGAAGCTGCGCCCGACCACGGCGATCCTGGTGGAAGGATACGGCACCGAGAAAGAGCGGGATGAAGTGGTACAGGCAGACTCGTTGGACTACGGCGACGTTGTGCGCATTCCACATGGCGCCTCCCCGCCGGCAGATGGAATAGTTGTTCGCGGCGAAGGCAGTTTGGACGAGTCGAGTCTGACTGGCGAGTCCAGGCCGGTCAAGAAGGTCGTCGGCGATGAGGTGTATACGGGCACCGTCAACAAGGACGCACCGCTTTTGGTCCGGGTCACTGGCGTTGCTGGCAAGTCGATGCTGGACGAGGTCGTAAAGGCGGTCCGCGAAGGCCAAACCAGACGCGCTCCCATTGAGCAAGTGGCGGATATCTTGACGGCCTATTTCGTTCCCGTGGTCATTGCCATTGCGGTTGCCACTTGGATCATCTGGCTTGCTGTTGGATATAGTGGTCATGTGTCAAACGACTTGCTTGGAGACACCAAGGGCGGTTGGGTTGTCTTTGCGTTGCAGTTCGCCATTTCCGTCTTTGTGGTGGCTTGTCCCTGCGGCCTGGCGCTGGCTGCCCCAACGGCCATCTTTGTTGGTGGTGGAATCGCGGCAAAACATGGAATCTTGGCCAAGGGAGGAGGTGAAGCGTTTGAGAAGGCTAGTAGGGTCGACTGCGTCGTTTTCGACAAGACTGGCACTTTGACGATGGGAGGAGAGCCCAAGATCACGGAATCGGAAGTTTTCCATGATGCAGAAGATGATGAAGCTGGCATCGTGTTTGCGGCACTGAAGGCAGTCGAAGAGAACAGCAGTCATCCGATAGCGAAAGCCATCGTCGCTTTCTGTGCGGCAAAGACGTCGGCCAAAGTCCAAGTCGAGGACTTGCAGGAGATTGCTGGCAAGGGGATGAAGGCCAGGTGTATAGGTGTGGACTCACAAAATGACTTTGATCTCATTGTCGGTAACGAATCCCTGATGGAGGACTTTTCCGTTACCGTGTCGAATGAGACTGTCCAGACGCTGCAGAAGTGGAAAAGTGAAGCCAAGTCCGTTGCTTTGGTTGCCATACGGCGACACCAGAGCGTTGATCCCAACGGATGGCTCCTTGCTGTTACCCTAGCAATTTCCGATCCCATTCGCCCCGAAGCACCACTCATTGTCAACGCGCTTCAGTCCCGAGGCACGCGCGTGTGGATGCTGTCCGGTGATAACCCCGTTACGGCAGCCGCGGTCGCACACCAACTCGGCATTCCCGCTGACCAGGTCATCGCCGGAGTGCTCCCTACCGGAAAGGCCGATAAGATTAGGTATTTGCAAGGAACAGAGAAGGCGCGCGTTGGCAAGGGCAGCGAATCCAGTACCCGTCGTGCGTTGGTGGCCATGGTTGGCGATGGTATCAATGACAGTCCAGCGCTGGCAACAGCAGATATCGGCATTGCCATCGGATCCGGGGCAGACATTGCCATTAGCAGCGCGGACTTTGTGCTCATCAACAGCGACCTGCGCGGGGTGGTGACGCTCCTCGATCTCTCGTCCACGGTCTTCCAGAGGATCAAATTCAACTTTGGGTGGGCGGTGGTGTACAACTGCATCGCAGTTCCTGTGGCGGCGGGCGCCTTCTATCCCATTGTCAGTAATGGGCACCATGTCAAATTGAATCCGGTGTGGGCTAGTTTGGCCATGGCGTTGAGCAGTATTAGCGTGGTGTTGAGCTCATTGGCTTTACGGAGCAGAGTGGTTGGGATTGGATTCCGGGCGAGGAAGATTGGAGAGGAATAGAAAGAGGCGAGTGGAAAAGAACATGTTTGAAGGAGGAGATAGGTCCAATATGAACAGCGAGTAACGAGCATGCATACATTTTGTCGGTCGATTGTTTGTCGCGGTGATAAACGCATCACGTCCCTCGGTTTCGGTGACTACCTAGCAGTAGAGATGGCCTGTGGGGCGCTAGGCAGGGTAGGCCAACAAGGAATCAAACCAGGGTTGGAGGGTAGCTCCGGCTACTGTACAGACCCACTGTTATGGAGCCGCTCGTGTCTCCCCTGTCCATGTCCATTGAGCCCAGGAACCGAACCTCAACTCGAGCATCTTCTCTCTTTTGGTCTTTTTGGTTCTTGACTTCCACTTGAAGCCCACCACAACCATTGCTTGCTTCAACACGGCCCATTGGCTGTGAAGCTCCCAACAACCGCCATCGGTGCTACCCTCCTTCAAGACCATCGATCGGAAGCCAGTAAACAACAGACGAACCGGAATTGTCCGAGCGTTGATTGAATACTTATAAAATAAAACCACCAAACGACCATTTACGCGAGCTCGGCCACTCAACTTGCTACGATCATCATCATTTCGAAAGCACGGCAAAAGCGACGCGGTCGCTGATAGCGCCTTTGCTTCATCAACCCCCCGAAGCGTCCAACCGTCTACCGATACCCTCACGATCGGGAAAGTCAGACACCATGAACGCTACCGTTAAGCGCAAGTTCAACTCCCTGCTCCAGGGCATCGGGAACCGGCCGACCAACCCAGACTCCCCCTCCTCGACGCGCGACAATGACTCGCTGAGCTCGACACCTGCCTCTTCCTCAAGCTCGAGGTTTACAAACATGGCCAACGATAGCCTCGACTATCTCAGTAAGAAGCGCCGTGTCGGCGGGCTGCCCTCCACACCGAGCGCAATCACGTTAACGACCCCGGCGAAAGGGCAAACCACCATCTCCAACGTCACCCTGCGAAAATGGAACTCCCACGGCGGTCCAGGGAGCAGCCCCGCGCCCGGGGCCGGCGGCGGCAGCAGCGCCAAGGGGGATAGCCCAGTTACGAAATTGCAACCACCCAAATACTGCCCGGGCGACCGCGACCAGCTCGTGCGACGATTGGCAACTTTCCAAGAGCTGACGGACTGGACACCAAAACCCGATAGGGTCAACGAGATCGAATGGGCGAAGCGCGGCTGGGTGTGCCAGGGCAAGGAGCGTGTTAAGTGCACGCTCTGCAACAACGAACTGGCTGTCAAGCTGAATCGTAAGGAGGTCGATGGGAAGGAGATTCCGGTGCTGATCGCCGCAGATATTGCTGAGTCGGTGGTGGATCAATACGTCGAGCTGATCATCACATCGCACCGGGAGGATTGCTTGTGGAGGAAGAAGGGGTGCGACGGTGAGTATCTGCATGCAGGAGAGTCCTGACACTGTGCTAACGGTTTCCTCAACCAGATTCACTTCTACGATTGCCTCTGCCTAACCCCAAGTTAGCCCTCGAAACCCTACGCCAGCGATACGACGAGCTCTGCCAGCGCAAGGACTTTCTCCCCTATGAATTCAACCTCCGTCTTCCAGAAGGTCTCGACATCGACATCATCCTCTCGTACCTGCCACCCAACTTCTTCGCCGAGCCTCCTGCATCCAGCACCGCCGATTCTTCTGCAGCCTCACAGCCCGCTAGTCCGAACCCATCCACCTCACAACAACCACAAGCAGTCAACCGCACCGCCTTAGCCCTCGCCCTCCTCGGCTGGCAAGGTCTCACCAACCCGCGCCTCGGCACCGCCGTCCCCAACTCCGCCTCTTGCCACACCTGCCTCCGCCGTCTCGGTCTCTGGATGTTCAAATCCAAACAAGTCGACCCCGAGACCAACACAATTCTGGTTCCCGCGCCCATGGACCACCTCGACCCTTTACGCGAACACCGCTTCTTCTGTCCGTGGAAGAACCCGCAAGCGCAGCGGAACCCGGGTGCCAAGCCCTTGGCCAGGGGCGAGACGGACAAAGCCGCCTGGGAGGTTCTAGTGGAAGGATTGAAGAACGAGAGCCGGCTGAGAGAGAAAGCAAGGGATTTAATGCACGGAAGGAGCAAGTCCTCCTCTTCTGGGTTTGGGTTTGGGCTGGGAGGGAAGAAAGGAACACCGCATCGGGCGACGGGAAGCACGAGTGGGTTCTTGGGAGTGCCGATGACGCCTGACGGCAGGGGAGTAACGGGGCAACAACCGAATAGTGCGCCGGGTGGTCTTCATGTTGGTGGTCAAGAAGGAGGAGGAGGGGACGAAGAAGAGGGGTTTGAGGAGGAGGACGATGATGAGTCGGAGGAGGCAAGGAAGAAGAAGGATCAGGCTATGATGAGCAGGTTGAAGAGGGTCAAGACCTTATTCAATACGAAGGGGAGCAAGTTGAAAAAGTTGGGGGCGTCTCCGTCGCCGTCCCCGGGATCCGCGGGAACGGGGACGGCAGCGGTTAATGTGTCGGATAGTCCTCGGCCGGGGTCTTCGCATTCTACGAGGACCACCGGGACGTCGGGGACAGCTGCGACTACGGGAGTCAGTACAAACGCCCCTGCTGAGTGATGTAAGGGAAGTGGCTATTGTTCATCGTCATCATCTTGCAGGTTGGCTGGCGGGCGTTGACACGCATGGAGTTGGGGGAACAATGTTATCGTCCAAAATTTTGTATTCTAGAGGTGTATCAATAGCCTTTGATTTTAGCGTTAACAATCACCTCGTCGCCAAATAATCAGCTCAATGATAGATCTTTATTGAGGTCTGGCAAGTCCGCGATCACACCGGCGCGTGCTGCTTGTGTGTCAAACCATCATCATCAAGGTGTGAGCACGGATCACCTCCAGGGGTTAAGTACTACCTTGTGTACACCGTCGTCCCACGCAAGCCACGGTGAACCCTCACCTTTCCCGGCCGGCTACCGAAACGGCGAAAAAACCAAGGCCGCCGTATCCGTCCGTGTCAGTGATCAACGGGAAAAAGCACGTGGCGAAAGAGAAATGCCGTATCAAGACCCCTGTTTGCATCTTCTTAGTTTTGTAGATTTTTTTTTTCTTTTTTTTTCTTTCTTTTCGGGTAGGGCGGAACATTCGTCGCAGGCTTTTTGTGTCTTGTTAGAACACTGCAACAAGAACAGAACAACGGAGAAACCATGTTGACTGAGAAAGCAAGCATGCAATGCAATGCTCGCGATGCGAGGCTTAGTTGCTTTTGCCAAAAGTCAATAAGTGCGAATCCTCCTCAGATTAAACATGGACACTGACAGACGGCGGCGGGCCAATTTCACAAACCTTTTTTTTTTTTTTTTTTTTTTTTTTTTTTTTTTTTTTTTTTTTTTTTTTTTTTTTTGCGCTCAAAACTTTGCCAAACCAGTCGACCAACCCACCAAGCAACCGATAACCATTCAACACTCCGCTAATAACCACCGATCGCTCATCGAGAGCGCAGTTTTCCTCACCTTCATCTACAGTAGCCAAAAGCTAAATTGCACAACTCACCAAAAAGAACCCAGTTCCTCGAAAGACGTTGCGTAACCAGAACAGAACAGACCTACACTGCGGTCCCTTTCCCCCACCTCGCCCACCCCCACCTACTCCTCTTCTTCCTTTTTTTTTTTTTTTTGTTCATGGTAACGATCTTACACAAGTCGCGGCCCTCCTGGCACTATATAAGTTGACCAAAAATGTACTCATCTCAACAAACCGATTATTCCTGCAAATAATCAACTTCGGCGGCTTAGTGGTCTAGTGGTATGATTCTCGCTTTGGGTGCGAGAGGTCCCGGGTTCAATCCCCGGCTGAGCCCCTCTTTTTTGGAAGTTGTATTGACTTCTTCTTTGGAGTTTCTGAATGAATTGTAGTACTTTATTGTGTCTTTGAATTTTTTTTTCGCCTTTTTTTTTTTCTTTTTTTTTGGTAAGTTGTTACGTTGTTGTATGTTGTTTGTTAGGTTGTTCGTTTCGGTGGGAGTCGTGTCGATGTAAGCTAATGCAGTCATGTTCTTTGTGTGCGGGAAATCGAATGAACAAGATTGATCACATGCAACGATAAAAGATCTCCAGTTGAGAGGTCGAAAGGAAGACGGAAAGGCCGATTCCGAATTGAAAAACAAAATGGTAAATCAAGACGAGGAGACAGAGGAACATGAATGTCTGGTCTCTTCGTGCAACTGGCCCGCCTTGTGTAACGCTGCCTGTCCTGATAACAACAGTCCAGCCGCGTCTACAGTTTCTCGCCTGTTCCTCAACCCAACGTGATTCTTGAAAGAAATGAATCTGAGCATGTGAGATCGTCTTTTGTACTTGTACCTACTCCAAGATGCGAGGGCTCAGTCGTCTTAGTAATGGGCAATGTAGATAGATAGTACTCATTGGGGAGGGGGCTTCGGGTTTCCTGTCTGTTCCCCAACTCTGTGCCAACGGGTTTTCAGAACTTGTTACTTATCGGGTTTTGTGCATCAACGCACCGCCCAGAATTTGCTCGTCACCAGCCTGCAGTGCAGATACCGCCGAGGTTCGCGGATTTCGCATCACTTCATGAACACCGAGCATGATGGATCTTGCTAAAAGAACCAAGCCATGGGCTATCGTTCCCTTAACCTTCGTGTTGATGAGACTGAGGGGAACATGCCATGCGAAAGGAATCTCCAAGCAAAGAAACCAGGCAAACTTTTCATGTAATACCTTTCCTTCATTGAGGTGGCATATTCAATATCAGAAATAGCCTTTCCAAGGTAAGATTACGCATCAGTTAACTAATCAAAACGCATAGGAAGGTTGACGCAAGGTCTCGAGCTAACAAACAAACCAGTACTGGACTGTACAATTTGATGTCTGTTTCTGTGGAACATCCTGGCAGTCATGCGGACTGCTTTTGTATCACATATCGTCAACCCACAGGTGACGAAAGTGGCCCCCGAGTAAGTCCCATAGGTAGATGATAATGAACAGTTGCATGTCACCCTCTGGACAACATGAAGAAAATTCATTTTGACCAATGTACGTCAATAGGTGGATGAATTGCCATAATCACATATGCTCTGGAGTTGTTCCTTGTCTTGGCCGTTCCGTTCCTTTTAACTCACCCATGAAGCTCCGGTCTAGTGTAGATGTCCATGTGTATCGATTTTTCCCAGCAATGGCGCCCACTCCTCTTGCTTATGGCGTGGAGAGCAAAAAGAAACAACACGACGCGACGCAAAGCTCGCACGAGTATAGCTCAACCACATACTACGGCCCTACGCTGCTGGGAAGCTCGAGGTCGGTTTGGTTGAAGTGCTTGACTTTTCCTGTTCATAGATTGACTTTGTGACCGCTACCTCTTACCGCGATTCCGTAAAAAAGGGAGGTTAGCCGTCCAGAGCCACAGCATAGGAATAGCTATAGACCTGAGAATCTAGGTAAATCCGCCTACCAAAAGTCATCAAGCGTTCCAATTTGATTAGCAGAACTCCCATATACTACCGATATGCTGACTTGCGACCCCTTGGCGTACAATAACTCGCAGTGTCATAAATTGGAGTCCTGTGGTGGACGTTCTGTATTGCCGTCCCCATCTAAGTAGTAGCTCTCGTTCTGTGCTCCGAGCAAACTATCTACAAAGCGCAAACCCACAGAACCAACCAGCTGGATATAGAAGGCTTGCCATACCCAGCCAATATCTACAACCTTTCTCCACTCCCCCAAATCTCGCGTTTGAAGTGGTGTTTGGTGTGCCGTTTCTTTCCGTCTACTTCTTCTCCTCCGGCTTCGTCTCCGGCTTCGGCGTTGGGAGCTTGAAAGATTCGGGCTTGCGGTCGATACCAGCTCCGACCTGCTCCCAAGCGCTGGACCCGCCCTCAAAGTTGCGGAAGGCCTGTGTCATCTCCAGAGGCTCCGTCACGATGCGCTTCTTCTCCTCGTCGTAGCGGATCTCGGTGTAGCCGGTCATGGGGAAGTCCTTGCGCAGCGGGTGGCCGTCGAAGCCGTAGTCGGTCATGATGCGGCGCAGGTCCGGGTGGCCGGTGAAGAAGACGCCAAAGAGATCGTAGACCTCGCGCTCGTACCAGTTGGCGCCATCGTAGAGGGGGGTGATGCTGGGCACGGGGGACACCTCGTCGGCGTACGTCTTGACGCGGATTCTCGAGTTGTGGCGCACGCTCAGCAGATTGTAGACGACCTCGAAGCGCTGGTCCTTGGTGGGGAAATCAACCGCAGTGATGTCACTCACTTGGGTGTATTCGGCCGCCGTATTGTCTGCAAGGATCATGAATCAGTCGCTATCTCCAGTCCACCTCCACCACACGACAAGAACGACGTCCACCAGACATTCTTTTGCGCCCAAACAACCTGTATCAATAAAACTGGCATATCTTACACTTGAGGAACGAAAAGACAGGAATGACACCGGCGGGAGAAATGTAAATGGTCAACTCGTCCTTCCAAACCGAGAATTGCTGGATGTACTTGGGGAGACAGCCCATGAGCCACGACCCGTACTTGTGGAGATTGTCGGCCTTGGACTGGTACTTGTCGGCCGGGTTGACCACGGCTGCATTCAGGGCGCCCGGCAGGGGCTCACGGGGGAACTGCCGCGGGTTGGGGCCTTCGGGCATGTTGATACGGTTACGGCTGGTGGTCGCGAGGCACCTGATAGCTGGCGACGGCTTCGCGGAGCGCAGGGCAGAGGCCAGGGCCCTGCTTCTGCAGAGCTTGCTGGCCATCTTGTAGGTTGCTGGCGATGGCCTGAACGAGATGGGCGAGGCTGTGAAGCGGGAGGTGCCAATGGATCACGGAACAACAACAGCCAGCAGCCTCGACGATGGAAAGCGGAGTTACTCAGAGGGGAAGCTTTAAACGTCCAGACTCCAAGCTAGTAGGATAGAGGTAAACTTGCGACAACGGGAACGATATGATTGAAGGAACCGCACACCACCTGCCGTCAACCAGGTCGGAGCTAGGGTAAGTAGTACTGTAGTATAACCCGCTGTACCACCTCCCACTACCTAGTACCGATTGGGAGCTTGGCCCCTCCCAGGATGGTTACGCAAAAGTCACGTGCACGATCACCTGGAAGATACTTGAATTCTTGCGTACGTGGTGTGTTTGGACATCGCCAAAAGGCTGAAAAGGTGGTGGAGGTAGTAGCATCCGCATTGCCCATAGCGTGAAATATCAATCTCGACGTGGTGTTGCCGAAACAATGGCAATCTTCAAAGTGTCTCCAGAGTCGTGGAAACTCTTCAGCCCTTCTCCTTGTTCATGCTTCCGAAATCAAAACGTCCGACTCGTACACACCACTCCGGCAGCTCTGCGGCAGCTGGCAGCTTGCTGTGCTTGTCGAGTGTTCCAACTGTGGCGTGACACTCGCCAGCTGGCTCTTTCCGAAACAGGACTAGCGCTCAGCCGGGGACGTTTTGCTGGAAGGCTCTGCGTTTCGCTCGCTTCTACCTGTGCTCAAACTTGCCTGCACCCGCATCCCGTCCACGCAGTTCCTTTCCACCCACATCCGGCCAACTTTGTTCTCTCTAATAATCCCCATTTGTTGACACGAGCACACCCCCTCAAAAAAAAACGAAGAGGCACCGACCCTCTATTCTCTGTATCTTACATTACCACGGGCGTTATTATCAGGTCCTCCTTTGCTTCTTTCTCCCATAGACCAATTTTCGCGCCGCTAGTTTACGGCCATTTTAATACCTACCTTACCGACAAGTGGAAAAGGATTCCATCCATCCGTATTCGACCCGACGACACCTTACAGTCGTCCCCGTTTACCTGGGAGCAGCCTCCAGCTTGCCGTCACTCCCACCGCGAACCATCACCCCATCTTCCAGTCACCACAATGGCGCCGCAAGATAGCTTCGTCGACGATGAAGAAGAGACCTGGTATGCACCTTGCTCGACCTCTCTCCAGCCGAATCCATGACGACTGCCCCTGCCCCTCCATGGCCTCGTCATGCCTGCTCTCTCCGCCTTCCTCAGCCTCGAGCCGACCCCCTGTCACAACGCCCTCGGCCGTCCACAAGAACACATCAGACTAACTAGTATACTATAGCCCTCTCTGTATCGAGGAGTTTGATCTTTCTGATCGTAACTTTAGACCATGCCCCTGCGGATACCAGGTACGTGGCCGAATACCTACCCCTCCAACCCCCCCTTCCCCCCTTTTCTTTTGGCTCAACCTGAGCGCTAACGCCGCCGCCCCACCCCAGATCTGCCAGTTCTGTTTCAACAATATCCGAAATAATATGAATGGCCTGTGTCCGGCATGCAGAAGACCATACGACGACAAGACCATTCAATGGAAGGTAGTCACTCAGGAAGAGTACGTTGTCGCCACATCCCGCTTGCAATCCGTGACCTTCTGCGTCTGTGCTGACAGTTCCTAGGGTTGCCGAGTTCCGAGCGAATATTCAAAAGAACCAAAAGCGACGTGCCGCCGAGCAACGCCAAAAGGAAGCCCAAAAACGCGAAGCCGAAAAGGAGAATCGGAAGAACTTGGTCGGCGTCCGGGTCGTTCAGAAGAATCTGGTCTACGTAACTGGGTTGACGCCTACGGTACGCGAGGACGAGTTGCTCAAGACACTCCGGCGCCCCGAATTTTTCGGACAATATGGCAATATCCAAAAAATATCCATCAGCAATCGGAAGAGCCAAGACGGGCAGAATCAGTCCCTCGGGATTTACGTCACTTTCGAGAAGAAGGAGGATGCTGCCAGGTGCATTCAAGCAGTTAATGGCTCCCAAAACGGCGACAGGGTTCTAAGAGCTCAACTGGGTACCACCAAGTATTGTTCAGCTTGGCTCCGTCACGAGGTGTGTACGAACAGGCAGTGTATGTTCCTGCACGAGCTCGGCGACGAGGAGGACAGCTATTCTCGCCAAGACCTGTCTTCGATCAATAGCATTAGCAGCCAACGACCCCTCCCGGTTGCCGGTGCTTCTAGGTCGGCATCCCGCCAAACGGGTCACCCCTCGCCCGCGCCCTCGAATGCTCAACCGATGATCCGGAGTTCTAGCAAGGAGGAATCCGAAAACGGCGATGGCCCCGCGCTGCCCTCTTCAGCTACCTGGGCGCGAAACCCTCAGGTCCGTAGCCGACGTGGAAGCCATGCCACTAGCGGCGCCGCCCCCAGTCCTGCAATCTCCAACATTCTTCCAGTCACTTCTGAATCCAACCGAGAAGCCGTCGAAGATTTCCCTCCGATCGAGAGCACGGTGCATCATCCTCCTCCTCCTCAGAAGACCAAAACCGAAAAGTCGCCCAAATCGGCACCAAAGCCTGCGCCAAAGCCCGCTCCTCCTGTTGAAGAAGCTTCACCAGCTCCGGCTCCTGCGCCGGCACCGGCACCGGCCCCCGTTACTGCTCCGGTTGCGGCGCCTGCTCCACCCAAGGTTGAGACATCCGCCAAGTCCACTCTCGAGAAGGCTAAGAGCGCTTCTCAGGACACGCTTACGAAGCTTCTCAAATCACTCAATGGATGCTCTCTCGCCTGGCCCAAGCTTGGAGATGACTCCACAGAGTCTGCTTACCCACCTTTGTTTGATGTGAGGGGTGGCGAAAAGCGGAGAGCTTTGCGCGACGATGTCACCACCGGCGTGGCAGAGTCGCATGAGGGTTCCGCGGCAGCTACCGAACCAGCCGAGGTCGAGCCTGAGAGCAGTGGCAGCCTTGCTTTGGGAGGTGAGCCTGAGGACCGGGATCCTGGACGTGACTTCAATTTGCGGGGAGGTGCGCAGCCGCCCATTCAACGCGCTAACAACGACGGACTGTTTGGGTCGGCGATCGGGTCTGGCTTCAGCCAGGGTTCGACCAACCTTGCCTCTATTGGCAGTCGTACCATGACACCGCAGCAGCCTGCTTTCATGCGTCCGCAGGCCACAGGCTACGATCACCTTCCTCCCGGAATCACTTCTCAGGCGAGCCTTTTCCAGGGTCAGGGACATAACCGCCAGGGCTCTCGATTTAGCTTCGCGAACGAGGGCCAAACCACGTCTGCCACTTCGGTCAAGCTTGCGGCAAACCCCAGGGTCATGGCTCAGCAGGCCTCCATGATGCCTTCGTCCTTCCACAGTCAACCCAACACGCAGTTCTATGCCAGCTCCATGCCCGGCCCTCCGCCCGGGCTCAAGTCTACGAGCACCCCTCCGAGCATGTTTGGGCAACACGGTTTCGGCTCTGCTTTCGGTAACGCCACGAAAGATACACACGAGATTCTTCAGCTCCTCAACCGCAGCCGAGGTGCCGGTAGCCAGGTTCATGATGCGGGAAAGCGTGAGTTCTTGTTTCCTTCCATTCCTCCACTGTACCCACCCTCTACCTCCTCTACCCCAGCTCCTGCTCCGAGCCTGGCATCGCTCTACGGTTCCCAGCCTGGAGCCTTCCAAGACTTGGGTGCAAAGCAGAAGAAGAAGGGGAAGAAGCACAGACACGCTAACACTTCCTCCTCTGGGGGGAGTGGCTTAGTAGATCTTGCGGACCCGAGTATCTTGCAGGCGAGAATGCAGTCTCAGCAGCATATGCAGCAACAGAGCAATGCCGGTCTCGGACAGGTGTTTGGTGGTCAGTCGCAAGGTGGGTACACTAATCCCGCCATGATGTATTCTGCTGGATATCGGGGATGGTAGAGAGCTGCTCTTCTAGACCACTTCACTTTGCGCGATGGAGTTAATTTTTTTATTTTACCTGTCTTGTTTTCTGGGGAGACACTTTTGTTGCTTCGTTTAAAAAGGCACATTATATATCACGACGGCGTCCACGGCACAAGCGGGATGGGTGTTTATGAGACAGTCAAGGAATGGCACACGTTTTGATTTTCGAGCACCACAACATTCGGTCTCTCAGAAGGGGAGCCCCTTGTTTACACTGGCGTCATTTGCATTTTGAGAAGGGAAGAGAGATTCTCGAGGAAACCAACGGCATTCCAACTTCGCTTCTATTCACTCCCGCACAGGCTTTAGGGTTCTGCATCACTGGGGTATATCGGTCACGTCAGGCAAGCTCTCATCGTCTTCCTCCGAGATTTCTCTTCCACATGTACGTTAACGTCGGTCCCAGTTTTCGTACGGTCTGAGTTCAGTTGGCGCAAAGGTCAAAAATAGAGCATTTTTACCGCTGCTGTAAGCGGGTCTCCGTTTCCCAACCTCGTGGAAGACGATGATGGTAGTCTTGACGTGACCAAACAAAGAGCCCTCCTGTATATAACTTGTGCCGCGATTCTTGTCGTTGTCGTTGTTGTCTTGGTGCTCCCTTTCTACCAAGTGGTCCCCGGTCCAAAGCCCGCACTACATCAGATGAAAAATTTGTTCTTCCATCCGAGAGGCTAATAGCTTTGTAGATGATGATCTTCCCTCGTTCGAAGAAGTCACGACAAGCGTAGACGCTCTGGTTTCTGATGAACCCATCACGACGATACGTCAACCGCCTGGAGCCTTCGATAACTTCGGCCGCACCGGGACTCCTATTGTTGCCCCTCCTCCGGGACTGGGTATGCCAATCAACCATCCTTCCCCTGCGATTTCTCACGCATCTTTGAGAGCCGGAACGCAGACACCGCCGGTCGCCGTACCTGTTGTACCTCCCAAGGCAACCACAGCAGCGGCGTCTACCGCAGCGTCTACGGCACCGCCTACGAGTACACCCGTAACCGCAACGGCATCTAGTGTGGCAGTTTCCACCGCAGCGTCAACCACGTCAACGCCTACAACAGCTCCCAGCCCACTTGTCAGCAAGAACCGGAAGAATAGCGTGGAAAAGGGCATGCGATACTGTCCATTTTGCGCCTTGGATTTGCCTGTTGCCAAGGATGGCAAGACTATCAACGTTTTGGAAGCGGAGAGACACATGGATTCGTGTGAAAACGATAGGAAGCTCCGTCTCGCAGCTCTCGCGCCTGAGGCCAAGAAGAACTCCAAGGAGAACATCCAAGCTCTTGCTGCGGAGAGTGGGCTATCGAGGGATATCGCAACGGTTAAGGCAAAGGCACCGAAGGTTCTGGCAGACGAGGACTTCCCTGCTCTTAACAGTCCCAAGGTCCAGGCGGCTGCCACGACACCTGCCGTTTCGACTAAGACTACGGCAACCAAGTCTAAGGCAGCCAAGAAGGCTGAAAAGGCTGCGGAAAAGGAGAAGCCTGCTCCTGTGCTGGTTATACCAGCGGTAGCGCCCACTCCACCCGAACCAGAGCCCCGCCCTATAGACAAAAAGCCTGCCCCAGTTCTCAACATCGCTGCAGCTACCCAGGTTGCCCAGGTCAAGACTGCTGAGAGTTCATCAGCAACGACGGAGAAATCTGCCCATGATCGAGACTCAGCTTTCCCTGCCCTGCCTACGCCAACGACTGCTTCAGTGGCTTCGCCGCTCGCTCGGACAGCAAAGACGCTTAGACTTGTCTCAACTCCGAAGGCTGAGACGCCCTCCACACCCGCCAATGCGGGTGTGATGAGCGTCTTGGGCTCCGCGGCCCGTTCTATAGCTTCTATTTCTGTTAGACCCGAGACTCCTGCTAGTGAGATGATTTCGGATAGTGCGTCCATCGTTTCAGCCTCGGTCTCGGCATCTCGCACCAGCTCACCGCCGCCGTCCAAGATCGGCTCTGCCCCTGTCAGAGCAACCACCAAGAGTCAGCAAAGGAAAGCAAGGAAGGAGCAGCTCAAGAAGGAAACAGCAGCTGTGGCAGCACAGCCTGTCAAGTCTGATCCGAGTGAGGAGATCGGGCCCATCATTGGCCGCAAGAAGAAGCAGAAGAAGGAGAAGGAGAAGGAAAAGCCAAGCACCACCAACACAAACGTAACACCCACTGTCAGTAGACCGGAAACACCTGCACAAAAGGAAAAGGAGACGCCGCCCCCGCCACCCACGAAGGAGGTGAAGGAGGTCAAGGAGGAGTCTTCAACCTACCGATCGACGGCTAATGAAACGACGACATTGACGGATGACGCCTCTCCGATTAAGACCAGGGGAGCAAAGGAGACGCCAAAGTCAGATGCGGTCTCAACCCCTCGAACTTTGCCGACACCTGGCACGATCTTCCAAGATTTGCAAAAGTCGGGGCTTGTTCCCGAGAAGATCGATGACCTGCCTCTTTTCAAGCCAACAAGCACTGGGTTTGAGAAGTCGAGAAATGATCATAGCAACGCTGCTGCCAGGGAGAACGCGGCTCGGAACGCCATGACGCCTACGAAGTCGATTGTGACTGACGAGGATCAGGCAGCTCTCCTCGCGGGTCACCCCGTTCGTAAAATGATTGACGGCGTCCGCATTCTCCTTACTCCCAACGGTGACTGCATTCGCAACCTGACCGAAGAAGAGGAGGATCGGTTCTTGGAGCTTCAGGCTCGCATCGCCGAGACCGCTTCAAGCCCTGCCGCGTTTGTTTCCTCTCGCCACGAAGCCGGTGGTGGATTCAGTCTGATCAAAGGGCGTGCTGTGCCCAATGGGCCACCGGGCTACTTTCCCCAGGCTCCGGGCCAATATCCGACGGATCCTGTGAACAAGATCCAGCGGGAGGAAGCGATCTACTATATCAACCAGTACGTCCTGCCGCGGTTGAACCTGAACGCCAGAGACATGAGCTTCCCCAAGGCCATGTCCAACTGGCACCCGGATCAGCGTGGCGGGAACCCGGCCGCCGCCGGCCTGAGCTCGCTTGCTCCATGGATGTACGGCGCTGGCTCTCCTGCGTCGCCGCACGATAACGACGCTGTGGCGCCAGAGATCAGCTATCCCGCCCCCGTCAGCGCGTTTGCCGACGCGCATGGATCCTACCTGGACATGCCCCCTTCACCGTCGCCATCTGCTCTAGACGATCCTATAGGTCACAAGGGCGGTGCGGGCCTCAACATTGGCGGTGCTCCCGGCCCGTTCGGCAACGTACCGCTGATGAGTCTCGAAGACGCCGAGTCAGCTTTGTCGGCTGCCCGTAAGGAAGGGGACAAGATCGAGAAGCACTTTAACCAGACCGTCAGGAAGAATAAGAGACTTCTGATGGCCATGGGTAATCCCGTCTCAGTAGGTGGTAGCGGTGGCGCTCATGCTGCTGCTGCTGCTACTGCTGGTGGAGGCGGCGGCGCGCATTGACTAGGCTTCGATAGTCTTTTTCGGTTCATCGCCATCATCTTCGTTCTCGTCATCTCTTTTTTCTCCTTCACACAGCAACCATGACCATCACGGCGGCTTGTTTGTCTTTTCCGTCGAACACCCCATCTTCACGGCTCCTTATCGGCCGGGGTTCCAAAAGTCTAGAATTATCTAGGACTAGCCTTTGAGTAGTTACTTTGCCGAGGGAGAGCGGGAGGTCGATTAGCTGGGTACGCCAGTAAGGAAGCAACATCGAACTATTTCTAGATTAGTAGCTCCGCGCTCCGAGCGAGGTTTATATACTAATATAAGTTTCGTACTCAAGCTATCTAAAAACCTTCCGTATAGTAGGCTTTAAAGTCGTTGTAGTAGATGAATAGGGTATTAGTAATAACGATAGCTGTAAATATTCCGATTGGCCTAATAATGGGGGGATTCTACGGTTTTTACTTATTTCTGCAATAAAGAGAGTCGATGGAGCGGATACTTTGAAAATAATATTGACTTGAGATTTTGTCCGTGTGACCGGACGAAGTAGGCTCTTAAGCCGTATTTGTTACCGCGGTATAAAGATCCCTAAGAAGCGGCCATGGCAGCGTGGCTTGGTACCAGAATCTCATGTTACGAAATTTCACACACGGGTTATCGCACCAAGATGTTGTTCCGAGTCATCATCTCATTCATCCAAAAAGTCAACGCTGAACAGGTAGCTAGCAAGCTTACAGCCGCCGTTCTTCTCTCATCATACATCCTCCATGCATGCCAAAAGTGCCATATACAAAATCCAATGCTACCAAACCCAACCAAAAAAAAAAAAAAAAGCACCGCGGTTATACAAAAGCCAGTTCCCTATCGTTTTGTGAACACGCGCCCCCAATGATAATATGTGCGGGTATAAAATGTACAAAGCAAGAAAAAGGGATTCTTTTTTCTCTCTTCTTCTTCATCAACGATCAACCAAGCCAAGCCAAAGACATTGCTTAGACCTTGCCCTTGAAGCCCTTGGGAGCAAGGTTGACGTTGTACTCAAGCTCAAGAACGGCCTTCTCGTCACCCTCAAGAGGCTTGAAGGTCACAACGAGATCATCCTTGACAGCGAAGACGGTGTCGTTGGTGATCCAGGGGTCGTCGCTGGGGTAGAGCTGAGTAGTGCAGCCCTGGTACTCGGGATGAGTAACCATAATGTGGATGTGAGCGGGGCGCATGGGGTGGCGGTCCATGAGCTGGAGGAGGGCATACGAGGGGCCATCGGTGGGCAGACTGTAAGCAGTCGGGTGGAGGCAGTAGAACCAGTACTCGCCCTTCTCGTTGGCCTTGAACTTGCCGCGCAGGTTGTTGGGCGTCTGGTTCTGAGGGTCCTGGAAGTCGTACTTGCCGTTGGCGGAGGCTTGCCAGATGTCGAACACGGCGTTGGGAATGGGCTTGCCCGTGGTGATGTCGCGGATGACACCGTGCATCTTGGTCACGCGGCCCTTGGGAGGGACACCGTCCTGGATGATAGAGCCACCGTTCTCGCGGAAGGGGGCGTTGGGGGACCAGAAGGGCCCGAGAATCGAGGACGAGGTGGGCTCAAGACCCTCCTCGACGACAATCTTGTGGGCGATCTCATCAACAAGGCTGAAGAGGAAGTTGTTAGTATGGAAGTTCTTGAGTTTATTGGATCATCTGTGAGAAAGCAGAAAAAACTTACGTCTCAAGACCCAAGATGTCGGAGAGACGGTGGGCCTCGTTACGGGTCTGGCCAGACTCGCTGTAGACGCGGCCGACCTCATTAATGTACTTGACACCAGCCATCCACTCGTCCATGGTGAGCTCAACCTCGCGAGCGAAGTCGTGGATGTGACGGATCAGAGCACCAAGAACCTGACGGTTGCGGGGAGTGGTGTTGGGGCCCATGCCGTCAATGACATTCTGGGTGAAGTTGGGGTCGAATCTGTGAGAAGCCATTTTGCCTGTTGTGGTGATGATGACGATGATGAAAACACTGGAATCAACAATACGGAGAGGATCAAGAGGATAGAGAGTATGGAACAGGCAGATCCAAACTTATAGGTGGTTTGATGACGATTACAATGAGAAAAGAAGAAGGGGGACAGCCGGAGCAAGAGGTTCCTCGAAGAATGTTATATACAAAAGGGACTATACAGAGCAGTCCGTCACCGTAGTGTACAACTGGGATCTCTCTTTCCCTCGACGCACACCCTGGATCTTCATGGCATTGTGAATGGACGCAACATGATAGGATCGCACACGCCCCAGGTGTCCAGGTGCCCGGATGGTGCCATGTGCCTCCATGTTTCCCCGCTGCCCTTTGAGAGCTCTGGATCCGGACGGACTTGCGGCAGGTTGAGATTCCTATGTCGGTCACTGTGGGTGTGATGTGAGTGTGGGGTTAATGGTTATGGAGAAACGGAGGCAAAGCGGGAGAAATATAGCCCTGCGTCACGGTAGCCCCTAACCCTGGATCTTCAAAACTGCTGCCGGTTCGCTGCCGGGATGGTCGCGTTGTCTCAGCTTGCAAAGAATTCCCGGTACTGTAGCTTCCAATAGTATCAATCAAGGCAACAAATTTGTTCCTAAATTGAGTTCAACCCTTGCTCGACTGCGGTGAATCACTCGAGACATCGAGAACTGCTGATCTGACATGCTTGGAGGCGATCTCGACTTTTTCCAAACGGTGTGAATCTTATGTCCGTCTTGGCAACAATCGTGCGGCTAATGTCGAACAATTGCCCGCGAATCCACTCTCCAGATCTCGGCATTGAGGAGCATGAGGAGAAAATATACTACAATAGGCGCTCTGTTTACTATGTATGTATCTTCAACCATCAGCCTCCCCATCATCATTAAAGATTCAGATGCCAGTACCTATCTATCGACCCCAAACCTCGATATATTGGATCTGGTTGCCTTTCATGTCGGTAACCAATTGGTTGCCTACTGTAGCAGTAATAGGTAGCCGTCTCCATTGTAGGCTGTGTTCCAAAGTACAACAACCACCACCACTCGAGGTGCCGTGTATACAGCATTGTATGTAATGAGTTCACTGTTCTCTGCAATGAATGAATGAATGAATGAAGGAATGGGATGGGTGAGCCTTTTCCCGCCCAGCCTGTCATTGCCCGTGCAATGACCGGACGCAGCAAGGTTCCCATGACAGGCCCCCGGGGCTCGGGAACGGGGGCATCGGGGTTCCAGTGTTCATCCGGCGGGCAAGGGAGGCCTGCCCTGCCCCTGGTCTCCCTTCCAATCGACTTTCGGGGCGTTCTGGGCCTTGCAGAGGCGGGCAACAGTGGTCACTGGTCGCTACAGATGGAAAATCCCACACAAGTCCGCTACGGCCACTGGGAAGAAAGCCCGTCAAAATCTGTGTGCAGTCGAGTGCAGGATCGGGACCACTCCTTCTGAAATCTACCGTTGCCGCTTTCCGAGTCCCGACCTCGTGCCCGTGTAAACATTCTCCCCACCATTGGATACCGAAAGCTGGGGACCAAGTGGGGGGCAAAACGAAACTAACACCAGCGTTTTCCCAATGCCGGTCGCAGCTCCATTCAGGTGTACACTAAACAATCGATGCAACCCCCGTCTCGCGACAGCCGGGCAATCATGTCGGATCTCGAGTTGGGGAATGGGATGAACTGGTCGGATTTTGGGAACATGGAACTTCGTCCGTCAAGGTCCTCGAGATATTCCCAATTCTCAACATCCTTTTGTCGCGCTTCGTGATCCTACGCCGACGTGAATCTTCCAGGTCGCAGTCGCAGTCGCAGGTACAAGCGCAGTCGCTTCGCCTATTCTTCCCAGCCGACGTCATTCCAAGATGCCCCTCCATCACTTGATGATTGGTACCTGGACCCCGCCAGGTGCCATCTTCACTGTTCAGTTCGACGACGAGAAGCTCACATGCAAGCTCATCAAGAGAACAGAAATTCCTCAGGATGAGCCGATATCATGGATGACCTTTGACGTATGAGATCCATCATCAAATGTCTAGAGTACTGCGACTTTGCCTGCTCACAATGGAGATGGGAATAGCATGAGAGGAAGAACATTTACGGCGCTGCCATGAAGAAATGGAGCAGCTTTGCCGTCAAGAGCCCGACTGAGATTGTCCACGAGGCATCGCACCCCATCGGTGGTCACCGTACGTTACCAAAACTCCTATATCACGACCCAATGTTCTCGGACTAAATGACGTGTTTGTGTTTGTATACAGCCAGGGCCAACGACGCCGACACCAACACGCGCGCCATCTTCCTCCTCGCAGCCAAGCAGCCCCCCTACGCCGTTTATGCCAACCCCTTCTACAAGTTCGCCGGTTATGGCAATGTCTTCTCCGTCTCCGAGACCGGCAAGCTCGAGAAGAACGTCCAGAACTACGAATATCAAGAAAACACTGGCATCCACGGCATGGTGTTCGACCCGACCGAGACCTACCTCTACTCAGCCGACCTGACCGCGAACAAGCTCTGGACGCACCGCAAGCTGGCCTCGGGCGAAGTCGAACTAGTCGGCTCCGTCGACGCCCCTGATCCGGGCGACCACCCTCGCTGGGTTGCCATGCACCCCACGGGCAACTATTTGTATGCCCTGATGGAGGCCGGCAACCGCATCTGCGAGTACGTCATCGACCCGGCCACGCACATGCCCGTGTACACGCATCACAGCTTCCCGCTGATCCCCCCGGGCATTCCCGATCGGGACCCCGAGACCGGCAAGGGCCTCTACCGCGCCGACGTGTGCGCGCTGACCTTTACCGGCAAGTACATGTTTGCTAGTTCGCGGGCGAACAAGTTCGAGCTGCAGGGGTATATTGCGGGCTTCAAGCTCAGGGACTGCGGAAGCATTGAGAAGCAGCTGTTCCTTAGCCCGACGCCGACGAGCGGTGGGCATAGCAATGCGGTTAGCCCGTGCCCGTGGAGTGATGAGTGGATGGCGATTACGGACGATCAAGAGGGCTGGTTGGAGATTTATAGGTGGAAGGATGAGTTCTTACATAGGGTTGCGAGGGTCAGGATTCCGGAGCCTGGGTTTGGGATGAATGCCATTTGGTACAATTAGATGGAATGCTGTTCCGTCGTTTTGATGAAGGAATGATGTTGGGTGTACCCCCCGAAGGATGCGCAAGAGGTAAGTAGCGAAAGATGCGTTACATATGAGCCAGTAACAAGATATATCTATCTATGATAATGAAAATGAAGTAGAAAAGGATTGAACGCGCAGACCACGAACGATGCAAGCTTGCAATTGGGAAGCAAGTCGTCCATTATACCACTCCCAGATTTTCCGGTCTTTGCTGTAGTGGTGAACCAACGCAAAGCCGTGGTTAAGGTTTATCCCAAGAGTTCACCAGTCCACTGCGTCTGATCGTTCGACATATATGGATACATTTACTTGAGGTTTTATTCATCAACAGGGATTGTAGTATAGTGGTCAGTACTTCTCGTTGTGGTTCTTTGTACACAACGATCCGAGAGGACCCAGGTTCGATTCCTGGCAATCCCACTCTTTTTGCGCATTTTGCATAAAATGGTCCTGCAAACCTCTTCTTTTTTTTTTTTTTTTTTTTTTTCCTTTTCTTTTTGTGGTCTCTTCAGACCTTCTTTCTTTGCGAAAATATCCGCTAGTGATCAACACCAAACGTTCAGGTAGGTTAGAGAGAAGGTTGTGATGGTATACTTGGTTTGTTTGTTAGTTTAGTAATGGTTCCTCGATCACGGGTTGAACAGGAAAGTTTTGGAGCTGTTAAATTATTAGCCTTTCAACAGACAGAGAAAGTGTCCTCTGTTCAAAGTGACATTATACAATGGCAAGGTCTTGTGAGGTTACAGAGAGCCTTGGTAAGGTATTCTCTTATTCCTATCTCCGTCTTCTTCGAGACCTTCAAGGCTGGAAGGTATTAGTTTTACAGCGTTACTCAGGTCTGGATTGTCACTGTGAAAATGCATCATGAGTCTTTGTAAACGGAAAGTTCAGGTGGTTTAGTTCCTGAAGGCTATGGTTGGTTCAGTTGTCACCCATCTTTAAAACCTATCCTTTTTCAAATGTGTTGTATTACACCGGCGGACTGAAGGAAGGTTTCGACATTTGGAAGTTGTGTTTCCGTCATTTGCCATGGCTAGTATGCTGTGCAGCACGTTCAACCGGTAATGAGCCCCCTTTCCAAGACAATGGAACAACGTGCGTTGATGTATCCCAGAGAACCACGTTGTACGATGGCGAATTTAGGTTCCAGCAAAGGTAAAGAGTATATTGTCATCATTACTCTCCTCCTGATCAACGTTACTTCCAAAAAGCAGATGTCCCTCCATCCTCCCCTGATATCGAAACCGCACAGCACACAACCCTCACCGACCGATCCTTACTATGTAGCCGCCTGCCTATACGGCTCATACTTAGCCGGCCCATGGGGATCATTCTCCGCCAGATCCGTCGACACAAAGTAATGGTCATGCTGCGAAATGCGACGCGCGCGCTCAGTCTGCCTCGGCTTCCACCATAGAAAATAGGCCAACGCTCCCGCAGCGGCCAAGGCAGCGACCGGAATACCAACGCCTAGCCCAATCTTGAGACCGTTACTACTACTAGAGTCGCTGGAGTCACTACCAACGTCTCCCTTGGAACTTGCAATGGGTGGAGCAGCTGGCGTTGTCGTCAGCGCAAATGAGGAGGTCTGGCCGGAGGTCAGGGAGGTTGATGATGGGCCATCGGTTATCTGGGTGGTAGTTCCTGTTCCTGTGGCGGATGCTTCTACGGTGCTGACCCTCGTGGACGCGATGCTGAGTGATGGAATTCCCGTGAATGTCGTGTCAGACACTTGTATGATGGTTTGCACCAGGCCAACACTGATGGTGAATGCACTGCTATCTTTATCGTTTGATGAACAGTCACATTTCCCTTCGTTGAAGTCTGCCGCACAGCAGAATCGGTCGTTTCCACAGGCAGCTAATTCGCCCTTGCGGTTTCCGTTTTCTATTGAATGAAAGCAAGGTGAATGTTACTTAGTAAGTTGTTGACACTGACACAGACCATCAGACAGCCTTGACTGGACCTACCAAGGCAAGCACTCCCGCAGATATAGTTATTCCATTGAGGATTTGTACAAGCTCCTCGCTGCACCGCGCCCAGAGTCAAGTTGGGAAACGAGTTGCTTTCTGTCGTCGCGATGCAGAGCGCATTGCTGAAACATGTCCACCCTGCCGGACAGCAAGAAGAAACTGGAGCGTTGAAGGCCTGGCAAGCAAAGTAGCCTGGTGCGAACTCGCCACCAGGAAAGTAACACGGCGCATTTGGGTCGGCTCGTACTTGTTGCGCTTGTGCCGCTAGGTATACAAGTATCGTGAAGAGGGAAGATGTAGTAGAATTCATTGTTGCGAGTTTGCGCCTAGTTCTCTCTCTCTGGATATTAGCAACCAAACCTTGTAGAAAACAACAACAACAACAAAAAAAAAAAAAAAAAAAAAAGGAAAAGAACGAGATTGACAAAGTTATCAGGAAATGCAAACTTGATAGAAGTGAAAACACAACCGTGGGCGCCACGACGGCCTGTCCATACTTATCAAGTGACCAGCAACACCATGAGGCTGGCAATTAGGTTATGCCAGGGCTTTTTCAGCTCGACCTTCGCATCGATGTGATTGCATTGAACAAACAATAGTCTGAAGCGCAGGGCAACACACCATCGTCGAAATGGCTTCCCGTCGTTCTCGATGGATGACTAGAATTGGTCCCACACCCCTTTACCTATAGAGCTCCCTTATCCGGCCTGTCTTCTTGCATAGGCGGGCGATTGAGAGAACTCTGAGTGTGGCATTGCCGCATATTCGAAAAAGCCCAAGGCAAGTTGAGAGCAGCTCGAAATGACAAAAAACACAGCCTGTGATGGTGTCTCCATAAGCGCTTTGAGTTGCTGAATGGGAGTTGATCCAGGCAAGCCACTTGGCTTGGCAGGCTGCGGGATGGTTGCTGCAGCTTTTCGGCTCAGACTCAGTTGGCTCGTTGAATGGAAGGGTTGGACGTTCAGCCTGGTTCCCTTTTCATTGATAACGAGGTGCAGGAGTTGCTGTTGCTGAGCAGTTCGCTTTGAGGTCACCGAGACCGTCTGAGTGTTGTCGGCGGAATCGAAATCAGAAATCCCATAGAATGCGATGAACATTGGAGTCGAAAGAGGAATCTCTCTCCGAGTTCGGGGCTAGCTCCCTAGCTTATCCGTGGGTGCTCATGTTTAACATGGGAAGGACCCTGAACCGAGCCGTGTCATCACTGCTGTTTTGACGGGCATTCTCTCAAAAGCGCCAAATAGAAAAAAAGAAGCATCAAGAAACGGATGAAGCATTCTCATCAAAGTAAACAAAAGATTTTGAGACTCCCTTGTCTGCAGCTGTGGAAAGAGTGAGCGGTTGGTGGCATTGCGGGGGACCAGTTGAAGTGAATGGAAAAAAAGGACAAAAAAGGCAGTCATACGTCAACAGCTTCGCCGCTACAGAATCAGTGCGGGGAACATTTGACAGCCAGAATCCCAAGTTCAACCACTCAACAACAACTTGGACTGAATACGTATTCCGGTTACGGATTGAAAATTCCCCGAGGTTTATCGATCCTCTCGCGGCTGTATGACTGTGGATAAGATTAAACAACCGAAAAAGGCTTTGTCCCATATTTTCTACTCCAAAATTCTCTTCGCTTTCTCCCTCATCGTCCTCATCCTGGCTATCTTCAGTTCCCGCATCTCCTTTCCCCGGCTTTCCCTCATTGCAAGTCATTTGACCGGCAGTGCCAACACAATCACAGCAACCAGCCGCTCAGCCATTACAAATACATCTACACAGAAGATGGCCTCTTCCCAGTACGCAAAGGAGCTCGAGGTAGCTCAGCTCGCCGTCCAGCGGGCCGCCCGCCTCACCAAGCGCGTCTTCCATGAGAAGGCCAAGGGCACCGTTTCCAAGGACGACAAGTCCCCTGTGACCATTGGCGACTTTGGCGCTCAGGCGCTCATCATCAGCGCCCTCAAGGCCAACTTCCCTTCGGACGAGATTGTGGCTGAGGAGGAGGCCGCTCAGCTGCGCGAGGACACCCCTCTGCGGGACCAGATCTGGGAGCTCGTCAAGTCCACCAAGCTTGACGATGAGGCTGCCGAGCAACTCCTTGGCGGCGCCATCAAGGATGCCGACGCGATGCTGGAGATCATTGACCAGGGCAACAGCAAGGGCGGCGCCAAGGGCAGGATATGGACTATTGACCCCATTGACGGCACCAAGGGCTTCCTGCGCGGTGGACAGTACGCCGTGTGCTTGGGACTGATGGTGGACGGTGATGTCAAGGTCGGCGTTCTCGGCTGCCCGAACCTGCCTGTGGACGACGCTGCGCCGTTGACTGCGGATATCGGCACCAACGCGACCGATGAGGGCCGGGGTGTCATCTTCTCGGCCGTTCAGGGCCAGGGCGCGACTAGCAGGCCCCTGGGCACCGCCGGTCTTGCGAAGGGCAAGTCGATTGCGATGAAGCCTATTACAGAGATGTCCAACGCGAGCTTCTGCGAGAGCGTGGAGGCGGGTCACTCGGATCAGGGCGTGGCTGGACAGATTGCGCAGAAGCTCGGGATCACCAAGCCTAGTGTGCGCATGGATTCCCAGGCCAAGTACGGCTCTATTGCTCGTGGCGCGGGTGATATCTACCTCCGTCTGCCTACTTCCAAGTCTTACCAGGAGAAGATCTGGGATCACGCTGCTGGAGATCTGATTGTGCGTGAGGCTGGTGGTCAGGTTACCGACGTGAGTGGAAACCGCCTGGATTTCAGCGTCGGCCGCACGTTGGCTGAAAACAAGGGTGTCATTGCGGCGCCTGCTGCGGTCCACGACCAGGTCATCAAGGTCGTTCAGGAAGTTCTCGGGCAGCAGTAAAGCCTCGTGTCATAGTGTACAGGTTATGGCAGGTATCGGGCCGTTATGAGGCCATGTGTGTGCCAAAAAAAACAATAGACTAAATGTACAATATTCCCCCCTTATAATCATCAACAACCATATCAACCACCAAAACCCACCGCGCGTCCTCTATTTGATCTTCTTCTGCTTCAACTTGATGGTCTCGCCGTTGACAAAGATACCCTTACCCTTGTACGGTTCCGGTACACGCCACCTCCTGATATCAGCGGCGAAGGTCATGACCTGCTCTCTGTTAATGCCCTCGAGCAGGATTCTTGTCGGCTGCGGCGTGCTGGCCTTCATGCCCTTGGGGACGCCCATCTCGACGGGGTGAGAGAAGCCGAGCTTGAGGCAGACGAACTGCTGGCCGGGGTATTCCTCCTTCTCGGGGCGGGTGTCGATTGTAGCTCTGTAACCGATACCGACCAGGCGCAACACGGCCGTGTGACCTTCTGATACACCCATAATGAAGCGGTTGAGGTACGCCCATGTCGTTCCTGTTTTGTCCAAGAAAGATTTGAAATCGTCAGCTGACTGGCCGCCCGTAACTTTTCCACATTCTCCAAGACAAGGAAGGTGTTTGCCATACCCCACATCTCTCTCTGCTCCTTCTCATCCCGGTTCGCTACGCTGAGGGTCGCTCTCCTCGCCTCGGCGTCGTGGTCGATCTTGATGAAGTCGGGAATGTCCATTTCGAGTTGTCCTGCGAAAAAGCACAGCGCACACGTGCAACAAGTCAGCCAGCTGCTCTGCTCCCATCCTAGCCCCCCTTTGCACTCTCGCACAAACACCCATAATCCATGTTCTCTCTCGCGCCTCACCCAGCCCATACGTTGCGCCAGTGCCAGTTTCGTCGCGAATCCTCCAAGAAAAACCCAACGGGTCTTTCTTTCAAGTCCGAGTTTGGAAAAGAACGAACTAACCCAACGGGCCCTGCACCGTAATCTTGCGCTTAGGCTGCTGCTTCCACTGCGTCATGTCGCGCTTGACAAAGGGCTCGCCAACGGTGATCTCGACGCCAGGAGGGATGCTGAGAGGGGTGCGGCCGAGCTTGGACGGGCGGGTTGTCGTCGCGGAAAAGTTGCGCCGGGCGGCGGCACCGGCAGTCTGTTGGAAGGCGGGCACGAGGAAGCCGGGGAGTGTGACGACGGAAGAAGATGAGGAAGAGGCAACGGCCTCAAGGACCCTCCTTCGGCTTGGGGCGAACATTGTGGTGAGCGTCGTCGTCGTTGGCGGGGTGGCTGGCCGTCGTCGCGATGCGGAACCGGAATTGGCGAAGAGACGCGGCGCTCCAGTTCGGAGGTTCTGGCAGTCGCAAGGGCAACACCGAGTCAATGGCAGCCGGCTGGGTGGTGGGATGAACCGAGTGGATCTTCGGAGAGCTCCAAAAAATGTATCGGACCTGACGCGGCACAGCAATGCAGCTAGTGATTGGCTGCAAATACACCAGGGTTAGGGTCTTATCCGCATAGTTTTGCTGCTGCTAGTCGCTTAGGCTAGGAAACGACGACAAACACCAACAGATGTTATTCCATCCGACATCATTCATCTCGAATAAGAAATCTCCCCAAAGTAATGGCACAGGGCGTGGAAGTGTGGAGACTACTCGATAGGACACATTGTTTCACAATGATCAGATTGAAAGTTAATCTCCCGTTCGACAATCGTCCAGCTTTCCGATGACGACTTTACGGATGTCAACCTCACGACAGTCACCACCACCCAGGGCACCCGTCACGGTCGAAGTGTTCCAAACTGTCTCAAGCGAGCTGTTTGCACTTTCTTGATACCGGATGAAAAGATGCAGATTCCAGTGATGTCAAGACAAGTGGTCTGCATCCCAAATCTTTGTCTAGGCTCGTTTCTGTTGGAGAGGACAGCGCCATATCAGACGATTGAGAGCCAGCAAAAGTAGAGCTCGGCAGACAATCACAGTCATATTCAACGCGAACTTCAAGTGAAGTCATTTCACAGGAAACCTTTTCGCGGTTTCAAAATCCAGTGATTTTCTTCCCGTTGAATTCAAGTCCGCTTCTCTTATCTTGGGCAGTCGCGATCGCCAACTTACCCTCACATACCTTCCTTCCCTCTCGTGAATCGCTCCTTCTCTTCAGAAACACCACACAATTTTCAGTTGCAAGGCCACAAACTTCGATCGCCAAAATTGCACTACCAATATTGCCAGAATCTCCATTTCTTATTGCCGAAGTCCCTTCGACGGCACTCTTCTGGACGCATCTGACTCTCTCGAAATATCATCATCAGTCTGTCGCATCTCACTCACTCGGTAACTATGGTCATGGCTCTTCTTTTCACGGCTCTCTGTGCCGTTACAGCTACACCTTCTCTGGCCTTTTCGTGGGGAGGTGAAAGAAAAGTGCCAGTTCGTAAGTAATATGGAAGCACTGCCTACAGGGCTTGACTAATATGACCACAACACAGCCGACTATCAAGTCAACATCGACCGCAACATCCAGCCTTCGGATCTGCTTCGAGCGTCCTCACGCCTACCAAATATCTACGCCGTCGCCCTAAGTGAACTTCAAGAACTCGAATCAGAACCGTTTTGCCATCGTGTGGCCGCCCAACTCCTAGTCAACAACTGCCAGCTGGTAGACGGAAAGAACGACGCCACAATCCTCACAGACACTGGTCGACAAGTTCGCGACTTTGTTGATTCCTACGCTGCCAGTCTAGCGATATGTGATTTGGAGCGAGGCAGGTTCAACATTCCGGCGCAATGTGCCAAGTTCCGGGAACCGGCCCTGAGTCAGATTGCGATCCGGGACCAAGCACAACTCCACGTCAGCAGTCATGAAATCGACCATTGTCTGTCAGCCATGAAGTCGTCAGATGCTGCGTGGAATACGTGGATCAGTTATCGGCACAAGGCTTTGCGGTTCTGTGAGGCGGCCAGAGCGGATAATGAGAAAGGTATGGTATCGGGGTTGAGATACACCATCCAAAGTCGTGGCTGACAGTGATCTACAGCACAAAACATTCTCCTCTATCAACGACTCACCAATGTGATGAAGAACCTTACAGAAGGCGTGGAAGCTCAGCTTCAGAAGCAAATGAATCAACTTGACCTGCGAACACAACGGTCCATCAAGAATCTCGACAATCTTACACCACAGATCAATAAACTGAAAGATGGGCTTGTCATGGTTCATGAATACTTGGCGACCGATGTTGAAGCAACACTCCGAAAGTCCTCTGCCTCCCTACACGACAGCCAACAACAAGCCGAAGACCTGCAGAAACTGCTCAACCTACTGCTTACTGGTGTTCTTGAGGGTCACTCACGAGTAGCCCATGCGCACGAACATGCCCTTCAACAAGTCTCCGTCCGAGCCAACGATGGCATTGGAGCCCTCGTTGCGGTGGTTGCCACAGCCGCAGCATCAACCACCGCACTGCAACAGCAGATTGTAGGTCATCCTTCTTACAGTAACCATCGCATGCATTGGGGCTAACCCTGAACAGGAACTCTCCAACCAACAAGCCGCCGCATTAGCCCGCCGTCAAGACAACCTCGAGCAAGGAATGGACCGTCTCCTCGCCGTCACCGAGACCCTAGCCACCAAATACGAGGACCAAACACAAAGACTCCAACAAGCCTCCAACATCACCAACGAGATTCTCGACATACTGGAGGACACCGCGGAAGCGGCATCGTCTGTGAACGAATCCTTGTTGACCGGTGCTACCTCGCGCAGCTGGTGGCCCTACATCGTTTGCCCTACCGCTTCTCTCGTTATGGGATCGTATGGCCTACCGCCCTCTGCTGTTCGCAACCTCGCACTCTTGGCGCTTGGCGAGGTGGCTGGGTTCATGATTTCGTCGTATGAGCAGATTGCTGGTGCTTTGCAGTCTTTTGAAGCCCCTTTCTACTCGTCGGTTTGGCAAGCGTCTACAAACACGACGACTGCATCGCCCTATGAAATTTGATGCTAGTCTGGGAGTAATTTGAGGTGCATATATTCTTACTCAAGAGGCGTGGAACCATATGCTTGCGATCTGTTCACACACGCTACCTTTGGTGGTATCAATCTCTGGTTGTTGGGGGATGAGACAGGCCACGGTGACTTGGGTCAATCTAGGAGAGAGTTGGGGGAAATAAGAGTCTAAAGATAGTCCTTCATATGGGCAAGCGGCATATTTTAGGTTGCGTATAGTCGCTAGGAAAATTATTCGTATTTATATCCCAGCAATTTGAGCAATGCACCGGCACTAAGCCTAGCATTTCAAGCAAGTAGACGCAAAAAGTTAGGTAGCTGTTATAGAGGTTATCATCATCTCCTTTCTCACAAGTTTGTTTCAGTGCGCATGGGCTAACAAAGAATCAAGCAATACCCCCATTTGTAACTGATGATCATCGTAGACATACCTTGCTCCCCCAATCTCAGAAACTATAACCTACTCACAACACAGCAAACAACAGACTCCCAGCAACCGCATCCATAGCCGACATCCCAACACCCAACCACTCCGCACAACTCCCACTCCTCTTGGCACGTATTGGGGCAGCGGCACTATCACTATCCCCATTGACACTTCCACTCCCACTTCCCCCATCAGCACCTTCATCATCTTTCACCTCCCCCACCTGCTTCAAAACCCACACATCCCCCTTATCGTCATCCGTCATCCACATCCTTTCTTGTCCATCAACTGCCAGCCCCACCGGTCTAAAACACTGCCCCGGACACTTGCTCACATCCCGATTCCACATAATATCCACAAGACTGTTCGTGCTATCGCTGGCCTCTACCGGTTCTCCCTTGCTTGTATCAAACCACACAGCGGATAACTTGTACCCGGCGGGAGTAGAGCGGTCCCAGCTTCCGTGGAAAGAAATGTACGCTAGACCTACTAGACTTTGATTGCCATTGCCATTGCTGAACTTGATGTCGAGAGGGGCGGTGTGCGCGGGGAAGGTGAGGCGGGGAGGGATGAAGTTGGTGGAGGAGCAGGAGGTGTCGGAGGTGGTGATGTTGATTGGTTTTGCTTGTGGGGAGGAGGATTCGGATGATGGCAAAAAGGGGATAGAGTAGGGCGTCGAGTCGTGGGTGAATTGGGAGCCGGTTTTAAGGTCTCCTAACGAGGGGAAGGAAGGGGAGGCAGAGGAGTTGTAGAGGGCGAGACAGTAGGGGTAGCCGTGGTTTCCGCCTTGCTGTTGTCCTTGGCCGGAAGAAGAGGATCGATTAGAGGGGAAGTGGAGGACACCATGGTAGTTCATTTCTTCTCCGGGGCTGTCTTCGTGGATGTCCACGCCAAAGCGCTTTATACCATCTGCGCTGTTCTCGACGCTGTAAATGCCGCCTGTTTTGGGGTCCTCGGCGACTCCGACCGAGTTACGCAAGCCCCAGCCGATGGTCCAGCCTTCGCTGGGGTAGTCGTATACTTTGCCGCCGCCAGGTGTTCCTAGGTTGGGGTCGGAGATGTCGAAGGCTCGGATCTGTGAGATGCCGGAGGAATGGTCGGTAGCGCCGTTATCGATGTTGCTCCCGCTGCCGCGCGAGACGAGCATAATTCCGGGCTGTTTGCGTGAGATTAAGAGTGTGCGAGTGGAGTGGCCACCGCCCGCGTTGGTCATGTTAGTGATGAGCGTCTTGGGAGATTTCTCGTCGCTGACGCGGATGGCGTCTGCGTCATATACCCAGCTGTAGACTGAGTTCGAAGAAGAGGCGTAGAGGGTTTTGCCGTCGATTGAGAGTTGGATGCCATGATTAAGCTGTTGTGGTTTTAGTCTTTATTTCACGTTGTTTTATGAAAAGGTGACGGCCGGTCAGGATGGAGAATTCATCTTACATCACTCATCGACACAAGTGTCGTTGTTTTGTCGACAGACAAACAGGGCCATCCATCGTCCTTGATAGTCATGTGTGTGATCCCTTTACCAGCCTCAACGACCAATAGCCTTCCATTCGAATCGACGATGACGCCTCTCGGCTTCTTGAGTCCGGTAGCCACGAGCCGGGCTTCGAAACCATTACGGACTACCGGTGCAGGATATGACGCAGGCACGGGCGCCGGGCATGTCGACGCTGCTGCTTGGACCAAAGTACCGGAGAGCCAGAAGAACAAAGAGGGAAACATCAGTGCCGTGAACTTCCAAGTCCTCGGAAACATGTTGAACATTTGTGTGTGTGTGGCCAAGCTCTCGTATAGCTGTGAAGCTAATGGATGACTGGCTGATATAGGTTTCCAATCTGGGAAAGCTGTTGGTAGAGATTGGCTAAAGGTGGGAGGGTATCTGCGCATAAACATATGTGTAAGTCAGCCTCTCATCTAGGATTTATCTTGATGCCTGGATGCAAGTGGCGGCGTGTTGTTGGTAGGTTGCACCATGAGGCAGTGGGAAGCAAAAGTATACCAAACTCGCCCGGTTTAGTTGCTTTTACACTAGGAGCGAAGTTCTCCTATTTGGCAGATTCACGGTGTTCCCAACTGACCCGATGATGGAAATGTGAAGAAGTTCTCTGTTGCTGTCGGAAGGGTACAGAGTGGTAGAGTAACATCAAATAAATCAAAATGGACGAGCATAGACGACTGCGAACGGGTAAGGCACTGCGAGTATGAAGAGAGATAAATGTACCTTGAGTATTCTCTGGATCCTCCGTCGCAGAAAAGTGATCGATTGGCAAGATACCCTTGTGGTTCCTCAACCGAATAGGTGTAGCGGTAAGGAGGTTGTTGTACTTGTGTTCAAAGATATGTCTGAAAGTTTGTAATAGGGTGATGTCATTTGCGTTCCAGACTCAGCTCGGGAAGGAGGTGTTCTGCGTCGACTGACATGTTGCTGTCTTGACCCAGTAATAGGAGCGGGAGCAAAGGGTCGTCGGTCATCCGGAATAGGAAAGAAATATCTTGGCCTGCGCTTCAGAGATAGAACCTCAGCCACGCCATGCTACGGTTGAATTTCTGACGAATTGCCAGTTACAACAACCGATGAAGATGAGGGGAAGCATCATGTGCACAAACCACCATGTGTGAGGCATACCATGTCTCGAATTTCGGACTGAAAATCCTCACTTGTGACCCTTTTAATCATAGTGAAACAACATTTACAGACCAGGCATGAAGGTGTCCGTTTGCTGACTTTTCTAATTCTTCATCTCATTCTTCCTCCTCGCGGCCTTGACGCCTCTGAGCTCATCAGTCAGCGTCTCGATCAACCGCTCCAGAATCCACTCAGCCTCCTCTTGAGAGCTCATCAACGGACTCCTGCTGCCGACCCAACTCCACTTCGCCCGTTCTTTCCCCTCCAGTTCATCCTTACTGCTACGAAGATGAGCGTGAGGCTTTCGGTGCTTAGCTGCGTCGCTCTCGTCCTCTCCGATGAGCCGCAGGTACCATGCCCACTCCTGAAAAGTGTACTTCCGCGGAGGGTGGCTCTTGAGGTGTTGCATTACTAGCCCGATCTCTTCGATCAGCCTGAGGTGGTACTCGGCCGGATCCATGGGGCTTTGGGGCAAGTCCTGGCGTGGTATTGAGACGGCACGCGTCATTTCGGGAAGCTGAGGAGTTGAGTTCGAATTCTGGTCGCACGGGTTCTCCTCGTCATCCGTGTTTCCCATCTTCTTTGACCGGCCGTTCCCTCCTTTCTTCCCTGACGTAGTAGAGGAGTCATCGAAGCGAACTGCTCGATCAGGACGATCGCCACTGTCCTCTTCAGCTGCGTTACCTTCCACTCGCCTCTTATGACTCTCTTCGTTTCTTGCATTCTTCGCCTGTTTCTGCTTTATCAGACCCGTGTTTGCGCTTTCGGCATCAGCATCTGCTTGATCTTGAGCTAGCTCACCCTCGTCATTGTTCTCCTCGCTGCTGTACCTATGGCGCTGTGAGGCTCCATGTATTCCTGGGGGTGACTCCTCGATATCCTCGGTAAACAGCTTTCCATGGGAAAGGGCATTGAAGGTTGCCTTGAACTCGCTCTTGAAGCCCCGCTCGCTAGGAAGAATGGTAACGGTAGCCACTTTGTCCGTGGCATCTTTGATACCCTTCACGATGGTGTCTCCTGCATTAGAGATCAGGACTGTCATAGTCGGAAGAGCGAGGAGTGCCCAGAAGACCCAAAAGGACTTTCCGGCGTTGGATATCGGTGTGATATCTCCGTATCCGATGGTTGTTAGACTAACATATGCCATGTAAAAGGTATCAAAGTAGGTCAATTGTTGATACTGACGTTCACACTCTTGAAAGACTTTGGCACCCACCAGCCATAAGACCAACCACGTGCTTGTAGAGATAGCCAAAGCTATCCAGCGATGCCTATGAGTCGCCTGCTTTTGAATCTTTCTCATCAGCTCAAACTCGGATTGTCGCCGTTGGAACTCGGTCAGACCAGAGCTGGAAGACAGTCCAGGGGAATCGGAATGTGTATCTCTTATGGGTGTAAGTATACCATCCTTTCCCTTCTTGGCCATTTTTCTTAACACGCGATGTCTGAGCTTTTCCACCATACGTGCATCAAGTCTTTTCTTGCCGCGCTCTAGCATCAAAGTGCGGATGGATCCAATAACGAGACCCAAGCTGATAATGCCGACCAGGGAATATGGGAAGAGGAGAGCCCTTCCGAGAGTTGAGGTAGGGTAGTAATCGCCAAATCCCACGGTAAAGAGCGTCACGGCCGCCCAGTACACGCCATCGAGGTAGTTCCATCCTTCGGTGTTGGAAAAGATAAGGGCACCGATGAGGAGGTAGATGAGGAACGAGATGGTCTGTAGCATCAGTGTCCTCTGACTGGGTGTGAGCATAAAATCCTTTGCGTAGTGCCCCTGCTGAGATCCCCAGACGGTAACTACCATGAGCGAAGCGACAACGAAGTACAGGACTGCGGCGTAGATGCCGTAAAAGTAAGCTTCAGACCAGATGAAGTCGTTATTTTCCGGTCTCAGCGGGCCGGCTGTCGTACTTGCGAGGGCTATCAAGCATATGGATGAGAGGTACCATCCGACAATGGTGACGGGTTGAGCGACGGAGAACCGGAGTCTCCTGGTCATGTTAAGGAGTAGCGCCAGGTTGGAGCTTAGCGCAATGGCAAGCTGGACTGCATTGATAGCGATCAGCCAGGCTGGGTCTTTGATGAAGGTGGCGGTCTTGATGTCAGCCCCTTTGGTGTAATTTTGTCTCCATGGCCGGACTAGAGCACAGATACTGAAGGCGCTTGCAACGGGCCCAAGTGTGCCTGCGACCATGGGAAAAGCAGCCGAGGCAAACCACCATCGACTTGACGGAGTCCAGACCGTCAGTATATACTATTGTACGAACTGAGTACCCGAGAACTCTGGTATGACTTACCTGGGATCTCGATGGGCCTGGTCCTCTCCCATAAGCTTGGGAAGTGAGGCCTTGTACTGCTCATCGACCTCTTGAAGATGTTCCTCCACATTCTCACCACCAGCGTCCTCCATGTTGTCAGCTAAGTAGTATTAGGGCGATTATAAAAGAAATACTGTAATGAATGGTGATAACTGTAAAGCGAAGTGTCATAGGGTATCGGGATGGGTTCCCCTATGGACGCTTGTTGTTGAATGTCATCGTCGAATGATCGTAGCATCACGGCGGCAAGGACGAAGCATGAATGAATATCGGTGGTGGTTCATTGGGACTACCTAGGTAGGAACGGTTGTAGAGATATAAGACAAGTTGGCTTGATACTTTCCTGGCATAACCTGGACAGCCCTTTCCAAGCTGGAAGAAAATGTCGGGTTGTTTGTCACGTTGATTCCCGTCCCCATCCATCATATGACGTCCTGGGCAAGAACATCGTTCTGGAGGCTGCGGTGATCGCTAAAAGCCAAGTTCTGCCAAGGTTGTTTCAACGTAAGCTTGTTCTGTGGAGGAACCACATGGCCCCACTTTCCATAAACTTCAGCTGTCACCAGATGCCAGACAGTGATGTGCTGTAGGTACGTACCTCCATCTGCTTATGGTCGTCGTCTCTTAACAATTTCTGGCGGCAGCCAAACACCAAAACAACACCCAGCTTTGATCGTGACATCAACGTTGATCTATCCAGCTTGGCATGTCATAACCTCCCATGGGGTACTTTCTTGCGTCTAGAAAAGAAAAGAGACGAAGGGATAAGTTGGTGCTACGACGAGTAAGAATTTCTGGTTCAGTGTCCAAGGCCTCTTACTCCGTTGTGAAATCGTGAAATGAGAAAGGGTCTGACAAAGAAACTATGCCAGAACTTCACCATAAACTGGCGACTCCGTAGAAGATGCCCAGATGGACTGTAGCACTGAGACTTAGGCGCATTACTGTCGCTTCAAAACTCCCGCGCCAAACGTCCCATGAAAGATTCTACAGTAGCAGTCCCCCATTTGAGCCTTCGATAGAACGCTATACCGTTCCTTGCGCCTCTTCTGGTGAAATTACCGTCAGGTAGGTGGTCAACATAACATCAACAGTCTCCTTGGGAGCTGTGGGTGATCGAAGGTCAATCTTAGACTGATATCTGTGGCTCAGTCTGTACAATGTCGCTGACCGGCCACCAACCGATCCCTTAATCATCTGGATCCCCCCCTTTGCTGCTCGGGACGAGACTGACCCGAACTATCATCTCCCATCATGGCTTCACACATACTCGGCCGCTGTCATTCACTACAGATGGTCTGGCTTATACGACGACAGGCCACAGCCAAAACTCAAGCCAAAGATTGAAGAGCCCGATTTTGACGATGAAGGATATCAATCGAGCGAGACACCTAATAGCAAAGAAGAAGAGGGATTACCCAAAGAAGAGGAAGAAGATATCAGCATAACCCCCCTCCACTGGCCCACCCCTATCCACGACGTCCTCTTTGGCTACTCCTGGATCACCCAAAACCTTCAACCAAGATACCCCAAACGCAAAGACGTCTACATCTGCGGCTCCTACCTCGGCGCCAGTCTGGCCGCCGGCCTGGCCCTCACCGAGTCGTACCCGCACGCGCGCATGGCCGTACGCGGTCTCCTCGCCTACAACGGCATCTACGACTGGACCACGTTCTTGCCTGACCACCCGATCCACCGGCCCAAGGGCGACGACCGCATCCTTATCGAGGAGCAGCTGCACAAGCTGAACCGCGACCTCGACAAAGATGCAGGACCGGCTGCCACCTCACCCATCATTGCCCATTATCAGCGTCGGCTCGAAGACCTCTTTGGCTCGCCGTCGGGACTGTTTGACAGCTTTGCTAGCGCTTGTCTGTTCTTCCACACAGCGGGACTTTTTGTTCCGACGACTTTTGATGAGAAGTATGTTCCTGAATGGCTTTATCCGCCACCTCCGGGGCCATTGATTACCGGTGCCGGTGCCGGTGCCAATGGTGTCAGCAGCGGCGACATCAACGTCCCCGCGGACGTCCACAGCGATCCCTACGACCCATTTACTTCCCCCTCTACTCCCCCTCCTCACCAACCTCCGCCGCCCCTCCCAGCCAGTCAAAACCCCACCGACGACCTCGATTCCGACAACTCGGAGCACTCGGAGCACTACCGTATGCACATGTCGATGATCAACGACGCCGAAGGCGAGCCGGACGAGGTAGCGGCCGAAGACATGCTCCAGCAAACTCTCAAGGTAGAGATTCTACCTGGCAAGTTCCCACGTAAGAGCTATGTGCATTTCCCGCCGAGGCACTCCATGCTTAAGCTCCCGGATACTTTATTGTTGTATGAGACGCCGTCGGCGGAGTTGCCGTTCAAGTGTGATGCTTTGGCGAAGATTGGGTCGGAGGGGGGGAAGGATGGGGTTGTTAATACCGCGGCCCGGAACAGAAATCAAAAGGGGCTTAGTAGTACTCAGAAGCAGAAGAAGATAAAGGAGGAAAAAGAAGCAGAAAACCAGGGAGAGAAACACGAAGAGGGCGACTCAGCACAAGGCGAAGCAGAGGAAAAGAAGAAACCCCGCCCTCGTCTCAAAACGCGAAAACACCGCAACCCCCCGGTTGCCATCACCGCTGGCGAGAACAGCTTCCGCACGCAAGCGTACGAACTGGCGCTGCTGATGCAGCGGAGCATTGAGATGTTGGAACTCAAAGAGCGGCGGAAGTGGGACGAGGATTACCTGATCGACCTCCACCACTGGGAGCTGGAGGCGGCGAGGAGGGTCAAGGTGGCGGACGTGGGCGTGGTGGATGATCAGGACATGGTGATTGGCGATCTGGAAGGGGTTGGGGATCTGGATGAGAGGGGAAGGGAGATTGTGTTGGGATGGTTGGAAGAGAAGATGGATAAGGCGCGTTGATGACTTGGGAGGTGGGATGTACTGGTCAAATGTACTCTCCGCCATACTCTGGTTGTAAGCCCCAGGTAATGTGATAGTGTAAAGATAGAACTTGGTTTGATGTGTTCATTGCCCCGAGCAGTTGATGTGAAGCCAATCTGGATATGTTCTTGTGAATCCGAAGGCAGGCCTGCTCCTTTTCGCTGGCCTTCCTTATCTATTATCCGATAACGCCCACTCTGGATGATGAGTAGATATCCTACCTACCAATATTATGCTAACGCTCGCCACCCATCATCATCATAACATGACCCAATTTCCATGTGATTTTACTCCTCAATGGTCTTGACGTTCTCCCACTCGCCCTTAAGGTTCTCCTTCCATAGTGTGACCTTGTTGTTGTCACTGCTGGCGGCCAGCACGTTTCCGCTGAGCGACCAGCTAACGCGCCAGACGGCCGCATCAAAGTTGAGAACCTTGCACTTCCACTCGCCCGGGTTCGCCGCGTCACTCGTCCAGATGCGCACCGTCTTGTCCTGCGAGGCGCTTGCGATGTAGCTCTTCTGAAGCACAGTCGGGCTCCACGCAACGTCGCGCACCCAATCTGTATGACCCGCCAGGGGCTCGCGCTCGAGCTTGTATCCATTCGTCGCGGGGTCGAAGGTCCAGATCTTGAGCAGGTTGTCGGAACCGCCAGTCACGAAGCGTCTGTTGCCCGTCGAGCCGGGGCCGGGGTTGCTGCTGACGATGCTGCCGGGGGTGGTGGCGGGGGCCCACGAGACCGAGTTGACGCCCAGGCCGTGGGCGTGGAAGATGTTGTGCTCCCAGCTGTTATCCTTGAATTCGAGAACGCTGACGTTGCCGTCCGAAGAGGCGCAGGCCAAGAGGCAGCCGGCTTCGTGGGGAGACCAGGACACGATGTTGACGCTAGCTTTGTGCAGGGCGAAGTCGAAGATGCGCTGCCAGCTGCCGGCTTGCTCGCGCCAAATGAGAACCTTGCCGTCGTAGCCTGCCGAGGCGAGGATGTTGCCGTACTTGGGGTGCGCCCATGCTACGGACCAAACTGCGCCATCGTGTCTGTTGGAAGAAGTTAACCCATTGCCCACATTGTTTGGCGATTGTGGCCCATCGCAAACATACCCCTTCAGTGTCTCAACAAGTCGCTGTGATTCGCCCTCGATCTCAAAGATCTTGATGGTGCGATCCGAGGAGCATGTCGCTAACCTCCTGCCGTAGTAGTCGAGAACTGCATCGTGCTGCGAGGGTCGGTTAGAAACAGAGGGATGGTTGTCGGGAAACGTCGAGGGGGCGATGTTCAGCGTACAATCATATCATCGTGGCCAGAGTTGGCGATAACCTGTGCGCCTGCGGTCTGTCGTTGTCGCGATAGCTTCATGTTAGTGGATAGGTAGCCAAGTAAGGGGGGGGACGCCGCCGGCAGCTTTGGGGTGTAAGAGGACGTACCATCTTGATTAATTATGGAGTATTGAAGATTGTGGAAAAGACAAAAAGATTATGGCGTTGTATTTGCGTGCTTTGGGTTATGAATGAATTCAGACAGGAGTTATGAAGTACACTACTTAAGAGGTAGCAAAAAGGAAAAAGGGCCGTCGTTGGGAATTGCTGTTGAGTTGGATCACCACCACGGGCATTGGAATGGAACCAAGCTGCAAGCTACAGGCAGTGGACGCCCAGGCGACACGATATGAGGTGAACCCGTCTTGCTGCGCTGGAGCTTGACGCTTGCGCAGTGATCCCTGTCGAGCGATGTGGTCCAGCTGGCAAGAAGTCGAGGTGAGCAAGGTGAGACGCGGTAAGTGGAGCCTTGGTCGGTTCCCTCGTAGGCTCACCGTGGTGTGACGTTATGTTACTGTATGTCTTTGGGTCGGAGGCTCCAAGTGGACTCTTGTTGAGGCAACCTAGGTGGGGCAGGTGAGGCAGGGGCCCGTCCCGCTGTACAATACAATACTGGTTTGTTTGTTAGTTTGGTTCTTGGGACCCACCCATAGACAGGGGTGTGGATGGCCAGTGCGCCCAAATACACGCCTTCTAATTGGCTCAACAATACCAAGCTAGTCTATACGTCAACTTAGTCATACTCGACATAGGACAATGACAAGGGTCAAAAGCGCCACATACGTACCTTACCGCGCCCACAAGAGTATAGGACACCCTTTTAGGCTAGATTATAGGGGATTATAGCATTTACCCGTACTTAAAAGCCTACTAACCATACTAAAACTACTGCTATTCAAACGCTTTTAATAAAGCGTAATCTCTAAATAGCTTTATTTAAACGACCAAACGGGCAAATCGACCAAATCAACCAAAATCAGCCAGAATTAATCGCTTAATTTCACAATTAAAAAAGCCAGACTTCCCTCTTATTTACAAGATTCTCACACTCACAATCGTATATTCATTCCTATATATTATTTACTTTTCACCCCAACTTCGTTTTATCTTATTACTTTATCTAACTAATTAAATTACTTCAATAGATTTACCCGTCTATATAATAGTCCGTAAGCTTCCTTAGCTCGTTAACCGAACCAATTATATTATTAAATTTAATTCGGCCAACCCTATCTCCTTTAGTAAGTACGACCTTTATTCTAATAATAAAATAGATTCTAATAAGTATAATTCTAATACCTTAACTTACCCCTCTAATAATAACAATAATAATAATAATAATAACTACACTAGTCCCCTCGTTATAATACCCTACAAATAAGTAATATAGGAGATTAATTTAAATCGCCTTAATATATCGCCTTTTTTCTAAAAATAGTACGACCGCCGTACTCTAATAGTAGTAGAGGCGGCCGCCCTACCCCGCAATATTATTAATTTAACAGCTAAATCTAATAAAGAGAATAAACTACCAATCTATTACCCTCGCCATCCAAACCTTCGTCCTCGTCTCCCGGCCGTACCTAGTAAATCAATCTTTCTATCTATATAAATCGCATACTAATAATAATTTAATTACTCTAATACATCGGATTAATATTTTAATAGCGCCCGACACGCCCGGCCCGGTTGCTTTATATTCTTACAATTACGCCAACCCAATATCGTCTACCCCCGGCTTCAAAGGTCCTACGCCGCCACTAATTAACCGTCTCCCCCCTCATACCCCCCTTAATAATATATCCAATATTTCCTTTACCCGGTATTATATTAGTCTAGCCTATAAATTAATACCTATATTATACGAAGAGCGGATTATAATTAAAATACTCCGCTTTTACACTAATTTCACTATACTTCAAATTATTCGTATTCTTAATATTATAGAACGGTAAATCTTATATACTATTACCGCGACTACCTAACCTAGGTACGGATTATATAATCGCCTACCTATCGTACCGCTAGAAATTTACTAAAAAATTACTATATTTTTACAAACTCCTCGTAAATTTAAGTAATTTCTACTATAGTTAGAGGTCCGTAGAGCTCTCCCGCTATTCGAACCGTATGGAGCCTGTGCGATTTAAGCCGTTATATAATAATCTGGCGTCCGGCGGATTCTCTAGCCGGTCTACTAACCCCTCTTCTTTAAAAATCAGTAAGCGCGCTTATAGTTTGTATTCCGCTAAGCTATATTAATATTGCTCTAATAGGAAAATTAAATATAGTCTAACGAAATTTAGGTTAATAATTTTAATTCTAGGCGTAAATATATTATTATATTCCCGGGAGAAGACTCTAACGATATAGCCTAAATTCGCTAGAGAGCTAATAACTAGATATTCTAGGGTTGTTTTACCGGCGGCGCTAAAGGGCCTTCTTTAGTTTGGAATAAGAAATAGGGCAAGATCAATTCCACTAATTATTAAGAGTATATTGTACCATTATTGTACTCCTTCTAACTCGCGGACCGCAACCATATAATATAGTAAGATAACGCGCCCGCTTATACATCTTATACAATTAAAGCGGTATTAAACGAGTTTTTCCTAATGGATAAGTAAGTTACGTAGCCGGCTTACTCGCTTAATTTAAACCCTATTAAGTACGTCTAACTCTAAATAAAACGCTAGATTGAGTATAATTACCCGGTTAGATTAATTGGGAATACCCTTAGGGAAGCTATCGACGAGGTATAGGTTACTTGCCCAGAGTCTTATATGAAAAAGTTGGTGTATTCGATGCCTAAGCGGTTGTAGTTTATTATTATTGCAAATAGCGGTTATATTGGATACTAATCTCTGATATTTTAAATCCCTGTTTTTATACGTTAAAATCCCTGTTTTTAATGTTAAATAATGTATAATGGTGTTTATAGTGTGTTAGTTTTACTTTAAATTGGCTTAAAATAAATAGATTCTATTAGCTTTACATCCCTATATTCTACCCCTGCTTGTACTAAACTAACAAATATACCAGGGTTAGATTGTAAAAGTTCACTGAACATGCCGTGCACATGATAGCGCGTGGCTACCCCGACGGGAATTTCGCCAGTGCCGTGGCAGCGTTCACTTGGGAAAAGTTGGGATGGAATCTCAACCAGAAGAATTATTCTACTTGTTCAAAATCAACGACGCTTTTTGTTTGCTTGCCAAAAGGAATTCTTTACGCACAGTAATCAGTCGCGTCCTTTTCGTGGTTATTCGGTTGGGCGTTGTTTATCCTTTTTTCTTGTTTCCTTCTTTCCCCTTCTCCAACTACTTTTCTCCAAATATACCGTTGAAGACTCGAGATACCGACGGGTTCGGTTACGACTATCGCGCTGTTCAAAGAACCTCGGCTTCTACTTTCGCGCCACTAATCTACACTACTTACAACTTGCAACTCTCCTTTCGCTCACTCATCCAAGTCTTCTCGCTCTACAATAATTATATACTCTCTTGAAGGACATTTTGTTCCTCACTCTTTATATATATAACCTTCTACTCTTGTATTTTCTTTCTCTAAACTTACCGTCACCCGCGCTTCTCGCCTTTTTGCTTCCAACAAGTCAAACCTCGCTCAACATGTCTGACAGCATGTGCGGCCCGTCCAACGGTGCCAAGAACCTTCTTGCGCACGCTGATCGCGACCGCACTCTTCATCAGGACCGCCTGGTCAACTCGCCCAACTCGGCTGCCGGTGCTGTATGATATGATCGCTTTCTTTTGTTTTGTCTTGTCGTAGAATACCCAACGTAACTCGGTGCTAACATCCCATCCCAGTCCTTCAGAAACCGCCCCTCCTTCGCTGCTGATGGTGCCTTTGAGACCTTTCAGCAAGCCCCTATGCTCGACGCCCCGGGTCCTTCCCTCGGCCTCGCGAATAATACGTTCCTGAACAACCCAGGCGTCCCGGCTTTTCATGCTGGTCCAGCGCCTGGTGTCTTTGGTCATGCGGTCGGAGGTGCGCCGGCTACGGCCAGTCCCATGCACTCCTCCCGTGCCGCTGCCCACGGCTGGGTCGACCAGTTCGCCAGCATGCAGCTCCGTCAGGACACAGCTCACGCGGCCCCGGCCATGTCGTCTCAAACCATGCCGGCAGCCATGTCTACTGCAACCCACAACTCCATGATGGGCTTGCAGGATGACCATATGGCCTACAACACTCGCCAGTTTGGCGGTATGGGAATGGGTGTGGGTACGGGAATGGGAATTGGAATGGGAATGTCCATGGACGATCCTTTTGTCATGCATGGCACAGCCACGAACAACTTCACCCACCAGCAGCCGCAGTTCGGCCTCACCGACCACGTCGAGTCGGCTCTGGACATCGAAGCCTTTAACAAAGCCTTTGGCGAGTACGACGAGTCTTCCTTTGAGCAAGAACTCGCTGAGTGGGCCGAGAAGGAAAAGGCCGAGAAGGCTCAGCAAGCTCAGCAGGAGTTTGAGGCTGCCGAGGCCGAGTGGATGGCGCAGCACGGTCCGAGCGCCGAGAACAACACCAAAGTCGGCCCCCCCACCGACGAGGAGATGGCCACCATCGATGCTGATCTGGAGAACCTCGCTGAAGAGATGGAAGCCAAGGAAGAAGCCGAGGCCCGTCGTCGCGAGGGCAACGAGGAGCTCGCCAAGGCAGCCAACGCCATTTTGACCTCCGTTGCCGACAACCAATCCGAGAAGTTTCAAAAGTCGACCTTCCTGGATCTGATGCGTCGCATCGGCAACAGAGAGGTCGAGGTCGATGGTGATAAGCTGGTCGACGTAGCGACTGGCGAGAAGGTCAGCACCAGCCCTTCCGACTTCGGCCCCAACGACGATGTCTCTGGCCCTTCGGATGCGAACGACAAGGGCATAGCTCCCGCTGAGCCTGCTTCTTCCGCTTGAGTTTTTCGGCACCTCAAAGTCGAGGATACCGTGTTTGGACCTTGGCTCCCTGCTGATTAAATCGATTCACTGTATGGGGACTGGGACGGCCAGTTTGATATCATTGCAGGCGCGACATCGCATCGTTACATAATTTCTCGCTTTTGTTACGGCTTTATTACGGTTTAGGGGACATCGACACGATGTTGTGTCGAGCATTCGATTTTGTTGCTGCGCATTTCCGAGCATGGACTGGTTTCCAAGGGACGTATTTTCACATTGCTGGGATAGAAGGAAAAGGTTCACATGAAGACGGAACTGTTTGGTACCAAAAGGATTTGCTTCAGTCATGGCTTGGGTCAGGTTCCGGTACCACGGGTTTGGGCATGGCGTTCAAGAAGGCCACAGGAGGCTAGGCAGGCGCACGGTTCATACTTTCTCTCACTACTTGTTACATGTCAGCATTGTTTCGGAGTATTATTACTATTACACCGGCGTAATAGGCATTTGTTATTGTACTTTAGTTTATGCTCACAACAACAAGCAGGAGGCTTATCATTCACATGATAACGTGGACTCACATAACTGATATTGGTGACACGTGTGAATACCTTGGACTGGAATTTTGGTTACTGATTTTGCTTCCCGTCGAGTCGTCATTCCCGGCCAAGTGAGCGGAGGGGGCATGAGACTCGTGGGGTCCCGTGTGCCGACTGTCCAGTCGGGATGCCGCCGTGCGGGGGTGGGGCTTCCCCGGACGGGATCGCCATTCGGCCACGGGTGGGATGATGGAATGATGCCATGCCGGGACCCCATAGCGTGGCATTCAAACGACCGCCATTATTTGTCATCCGTATTGTCACCTTCGTAATGCTTACTCATGAGGACATCACGTCGATGAAGCTATTCGGACACCATATTTGACTTCAACTTGCCCCTAAAATATTCCTCAATTACTGCCTCCAATTCACACCAAAGTTCACGCAGTAGATACTTTGAAACTCAATTTAGAAACCAACACCGACCATTCTGCTCACCTCACCCACCATCTGCTCACCTCGAACCCATTGAACCCGAGACTCTAGACGCCCAAATCAAACAACAACAACAACAACAACATGCCCTCTCAGAAACCAACCTACAAATCCCCCCTAGAAGGCTACGAAAATGCCCCTCCCCTCCCCACCGAAAAGGCCGAAGACGGCAAGAGCCTCCTCAACAACCAAACCGGCGTGCTCAGCAGCGCCTATGAAAAGTTTCCCGAGCCTCTAGATAACGGGCGACGAGGTGCCTTGTACGAGTTTATATCCCCCCTCTTCTTCCCTTTCCTTCTATAAGTCCACTAACATTCCCTTCCCCCCCTCCCCCAAAGTGACGTCCACATCTACCACCTCCCCAACCACCCCGCCCAAGCCCGCTACGCCTCCGAGCTGCACTCTCGCATCAGACACGAGTTCCCCGAGTTACGGATCTACACCTTTTGGAGCAAACCCGTCGGTCCTCACCCGATCGGCATGTTCGAAGTGAACATTTTTACGCCGGCGCAGCTTGGTGCCTTTGTGGGCTGGTTGGCGGTTTGGAGAGGACCGTTGAGTGTGTTGATTCATCCGAATACGACGGAGAAGACCCTAAGTGAGGGGGGAGAGATCAGTGAGGCGGAGAAGGAGGCGAGGAATCATACGGATAAGGCAATTTGGATGGGGAAGAAGGTGTTGCTGAATACGGATATGTTTTGGGAGGTCATGGATCGCTGAGAGTTATCTCTGGTTCGGGGATTCACATTTGGAAGTAGGGACATGAGGAGGACCTGGACCCTGGGTAGAGAACGGTTGGGTACCTACCTAAGGTACCTACCTATATGGTAGGGCGTGATGAAATAAGATACCTTACCTACCGGAAGTTTTTGGGCTGGAGACGAAAGCGTCATTGGGAGGGAAATGTTTCGGAAGGATGACAGAAGCCCTGATTCGACCACTCATTGTCTGCGATCAATATCGTGTCACTGAGTGAATGAAACTGGTTGGTGATCAGGTTTTTCCAAAATCCCAACAACTCCATCCTAATCCTCTCATACCCTACAGGCGTTCTCCTTTCTAGACAAGCACTGTTTATTAGATACTGTCCCTAAATAAATTTATAACGAGACAAACAATCTCTTCGCCTGCCTATCGGCTTGTTACATCTTCAGCCCACCGCAGTTCACTTGAGTGTAATACTAATTTAACCGCGCTGAACCACCCATACATAGGTACTATACCGTGGCGTTCCTCGGCACCCCTCAAATCATACCAAAGCCGCCCGGACACCATGCGCCATGCTTCGCATGGCTGAATATAAGCCTTTTCTTCAAGCCTTCTCTCTCCAAAACTTTCCTATTTGGGCACGTTATCTGATTGCTGTGTGTGACGCCTCAAGCGCGTCTGTTGTCGTGTACAGTTATGGAATCGTGGACGAGCTTGTTGATCTTGTCCCTTTTGGGTGTGTATAATTGTTCCGTCTTACCTCTTGGGTTGAATGGCGTGGGTCGTCGACCTGGTCGGGTGGGTGTGGTTGAGGTTTAAGCTTGGTCTTGGCGTGTTTCTAGGTATGTAGGACAGAAGACCCTGTGAACCATAACTTTTTTCTTTTTTTAATTATTTTTTATCAAGGCCTATGCCGCTGTATTCAAGATCCCGAGTTGCTGGTGGTAGATCATCAATGTACAATAGAGTGACAATATTCAGGTCATTGTTCGTGACTTAGGGGTTGTGGGACGTATGGGGCGTTGCAACTGGTTGTTGAAGGACAGCCGGTGGAAGACCGAGTAACGAATACCCTCTTCAACGCAACATTAATGTGCGAATAAGGAAGATTGGTAGGTATATCGTCGAAGATTGATCAGATACACCCAAGTTACTATTGCCAAAGTACTCCTCCTGTTGGTCACACTTCGAAAAGCTTGGTCTTCCTCCCCAGACTGGCTAAAGCTTCCTGCCGTGTGCCTGCATTTTATCTTGATTTGTTTTTTTCAGCTGGTAGGGGTCTTGCTACACCAACAAGGAGGTATCCTTTCCTGCCTCGACATCGAATTAACAACGGAAAAAAGGTAGTGTGCATAATGAGAAGGAGAGATGGACGGTTATCGTGAGCAGTTCTTGGAGGAGATGAGGGAGGGGTAAAAGGAGTTTTCGAGGAAGACGCCTTGTTAAGCGCCGATCTGGTGCCCACGCACCTTTATCGTAATTGGGAGACAGGCTTGGGTTCGTGGTTCTAATGAAGTGGCTTTTGCGGAAAATGTTCAACTTGACTTTCTTTTCTGGTCTCCCCTTCGTGTATCAACTTGACATATTCCACGCAAGTCTCTGGTGTTGTGCGGTTGAGTGGGCTCTTCTGTACCATCACTCTGCTTTGATCCCGTCCAGATTGTTCAACTCCAGCTGCCGTCCCTTTCCCAAACAGTGATACCATTTCTTCTCTGTTGCCTTCAACCTATACACTCTCGATTTCTTGAGACGGTCTTTTTCCTTAGGACGATGCGTGGCCAGCATCGATCATCCCCGCTGCCGCTCCTAGGCTTGCTAGGAGTCGCAAAAGCCGCACAAGTCGTCTACATTACCGACCTGGCGATATACAACTCCTTGGTACTTGACCTTCTTCCCCTTCATTCCTTCCAGTCTCATGAGACTGCATACCTCCTTTCTCGAAGACAATAGAGCTGATGATTTCCCATATGTTGTAATAAGGCACCATGCGCCCAAACCGCCATCTCCTATAACGTCCAAGGCCAAACCCGCGATGCCTGTCCCGCCGCAGTCGGGGAACTCCAAGGCTGCGTCTGCACCAAGAACAACAACTTCGCCGCCATCAAGTCCGATGTCTCCAAGTCCGTCAACTACTATTGCGGGTCGACGGCCACTGAGGACCAAGCGTCGGCGGGGACAGTGCTCAGCGCGTATTGCAGCCAGGACAAGCTGCCGGAGTTTCCGCAGCCATCAGTTCCGGTGACGCAGTACATTACTGATGTTCCCGAGGTGGCTGCGTTAGCGCCTTGTGCGTTTAGTGCGCTTGGATATGCCGTCAGGGCAATGGTTAGTTGGGAAACCGGGAGCCTCTGGACGTTTTCTTCGACCAGGCGGTAACGATACTGATTTGAATGTCCTCGCAGGGACGCGAACGATGCCCCTCGGACTTGGCAGCCTATGCCACCTGCGCTTGCCAAAAGAACCAGAACTCTCTGCTGGCGAGCCAGCTCATTAACTCGTCAGTCAAGTACTACTGCGAAGGCCACACAGCCGATGTCTCGTCAGCCCAGGGAATGTGGTCGGCGTGGTGTAAGCTGAATGAGGGCACTTCAGCATTTCCTAAGCCGAGTAACCCTCCCGGTGATAGTAAGTTTGACAGTGATGGATATACACTTTTGGCTATAGTTTGGATGGCTGATGGAGCACTTGTTGGGAAGTGACGTACTATATCAAGGACCTGCCGCAGTATAGCTCATTGGCCAATTGTGCTGCTTCGGCGGTATCCTATGCTGTTCAAGGGGTAAGAACAACATGCGGTTTCTTGTGTAAGATCGTGTTCCTATGCTGACACTTTAGTGAAATAGCAAGCCCGTGAGCTGTGCCCTGACGGGCCTCAGGCACTTGCATCATGTGTCTGTCTCAAAGACCAAATGCTTGGTCTGGTGACAAGTTCCATCACCGCGAGCGTCAAATACAGTTGTGGTGTAACAGCAACTGACGATATCTCATCTGCAATGGCTGTAAGTGCATGAACTCTCAATCATTGTCCAAACGTCTCGTGGCTAACGATCCACAACAGGTCCTGGACTTGTACTGCAATGCTGCCAACAACAAGCTCGTCGCAAATGGAGTTACCGCCTCGGAATCCCAAGCAGACCCGACTCCAACAGCCCAGAGTGGCAGCAGAGCCAACGGTGGTGCCCAGGCTACGGCCAGCAGCGGAAGTGGCTCAAGGTCTGGCTCCGGCTCCGGTAGCAATTCCGGTGATGACAGTACGGGAGGGGCCAATGACGGCGGCAAGGGGAGCGGCAACACAGGCAAAAAATCCTCCAATACGGGGGTTATTGCTGGCGCCGTCATTGGCGTTCTCGTTGGCCTGGGCATCATTGCCGCTCTTCTGTTCTTCTTCATCCGCAGGTCAAAGCAGCGTGAAAACATGGAGCAGACCAATTCCTCGAATGCCATCCATGATGTCCTTGCCGGGGAAGGCAAGCCCGAACTTGCTGGCAATCCTATTGTTGGCGGCGCTGCTACTGCTGCTGCTGCTGCTGCTGCTGCCGCCGCCACCGTCCCGCCCTCGCCGCCAAGTCGTTCCGCAAGCATGCTCAAGGACGGAACCAGAGTCAATAGTGTGTCCCCAGTGTCGGCTGGTGCGGGCGGATTTCCCCCTCCCCAGTTGACGGCCGAACTCCAAGGTCAAGGACCGCCGCATCCGCTCAATAGCACCGAGCTTCACGGCCAGACGCCTGCGTACCCTCCAATGCCGAACACTGCCGAATTGCACGCACCGTATGGTGTACCACAGAACCCATCGCAACCGTTGGGTCAAGGTCCTTTGTCAGTTTCTCCGATGTTGAGCAATGCCTCGGAGCTCCAGGGAAGTGGGGGAATGTATCCAGGCCCGAATCGGCAGGAGTTGCAAGGCCAGGGGACGCCTCCCCAGTTTATGTCGAACAGGCACGAGATGATGGGACCACAGCGGCCGGTTGAACTACAGCCGACGGCGTGGCAGTCAGGTCCGGTGCTGGGATATCATGAGATGGATGGGCATGGAAGAGGAAGTGGTGGGCAGCCTTGATCACGGAAGCCGGGGGAGCTGGGGGTAGCATCCATGTTCACAAGGGAGCCTCAAGCTCCATGGCTCTACCAGGGCATCCTCTACCTTGACCGAGGATTCGACTTGCTGCTTATTGAGCCAAATGCTAGTAAAGATGGAAGTTTTCATGATGAGAAGTGTAAATGCTGAGTGAATGGCCTCGTCAACCGGTCCAGTGGAAGTACTGTAGAGAGTCTTGTTCCTTTCATGTCGAGAACTGTGGATCTGTGATGTTTGGGAGAAGTGACTTCCTTTCACTACAGGTCCAACAACGAGAAGTACTGAAGTTGGAAAGTCCAAACGCACAGACAACATCAGAAAGTGCGTGCTATGTACAGAGATGCTCTAACAGGTGGAGACGGGAGGTAGGTAGGTAGGTACCTCTACCTGGAAGACAGCGGCCCCACAGAAGCTTTTCTAGCTGGATCGCTCCCGTCACCCTGCTGCCCGGCCAGCGCGACACTTTGGCGCTAACCCAAAGCAGTCGCAGGTGTTGGGGAATGGAGGTCGCAGTGCACCACTCAAACAGTGCAGCCCCGTCACTCCAACCAACCTAGCAAGACTGGCCTGCAGCGGGCACCTCCAGCTGCGACTTTCAATCGACTTGGTGGCAGCGTCAAAGAAATCCCACAACGAAACCAACCAACACTTGGACTCACTTCTGCATCACCACTGCGCTCCCGACCACCCCGAGGCCATCCACCTTCGCGACTCTCCTTTTTTTTATTTCCAGCGACAGCAGCGTCCCCAAGTCGACCTGACATCTGTTACGTCTATTCTTCAATCGACTCTTCGTCGCGTGTTTCGTGTGTGTGTGTGTTCGCGGTCTCGCCCATTCATGCACCGCTGAGCCGTTGCTCCCAAGATGGCGGCGGCCGAGGTGGACGTGGCCTATCTCTCGACCCAGGTCGGCGTACCTGAGCCCGATCTGAACACGGCTCTTACCGAGCCGACTCCAGACCTGGTCAAGACCATATTCCAGGCTGTGATAGCAAAGATCCGTGCCCTCGAAGAGGACAAGTTCCAGCTGGGCATTGAGCTTGAAGGCGCCATCCGAAGCTCAGAGTCGCGCTGTGAGCAGTTCAAGGCCACCACCGACAAGGCTCTCAAGGAAGTTGACGAGCTCCGTCAGAAACTACAAGATGAAGGCAAGTCCATCCTTTCCCCCCTCCACCTAAGCCTCGCCGCGCCCTGCTGCTAACACGTCTGGGTCGCACAGAGACCAAACGGCGGTCTATAGAAAACGAGCTACAGACGCTCAAGTCGTCGGGATCGACTTCCCTTTCCGAAATTGAGACCCTCCGTGCACGCATTGCCTCGCTCGAGACTTCGAATCGCGAAACCCTG